AAAATTCATGAGGTAATTTGAGGATAACTTTATTTTATTTTTATTTCACTTTGGGACCACCACTGAGAGGGATCCCTGCCCAAAGAGAGACTTGGAGGATCCCACATAAGGGACAGAAACTGCAGAAGGCCGGAATTGATCCGGCCCGGCAGCCATTTTGAGAGAAGAGCAACTCCTTCATCACCACCATTTCTGTGAGGCGGGCCTGGAGTTGCATGAGTGACAGGCCCCTTGCTCAATCAGAGGAAGCAGAGAAGTCAGGGCTGTGTTAGTGAGCCAATCCCAGGGAGGGGCGGGGAGATTTTGGTTGTTGTTGTTCTTATTTACCTCAGTGTTCTCACTTGCCTCAGTCTCTTCCTTGGGGAGGTTGTGAGGAGAAGGTCTTGGCTATGTTTTGATGCCCAAAGAATTTTAAGAGACACAATGGTCTCTCAGAGACTGTATTTGGACAGCCAAGGACAAAAATACAAACAGTAACAGAGTTGGAAGGGACCCTAGAGCTCATCTAGTCCAACCCCCTCCTCACGCAGGAGTCCTATGCTAGGGATTCAAACCGCCCAACTGCTGACCTTTCTGATCGACAAGCTCAGCATCTTAGCCACTGAGCCACCTAGCCAGAAAACGAGCTCGTTAATCCTTTTAAGTAGTTGCAGCGTCTAGAAGTTTCTCTTCCTGCCAGCGAGAAAGCCTTTAAATCAGTCAAGCCGCTAAATTCTCCAGACATTTATATCCTGAAGGATGTGACTGTGACCTCCTCAGACTGGAATCTCTCTTTCGAAAATACCAGTTGGGCAACTCTCCTCTTTCCCTTCATGGCAAAACCAACTTCAAATAGACAAATAGGGAACTGAGGCATGATAAGATCACCCTCATCAATTTGTATCTCCAAACAAGATGAGGCCAAAAAAAAAAAAGGCTTGAAGTGTCTAAACACCTCCGAAAGGAAGGATCCGAAGCTCTCCCATCCTGTCAGGAATGGCTTGAAGCATTTAGCTGCTAGAATAACCAATAAATTGGAAGGGACTTTGGAGGTCTTCTAGTCCAACCCCCTGCTCAGGCAGGAGAACCTATATCATTTCAAACAAATCCCATTTATTGAAAACAATTCTGCATTTCAGAGGACAATCAAATTATTAATCATACTTTAACCAATATGGAAAGAGCTCTAAATCCTCTTTTTTTAGAAGACATTGGGTGGCTGCCTAATGACTTTCTGTATTATCCCAACAACAACAGCCCTTGTGGTCATCTTGGTAACACAAGGAATTAAAATGGGCTGGCTTTGGCCTGGAAGATGTTGTGCATTACAGGACTAGCAAAACCCCCTGTAGATATTATTGCCTGATATCCCCCAACACCAAAATGGCGGCGGGGGTGGGGGAGTATTATGAAGCTTTGATAAAATGTGAAACAGCCTGTGAAACATGAAACAGCTTGTGGTGGAAGAAGGCGGACATGAGCTTCTGGAAGCATCCCTGGTAAATTCTATAGATACTGCCACTTCTCGGTTAACACTTCTGAAATATGCATGTCCTAAATAAATCTAATATTAATCTAAGCTACTGGTCTTGAAAAGTCAGTAAAACCAATTCAATATTTCCCTTACTGTGGATTTACTATCAGAGTTTGGGTCACTGTATCTCTTTCTCCAGAGAGGGGAAAAAACCCACCCTTCCTTCATAAAAAGAAGATCCATCTTGCACGTCATTTTTGCAGAAAATGGCAGCACCGAGAGTCAGAATGAGTTTCCTACAGCCTCTTGAGCCAAGACATGGTGTACATATAATCCTTTACAAGTTCCGGGCACAATTGACAGTATTGAGAAAGAAAAGGGCCATTGGCAACTTCAAATATTGTTATCAAGATATTTTATCATCAAATATTGCCCAAATAACACATTGGAATGATAAATATTGCCTAAGAAGTAATAGTAAGTTCACACCATTTAGTATGATTTACCTGATCAGCTTTATGGTATGACCATGATTGATGTGAAATTGAAGAAACCACACAATCCTTTCCAAGTTTCAAGTACTAATTATAGAAATAGAAAAGGCCAGCGACAACTTCAAATAGTGCGCTATCGAAATATGTTAACATCAAATATTGTCCAAATGATAAATATTGGAATGATAAATATTACCCAAGAAGTACTTAATTGAACAAGTGCACAATTATTGTTTCAGGCCAAACACCTGTGATTTTCCACCACCTGCATCAGATATGTGATCATGGCTGATGTGAAACTGAAGGCACCATCGTTCAACAACTTTAGGACCATGGTGCGGGACATGTTGCTGGCCCCTAGCAGCCCAAACTTAAGGTTGAGAGAGCTGTTGGGGGAAAAAATGCTTCTGGTTATCGCTATTTTGTGGAAAACTTCAAATTTGCTTTACCCCTTTGGAGTGAGATTCAAACAGAGCAGATGATGGAATAGAAGTCCTCTGAAATTCATCTCGTTTAGAGGAACAGATTTCGATTCCCATCATCCCCAATCAATACAAACACTGACTATGCTGATTGGAGATGATGGGAATGGTAACCCAGTACCTTGGGGGATGCCAAGCTGGACAATGCAGTCTGAAATGCATTGGTCACTCTGCAGAAGTTTCTAATAGCTAACCTGGGCCAATTTGTGTAAGAAAAATGGAACAGATCAATGAAATTTCATAGCCCTGCATTTTTCAGAGATGCTCTGTTCCCACCAAAAAAAAAAGGCAATTTTGTATGTTGCTATTTTTATTTTTATTGTTCTGAGCCACCCAGAGTCACTTTAGCATCTACATTTTATCAAATAAATAAACAATCAATTCAGGATTCTTCAAAAAAAGGATTAAGCAGCAATCCCGTCCCACTTCACAATGTGCGGTCCAAAAGAATGCCGAAGTCTTCTACGGAAAAAGACTCCCTTGAGATTTCAACCTCAAAGGCAGTGCCAAACCCTCAGCATGGAAACAAATGAGGCGACAGCAACAAAGCATTATATTATAATTTGATAGTGGGAAGATGAAATTTAGCTAGAGTCTGCAACGTATGTTCTCCTCTTTATGTAGTGACCAAAAAATGACATTTTTTTAAAAAAATCGCCAAGTTCTTACGGGACCATCAGATCTGTTCAGATTTCTCTGGATTACTAAAATATAAAATGCAGCAACCACTCAAGATTTCACTACTTGAAGATTTATATGCAACCTACATTTCTATTGAGGTCTTGTAATTCCCCAGCCCTCTACAAATCGTAACACCCCAGAAAATAAAGTGCTTTGTTTTCCAAAGCACTTGAAGGCCAGACAAGGAATAATGGATGGAAACTGACCAAGGAGAGATTCAACCTAGAAATAAGAAGGAATTTTCTGACCGTGAGAACAATCAACCCGTGGAATAGAAGTTGCCTTCAGAAGTAGTGGGAGCTTCATCACTGGAGGCTTTCAAGAAGAGACTGGACTGCCATCTGTCAGAAATGGTGTAGGGTCTCCTGCTTGGGCGGAGGGCTGGACTAGATGACCTACAAGGTCCCTTCCAACTCTGTTAATCTGTTAAACCCTTTGGATGTACCTAGAGCCAATATTGTAGTTATTGTACAATGAACGAATGAAAAATGCCTCTCTTCCAACAGAAGAAACTTGGGGGGAAAATTTGTGAAACAAAGAAAGGATTTGGTTTGAGTTTTTAAAAGATGTAGACCTTTTAGTAAGTATCTCCTCTTTTTGTGAATATTGTATTTATACTTTAAAATTGTTTTGCCATGTTAACTGGGTGAATTTAATTCCAGCAATTAAAATGTGGTTTTATCAGCTAATCAGATTTATCAATGAAACATCACTTCCTTGTTAAAGAAAGATTAAAAATCCTACGTTTTATGCGCCATCAAGTTGGTAGCAGCTTTTAGCGATCCAATAGATTTTCTCCAGCAGGATTTCTTCCTACTCTTGTCCTTCAGTATACCTGTTTGTGAAGGGGCAAATAATTACAAAACGGGGTGAACAAACCCATGCAAATAATTCAGCGATCGTCAACATTTACGTCTGAACTTAAAAGGAGAGAGAAGAAAATTGGCCAAGCCTCAGAAACAATACTGCCAATCTGTTTAAAAATAAATCAGATTTTTAACCACAAAGTAATTAAAGTTGCACCTCTGGCAACACTTCTGAGGTGGTTGTTTGGAAAGGAAAAGCTCTCGGTGCCTGCCCCTCGGTGCCTGTCCACTGGAAAATGAATTACAGGCTATGGCTTCATTAACAAAGTCCTACAAAAAAGTAAAGACAAATTAAAATTCTTCATCAGTACAAATAGGACACCAGGAATCTCTCATGCTATTTGCAGGGGAACGAACAAAATATATGTGTGGGTTGTTTGAACCATCCCAAATGTTATTTGCAATCCCCCCTAAATGCAGGGGTAAAATAGAAGAAGACGAAGACAACGAAGAAGAAGAAGACGAAGAAGAAGAAGAGGAGGAGGAGGAGGAAGAAGAAGAAGAAGAGGAAGGAGAAGGAGAAGGAGAAGAAGAAGACTCGATAGGGAAGGAAGAAAGGAGGAAAAAGAAGGGACAAAAGAGGAGGAGGAAGGCTAGATAGGGAAGTTGGAGAAGAAAGGAGGAGGAGGAGGAGAAAAGAAGGAGACAGGGAAGTTGCAGAAGGGAGAAAGGAGGAGGAGGAGGAGGAAGCCTGGATAGGGAAGTTGGAGAAGGGAGAAAGAAGGGATGAGGAAGAGACTGAGGAGGAAGAAGAAGGAGAAAGAGAAGAAGAGACAAATCAACTTGCCATCTGGCCTCGCTCGCACCTTTTGGTTCTCCCTTGTGCCTGTTCTCCTGCATCATTTCCCCATTCATCCTCCATTCGCATTTCAAAACAGACGCCTGCTCTAAAACATTTTTTTCCAGCGTTTAGAAACAAGAGTGCCAAATAAATTCACGATTTTTAAGACGCAAAGTTTTTTCTTCACGGCTACTAAGAAGATTGAGAATCCTTTGAGGGGAAAAAAAAGATATGATAGGCATCTCAGAGAAGAAGATTTTATTCTGCGAGGAAATGCTCCAATTTAATTTACAACTTTTAACAGAGCAACTCTGGGATTTTTTTCCCCCATGGATATTAACATGGCTGAGAATTTCTGGAAGAAAAGAGATTTGACAGACATTCCTGAGAAGAAAAAGACTTTATTCTATGAAGATAAGCTGCAGGGAGTAACTTAAATTTAATGACTTAGTTAGGATGGATTTTTATAAGTTTGATACATGTATTGAAAGAAAGTTCTAGGGCAGTTTTGTATTTATAAAGTACATTTGTAACCGCATGTTTTCCGTCCTATGTAACGTTGAAAAATTCCAAAAGTTTGTAAAATATTATTGATCAAATTTTAAAATAAAAAAAAAAAAACATTTTTACTCTATGAGGATAAATTTGAGGGAGAGATTTAAATCAAAATGAGCTAATTGGAGTTAATTGGATTTTTATTGGTGTGATATATATAACTGAATGAAAGCTTTAATGTAATTTTGTGGCTTGTTTAAAATGAAGGGTTTTTTTTTCTCCTCCCTTTATACGTATATATTTGTAATTTTTAAGGTTTGTAAAATATTATTGAAAGTGAACTTTTGATACTGGTGAGGAACTAAACCGCTGTAAAATGCAACCAAAAAAGTAAAAAGAAGAACATTTCTCAGTCCCTTCTCTTTCTTCCTACTATATGCATGTGAATTGACTATTACTGCAATACTAAACCAATCACGCATGGAATTCTTTGGAAGTCGTACTGCAAGGGCAACAACTTTTCAGGCACATCCTTTAATTATACTAGGTGCATCAGAGAAAAGAAGCGGTCCATATCTACACTGCGGGAGGGAACTGCAAAGAAAAACTGCGCAATTTTTAACAGTTCTGAACAGTATTCAATGGCTTTGACATTCAGAAAATATTTGGTCCATTTTTCATGTGAAAGCAGATGCTGGAACTCTTCTTCATTGCTGGAAGCTTCCACAAATTTTTTCAGGTTGTTGAACTGAATGAAGCACTTCATACTGTCAATTTCCAGACCCTTTACATGTAAGTACATTATACACGTTTCCACATCACTCCAGTTCGGTGTGTCACTCAGGGCCATCCAGGCGAAGCAGGAAAACTCTTGCAGGGACGCCATCCACATCTCCAGGTAGTCGATGCAGTTACTGTAGAGGCGACGCACGGCATCGGAGAAGGCGTCGCATCCCGCCTCCAGCCCCTCCTTGCGCTTGTCTGCAAGCATCCCCTTCACCGTCAATGACATGAAGTTCTGGGCTCTACGGTCAAGCAGGATGGTGTGCACGGAGTCCAGCGTCTTCATCACCTCCACCAGGGAGTTATTTTCCCGCTCCATCTCTTCGATGTGCAAATGGAAGGCGTTCATCAGCGAGTGCATGTGCCAGAGGTAGAGCTCGCCGAACTCGTGCTCGAAGAAGCTCTTGAGCACGGCGGGCGGGTTGCTCTGGCCCAAGAAGAAGGACTTCAGGGCCGAGTGCATCTGGAGCAGCTTCGTGATGCCGGGGAACAAGGACAGCCAGCGGGTCCTGCTGTGGGAGAGCAGCCGCTTGTATTCCACCTCCACAAACTCGCAGTATTCGTGCAGGGGCTCCGTCCGCACCGCGTAGATGTGGAAGTACTGGTAGATCTTTAGGATGATGTTCTCAACGTCCACCTCCAGGGCGTCTGCTCCGTGGTGGATGCAGTTGTGCAGAATGTGGGCAGGGCAGTACACCCCAATCAACGTCTCTCTCTGGAGGGATTTCTTCAGCTTGGCCAACACAGTCCTCGCCTCCTCGTCTTGCCGAAGTTCACCAAACATGGTGTTGCAGTTGTCCCCCGCGAAGGCCACGCACTTCTGAAGCAATCTGTGTTTCTTAAGAGCTTTGACAAGAGAGTCCGAAATGTCCATCTCGGTGGGACTTTCCTGAAGTTCCAGGAGTTTGGTCTTCAAGCCGCCGTTCCTGTAGTCATAATTGGATGAGGACAGGGACCATTTTCAGGGCCCTGTGGCTGCTGTCATCTATAGCCACCCCGCAGAAAGGGATGCCGTGTTCCTCCAGGGCCTTCAGGTCGAGGCTCACTGCATGCTGGGCAAGCACAGAGTTCTCAAGACTTTCTGTCCTGCTCCGGGTGTTGGAAAATTTTTGCGCTATCTCTGCGTCAGGAAATATTTTTCTCAACAACTCAGACGTGTGGTCTGTTGATTTGTAGCTGTTGCAACTTGGGATGGTGTGCACGGATAACGTTCTGTCTGCTGCAGCAAGAGCATCCTCGGCTTTCGTGCCTGGAGTCCCCAAAAATTCGGTCAGCTTTGCAGACCAGCTGTCTCCTCCGAGGGCTTTCTTGTGCTTTTCAGAGGACATGTGGTACTCCAGATCCCCAGCACCTTTATATGCCACCGTCACAAATGTGCCAGCTTTGCAAACCAAGCACTCTGCTTCATAATCATCTCTTCCTTTGCGAAAATGAGGATATTTCTGCTTCAGTTTGTCAGTAAAGACGCATTTTCCTTTAGGCATTTTCTATCTTCAGTGTGGCTCAAAATCTGAGATGGAATACTGCAGGAAACGAAATTGACTTAATTTAAGAAGGGAATGGAAGGAGAGATGAATTAAAAGTATCACTCCATCCTCATTTAAATAGATGCAATATACAAATAATACTCAATAATCAATGCAGAATTTGAAATTAAACAACGGGTCTTTTAAATTCACGTTAATATTAAGTGGAGCTGTAACCTAATTGTCTGATTGCTCATTTTCAACACCGAATTTGTTATATTTATCAAGGTCAAGCTATATTTATCAATTTCCATTTTAAAAGGAGCAGCAATCTGGGAGATTAAAACAAAGACTTAGTTCTCAAGTAACAGGAGGTACGAATAGATAGTCTTCAGTCTATAACTGTGATGGTGAACCTATGGCACGCATGCCCAAAGTGGCACACGAAACCATGTCGCCCGACATGCACAGCATTGCCTGTTTTTCTTCCGGGTTTCTGGCATGCATGCGCACGTGACGATCAGCTGTCCTTCACGCGGGCGACAGTGCCAAAAACCGGTGAGCGCATGCACGCCGGCCAGCTGAAGTTTGGCTTTTCCAGAGCGCAATCTGGAAAGGATTACGGCCTTTGAACGGCCACTAAATGAATGTTGTAAGTTAAGGACTACCTGTACCACCAACACACACATACACATACACACACCCCTACACCCCATCTATCTTATACTATCAGTGATGGCTAACCTTTTTGCCATCGCATTCCAAAAGCACGGGGAGCATGGAGGGGTCACGCGTGTGCGTGCCCACACCCATAATTCAATGCACCCTGCACTCCCCCCAATTTTGGCATGGGATGGCATGGTGGGCCCGTTTTTTGCCCTTCCCAGGCTCTAGAGGCTTTCTTGGAGCCTGGGGAGGGCAAAAATAGTCTTCCCCACCCCACCACAGGCCCTCCGGAGGCCAGAAACGGCCCGTTTCCTGAATTCCGGTGGGCCGGAAGGCCCGAAAATCAGCTGGCCGGCACGCACATGCATGCTGGAGCTGAGCTAGGGCAACGCTCGCGTGCCCACAGATATGGCTCCATGTGCCACCTGTGGCACGCGTGCCATAGTTTTGCCATCGCGGTACTAAATGCTTTGATTAACATGGCCACGGATGCAAGCAGATATTTGTTGCATTTATACTTGTGAAAAAAAATATTTGGTTCAACTCTGAACGTTGACCAAATGCAAGTTTTCCCCGTGAAAAATGCCTGTGTGCGATCATCTTTATTAGGATTAGTTATCTACTTTCCTACAGGGGGAGAAAAAAAAAAACCCCAATACCCCAAACAAAGATTATTGAACCAACTACAATGAAATCAGTAAGTGTTGCTTAAACTTCCATCCAAACTTTCAATCCCCTTTTACTCTTTTCTGCATTCCCTTCCAGAGGTTGCATTCAGCCGGTTTGGATTGGTTTGACTGAATCGGTAGCGGAAATCGGGGGTGGGCCTGCCCACCTGCCCCAGCTCAGTGCCATCCTATTTATTTATTTATTTATTATTCATATTTCTATGCCGCCCAGTCTCCGAGGACTCTGGGCGGCTTACACCAAAGACAGTATACTAAATAGCATATTGCCCCCAACAATCTGGGTCCTCATTTTACCCACCTCAGAAGGATGGAAGGCTGAGTCAACCTTGAGCCGGTGAGATTTGATCCGCTGATCTGCTGAACTAGCACGTTTAGACACGTTTTTGAGGCTGGGGGCATGTGCGGCCGGCGCAGGGGGGAACCGGTGGTAAGAAAATATGAAACCCACTGATTCCTTCCTTCCTAGTTCCTCTTTTAGTGTTTGTGACCCTGGCAGCTGGTTAATAAATATTTAATAAATATGAGTCCCCGTTTATCGTTTTTCGAGATGCTCAATAGACTACTCGTCTATTGTTATTAAAAAAAAATTAAAGGTAAAGCAATAACTTAAAACGCCAAACGATAAAAACCAACAAAGCTAAAGAGGGAAAGAAACAGCGAAATAAAGTCCCTGCCGGTCGTGAAATTACCGTTTCGGATCTACAAGGATCTGAGCTCCTGCCCTATGGAACGAATTGCCCCCGGATATACGAAGGATCCCCGACCTCCGTGCCTTCCGTCATGCGCTGAAGACCCTGTTATTCCAGCAAGCCGGTCTGATGGGACAATAATTTTAATCGGATTTTAAATATCGGTTTTTAATATGGTTTTATAAGGGTTTTAGAATGGGAATTTTAAATTTGGCCAAAATTGAATTATTTTAATGTGGTTTTTAAATTTGTCTTGTATATTGTTTTATTATGGCTGTTCACCGCCCTGAGTCCTTCGGGAGAAGGGCGGTATATAAATATAATAAAATCTAAATCTAAATCTGAGCTAAATGGCAGACGAAGGCTCCGGTTTTGGTGTGCTCCTATCCTGCTGTCTTTGGGAGTGGGTTTCTGCTGCCATGGGCATCCAGTGGTCCACAATCCAAGCAGTTTGTCTGAAATGGTCTAGGTAGGGTCTCCTGTTGAGTTGAGAATTGGACTAGAAGACCTCCAAGGTCCCTTCCAGATTTGTTCTAATTGAAATAGCATAAAGTCTCCTGTTTGAGCAGGGGGTTGGACTATAAGACCTCCAAGGTCCCGTTTCCAGCTCTATTCTGATTGGCTGCAAAAAAACAGAGTGCCCCTCCCCCAAACCCAGCGCCTGTTAATCTCACCTCATAGAAGGCAGGTGCACAGAGAAAGCTCTGGATACCTTCTTTCCTTTCGGTGCCCTCTAAAAATCCTGGAACTGAACTCTCACGCATCCACACACTCATCACACGCACAAGCCCGGATGGAGGAAAATTCCATGCAGCTCCAGGGAGGGGGGGGTTAAAGGGGGGGAGAGGAGGGGGGAGGGGAAAGAGGAAGTAAAACAAGATCCGGCTGCTGATTCGCCACTTTGCAGATCCTTCCGCTGCCCCCCCCCCCACCTTCCAAGCCATGCCAAAGAGCTATGTGGTGCAGAATGCCAATTCAATGAAAGTGAAAGGAAGTTGAAAGGTCAAAACTTTCCCCCTCTCCTAGCCACTGATGAAGCTTCCAGGGATAGGAAGCGAAACGTCCTCAAAAAAACCCAAAAAGTCCAGTCCAAGTTGCCTTTTCAAAAATTAAACACCGCTTTTGGAGACAAGCATGTCCTTGGATGATTGAGAATCTTCATAGGTATTATGAAGCCATACATTTTGGGATGAATGCCCTTTAGAATTATAGAACAGAATAACAGAGTCGGAAGGGACCTTGGAGGTCTTCTAGTCCAAACCCCTGCTTAGGCAGGAAACTCTACACCATTTCAGACAAATGGTGGTCCAACCTTTTCTTTAAAACTTCCAGTGTTGGAGCTTTCACAACTTCTGGTGGCAAGTTGTTCCACTGGATCAATTGTTCTAACTGTCAGGAAATTTCTCCTTAGTTCTAGGTTGCTTCTCTCCTTGATTAGTTTCCACCCGTTGCTTCTTGTCCTGCCCTCAGGTGCTTCAGAGAATAGCTTGACTCCCTCTTCTTTGGGGCAGCCCCTGAGATATTGGAACACTGCAGTGGTGAAATCCAAATTGTTTTACTACTGGTTCTGTGGGCGTGGCTTGGTGGGCATGGTGTGGCTTGGTGGACGTGGCAGGGGAAGGATACTGCAAAATCTCCATTCCCACCCCACTCCAGGGGAAGGATACTCCAAAATCCCCATTCCTTCCCCACTGCTGGGAGGATACTGCAAAATCTCCATTCCCACCCCACTCCAGAAGGATACTGCAAAATCCCCATTCCCTCCCTACTCCAGAGGGAAGGATACTGCAAAATCCCCATTCCCTCCCCACTCCTGGGGGAAGGATATACTGCAAATCCCCATTCCCTCCCCACTCCTGGGAGAAGGATACTGCAAAATCTCCATTCCCACCCCACTCTGGGGCCAGCCAGAGGTGGTATTTGCAGGTTCTCCGTAATACTCAAAATTTCCGCTACCGGTTCTCCAGAACCTGCTGGATTTCACCCCTGGAACACTGCTAACATGTCTCCCCTGGTCCTTCTTTTCATTAAACTAGACACACCCGATTCCTGCAACCGTTCTTCGTATGTTTGAGCCTCCAGTCCCCTAATCCTCTTGGTTGCTCTTCTCTGCACTATTTCCAGAGTCTCCACATCTTTTTTACATCGTGGCGACCAAAACTGAATGCAGGACTCTAGGCCTTACTTTGAAAGATGTGGGAGTAGGAACGGATTTCCAGAAAAGCTGCAGACTGCAAAATTGAATCTGTGCTTCAATCTGAGATGCAGACAATGCAGATTCATCCCCGTCAGCCTCGCAGGGTCTTCAACAGCGAAGGGACCCAGCCGGGCAGAAAGCACAGCTCTAACGTCTCAATAACCTCCTTCCATCTCCCACAGCGGCCGATACAACTGATGAACCTTCCAGGATAAAGGAAGGGAAATAATCTTCTTGTCCTCATTTCGGCCCCCTTTTACGACTTTTTCTTCCCATCGTTGTTAAGTGAATTACTGCCATTGGTAAGCGAGTCACAGGGTTGTTAAGTGAATCGGGGTTTCTCCCCCCATTAACTTTGTTCGTCAAAAGGGGGGGATCAGGTGACTCCAGGAAGCTGCGACCGTCGTAAATAGAAACCAATTGCCAAGGGTCTGAATTTCGATCACAGGGACTTACGGCCGTTTTTCACACTTAACGACCGTTGCAGGTCACGTGATCAAAATTCAGACTCTCGGCATCAGGTTTCGTATTTATGACGGCCGCAGGGTCACGTGATCCCCTTTTGCGACCGTCTTGACAAGCAAACTCAATGGGGAAGCCAGTTTCGCTTAACAACCGCAATGATTCACTTAACAACTTTGGCAAGAAAAATGGTTGCAAAATGCACTTCACAAAACGTTTCCCCCTTAGCAACTGAAATGTTGGGCTCCTTTGCGGTTGTAAATCGAGGACTATATGTATTTCAAATCCGCCATTTATATAAGAAAGCAGCGCCTAAGCGCATGCGCAATGACTTCCAACGGCTCCATGGCAGCGGCCAGAAACCGCTCTGAGGCCAGGCGGAGCAGGCTCCGCCCCTTCCTTTTGGCGATGTGACGCTCCGCTGCGTCGTTTGACCCCTCTCGAGCGTGGTATCCCTCCGCGCGGTGCGCGAGCTCCGCCTCCCAGCCCGCGACGTCAACATCGCTTCGTGGGGGGGGGGAAGAAAAAAAAAAGACTACAAACAAAATGGCCGCGCGGCCTCCGGAAGCTTCTCTCCGGGCGGAAAAAAGCCCCCCCCCCCCCCGGGTTGGTTCTCAAGAGCACCAGGAGCCCGTCTGCTCAACTCACCTGCCTTTCGCTCCGCCCTTTTCGCGGTTAGACTCCGCCCAGTTCCCAACGCCTTGCGCGCGGAGGCAGCGGCGGGCAGTGCGCACGCGCGGAACGTACACGGGGAAATGAGCGAGGACGGATGCTTTCCCCTCAGCGTCCGGCAGCGAGGAAGACGGAGCCGCCTTTTTGGACGGGGAGGAAAGCGTTTGCATCTGGGCAGAGCCTTTCCGGGAAGATGCGCTTTTTCTAGGCCGTCACCGGCTCAGGAGGAGGAGGAGGTCGTAAACAAGAAATGAGGAATCATGGCCTTATGGACTGCAACTCGCAGAATTCCTGCGCGCATGCGCTTTTTTCCCCGCCCAGAAAGGCGCATGTCGGCGGCCTCAGGAATTCTGGGAGTTGAAGTCCACACAAGTCAATTAAAGGCCAAGGTTCCGTAAACCAGTGTTTCTCAACCTTGGTAGCTTGAAGATGGGTGGACTTCAACTCCCAGAATCCCCCAGCCAGCAGCGCTGGCTGGGGGATTCTGGGAGTTGAAGTCCACCCATCTTCAAGCTACCAAGGTTGAGAAACACTGCCGTAAACTGTCCGTGTCGGCAGCCAGGCAGCGACTCTGTTCCCCTCTCCCCGAGCCGCAGCCCTCTTCTACCGGCCTTCCTGCCCCGGAGTAGCCGGGACTGGGCCTGTTTTCCACGAAAAATGCTGCAAAAGTGGCCATTAGGCAACATTTTCTAGGTGCTGCCAATAGTTAGTATAGAGGTAGTCCTCGATTTGCAGCAGTTCGTTTAGTGACCGTCCAAATGAAGTCAACAACCGCTAACTTGACTAGGGTGGCTCAGAGGCGAAGACGCTGAGCTTGTCGATCAAGAAAGGTAGGTAGGTAGGTTCGGCGGTTCGAATCCCTCGTACAGGCCTCCTGCGTGAGCAGGAGGGGGTTGGATTAGATGACCTCCGAGGTCCCTTCCAACTCTGTTACTGTTAAAGCACTGGGGGGGGAAAAAAGGGACTTAGGACCGTTTTTCACACTTAACAACCATTGCAGCATTCCCCAGGATCAGATGCTTGGCCACTGACTCGTATTTATGACGGTCACAGTGTCCCAGGGATCACATGATCCCTTTTGCGACATTTTGAACAAACGAAGTCCATGGCGGAAGCCAGATTCACTTAACAACGTATCAGCTGCGATGATTCGCTTAACAACTGTGGCAAGGAAATGTCGTAAAATGGGGGCAAACTCACTTTTAACAAATGTTTCGGGTAGCAACACAAATTTGGGGCTCACTCGTGGCCGTAACTTGAGGACTACGTGTCTTATTACTGTTTCTTTTCACGTTGAAGACTGTATTCCCTCTGAGTTGCTACTTAAAGTGGACTTTTGCACAAAAAATGCACAATTTCAGCTTTTCTTTTCAGAAGCAGTAGTCAATTATTACAAAAAGAGTGAAAAGCCTTGGTAGTACAGTGATCTAAAGCACCCTGTTATTAAAACCAGCTGCCTGTAATTACTGCAGGTTCGAATCTCGCCAGGCTCAAGGTTGACTGAGCCTTCCATCCTTTCTAAGGTAGGTAAATTGAGGACCCAGATTGTGGGGGCAATAAGCTGACTTTGTATAAAATATACAAAAGTATGAAGGCTATTGCTTAACGCATTGGAAGCCGCCCTGAGTATCCGGAGAAGGGCGGCATATAAATCAAATTTTAAAAAAAAAGCAGATTTCTTCCTCTTTGAATCCAAAGTGGAAGGCAGATCATCTCATCTATATATATTGGTATAAAATGGTTTGTCATGAATGCGACTGCTTGAGGGCTCCTGGATTGGAGTGGAAAGGCGAAAGGGAGCAGAATGCCTCCTCCCACATGTTGGGGTAGATAGAAAAACACTTTATATATATTTGGCTAAGTCTTATTTATTTACAGATGGGGGATGAATAAACATTGCTATTCTTCAAATGAACCTTCGTAAAAAAAAAAAAAAACTTGCATGGACGAAAATGTGGGGAAAAAAATCATTTTCTTCTGTGATTTTCATTAAAGTGTCCCCACTTCTGCTAAAATTTGCCGTAGCGATTTGAGATTGTTAACTAAGACACTGAGCTTGTCGATCAGAAAGGTCAGCAGTTCGGCGGTTCAAATCCCTAGTACAGGTCTCCTGCGTGAGAAGGGGACTGGACTAGATGACCTCCAAGATCCCTTCCAACTCTGTTACTGTCATCTCAAATTAGTGGGAACAAAATTGATATATTCCTTCAGTTTCAATGAATAATTAGAGCTGCAAGGAAAAATTACACTTACAACATTTTCTCATGAAAACGTTCAGCGCGCAATCTTGTTTCATCGTATTTTCAATTATTCTTTACAGGTTCTGTAAAGGCTCTAGAGGTTTATCTGGCTGGCACTGTTGTGACCAATTAATGAATTTTCCTCTCTATTGGTGTTACATATAAACTATTCCATTTTTTATCTTTAAGAAGACATATTTGCAAAATAATTTGCATGTTTGGTCTGTAATATTTGTATAATTTATATATACACTTTGGTAACAAAGCTATCTTCCAACCATCTCAGCCTACAAAGCATCTTCAATTTTACAATTTTGTGCTTTAAATTATGTGCAATACATTCATTCAAACCTTTTTATTCTGCCTGTATAGCAAAAAATACAAAGGGACTCCATAGCGGCTAACAGAAACTTGGTGTGGAGCCCAAAACACCACAGCAGGGACAGGTTAAACAAAAATATACATCAATGGATTTTTTTTAAATATGTCACATGATAAAGCATTATCCAAATTCCCAAATACTGTAAACTAAAAATAAAAAAACCCACCCCAATCTTTTTCTGTTTTTTCTCATTAGACACATGTGTATTTCTCGTTAGATCAAATCAAAAAAGGGAACATATATCTTTCCAATTGGCCTCTAAGATTTTCTTAGAGATAGTAGAAATTTGCACCATAGTCTACAGGAGTTCCCTCTAAGAGAAGCGCTCAGTATTTAGACTGCGGGAGGGAACTGCAAAGAAAAACTGCGCAATTTTTAAGAGTTCTGAATAGCATTCAACGGCTTTGACATTCAGAAAATATTTGGTCCATTTTTCATGTGAAAGCAGATGCTGGAACTCTTCTTCATTGCTGGAAGCTTCCACAAATTGTTTCAGGTTGTTGAACTGAATGAAACATTTCATACTGTCAATTTCCAGACCCTTTACACGTAAGTATGTTACACACGTTTCCACGTCACTCCAGCTCGGTGTGTCACTCAGGGCCATCCAGGCGAAGCAGGAAAACTCTTGCAGAGACGCCATCCACATCTCCAGGTAGTCGATGCAGTTACTGTAGAGGCGGCGCACGGCATCGGAGAAGGCGTCGCATCCTGCCTCCAGCCCCTCCTTGCGCTTGTCTGCAAGCATCCCCTTCACCGTCAGCGACATGAAGTTCTGGGCTCTACGGTCAAGCAGGATGGTGTGCACGGAGTCCAGCGTCTTCATCACCTCCACCAGGGAGTTATTTTCCCGCTCCATCTCTTCGATGTGCAAATGGAAGGCGTTCATCAGCGAGTGCATGTGCCAGAGGTAGAGCTCGCCGAACTCGTGCTCGAAGAAGCTCTTGAGCACGGCGGGCGGGTTGCTCTGGCCCAAGAAGAAGGACTTCAGGGCCGAGTGCATCTGGAGCAGCTTCGTGATGCCGGGGAACAAGGACAGCCAGCGGGTCCTGCTGTGGGAGAGCAGCCGCTTGTATTCCACCTCCACAAACTCGCAGTATTCGTGCAGGGGCTCCGTCCGCACCGCGTAGATGTGGAAGTACTGGTAGATCTTTAGGATGATGTTCTCAACGTCCACCTCCAGGGCGTCTGCTCCGTGGTGGATGCAGTTGTGCAGAATGTGGGCAGGGCAGTACACCCCAATCAACGTCTCTCTCTGGAGGGATTTCTTCAGCTTGGCCAACACAGTCCGCGCCTCCTCGTCTTGCCGAAGTTCACCAAACATGGTGTTGCAGTTGTCCCCCGCGAAGGCCACGCACTTCTGAAGCAATCTGTGTTTTCTTAAGAGCTTTGACAAGAGAGTCCGAAATGTCCATCTCGGTGGGACTTTCCTGAAGTTCCAGGAGTTTGGTCTTCAAGCCGCCGTTCCTGTAGTCATAATACTGGATGAGGACAGGGACCATTTTCAGGGCCCTGTGACTGCTGTCATCTATAGCCACCCCACAGAAAGGGATGCCGTGTTCCTCCAGGACAACCATATCTATGTGTGGAGCAAGCACATAATGTTCAATATTTTCTCTTTTGGTTTGGACGTTGGAAAATTTTTGAGCTAGGTCTGCCTCCGAAAATAACTTTCTCAACAAGTCAGAATTATCATCCACGGGTTTGTCCGTGTTGTGATTCACGACGGTGCGGAATGCTAAACTGCTGTCGCTCGCAGCAACAGCGTCTTCCGTTTCGCTGTCTGGATCCACAAAAAAGTCCGTTTTTGCACACCAATTGTCCCGCGTTATTGCTTTGTTGCGCTTGTATGCTTTGAGCGCTTTCTTGTGTTTGTCAGAGGACATGTGATACTCCAGATCCCCGGGACCTTTGTGCGCGACGGACACAAACGTGCCAGCTTTGCAGACCAAGCACTCCGCTTCATAGTCGTCTCTACCTTTGCGAAAATCGGGATAATTGCGCCGGGTTTTCTCAGTAAACAGACATTTTCTTTTGGACATGGTTTTTATCTTCAGGATGCACCTCGGAATCCTGCAGGAAACAAAGCGCAGAGACAGGTTCGAGCTTGGAAGGAACGCAATATTAAATCATACGGCTGGAAGGGACCCCAGAGGTCTTCTAGTCCAACCGCCTACCTGGTTGTCCAGTCTATAGAGAGCATTTTAACTTACTGCACCTGTGTCTGGTTTGCCAATTGCACAGTGGCAGATAGGTACAGCGCTCCAGAGGGTCAACGTCATTGCCCAGAGGGTCAATGGTTGCCCCCTCCCCTCTTTGGAAGAGCTTTATAGCTCCCACTGCCTTAAGAAAGTTCAAAACATCCTTAAAGATCCATCTCATCCTGGGCACCCTTTTTTTTTTTTTTTTTGAACTATTACCATCTGGCAGATGGTACAGGGCAATAAAAACAAGGACAGACAAATAGGCTGAAAAACAGCTTCTATGATCTCAGGGCAATAACCATATTGAATTCTACTCTGTAGTGTAATATTAATGTAGTATCAGGGGTTTTCAATTCAATTGTATAGAATGTGAAGGATGTGCAGTTTTGTTTTATTTTTATAGTTTTCTTATGTATGATGTACACTGAAGATGGCCTTTAATTCTGCTGTACGAGGTGCAATGACAATCAACTAAACTAAACTACGAATTTGATCCTAGGTAGAGGCAGATATTTCTCTCTCTGGGCACACTGAGAATAGATCTGCTGAACAAAACTCCGCATTGGCGACAGGAAGGGCATCCGGCCAGTAAATACTTCGCTAGCTCCATTCAGTCGCCCAGACTCTACCCTGCAAGGCAGGGGTGGGTTCTACTTACCTTTACTACCGGTTTGTAACGGGGCTCGCACTTCGCTCGCGTCCACTCTTCTGCGTATGCACAGAAGCATTTTGATGACATCGGGGTCGGTGGGCGGAGCCTCCCGCCGATTTTACTACCGGTTCTATAGAACCGATGCGAACCGGGGGCAACCCACCACTGCTACAAGGGGATTATGGGGTCGTTAAACAAAGACTGTAAGAATTAAGCACATGCATTCTCAAAAGTTTGCTCCTTTTAACCTTGGTTGCAAACCACTCATTAATAAATAAACACACTAACATAATATTACATCATATTTTATATAATGTAATGTTAAGTGTTTTTAACGTGTTTTTGTTGCATTTTTCTTTATTTTGTTTTTAAAAGTCAAAAGTTTTAATAAAAATAAAAAAAAAATAAACACACTAACTAAAACTGTCCTATTCTGAAAGCCCAGCCATTTCCACCCTCTCTCTCTCTCTCTCTCTCTGGCTCTGCACAATCGAGCTTTTGCTTAGTTTATGGTTCAGGTTGTTTTGTGAATCCAGTTTGGTGGATTAGATAGAAGGCTAGTTTTTTTTTTTTTTTTAAAAAGAGCTTTTATCTTTGTTTCTTGGAAATCTGTTTGCACCAACCCGGTTGTGGGGGGGGGGGTCATCAACTGACAGCGGAGCCCACTTGCTGGATTTGCAGAAAAAGGGGCAATTCAGCCACTGGGGTTTAACGTGTTGTGGGAATGCAAGCCAGGTCGGGCAACCTTGGTTGGCTCATGCAACGAGATCAACGTACCTTCAGGACACCGATCCTGGGTGGGAAGAAGCAAAAAGGCCGAGCGGACCCTCCAGCCGCTCACTCGCAACGCCCCATCTGCGAGAGCATCCTTTTTTCTTTTTTCTTCTTCCCCTTTTGGGTCTCCAACCTGGGCGACTTTACGACTTGCGGACTCCAACTCCCAGAATTCCTCCGCCTTGCTGGAAACCGGGCCATTAATGGACCCCTTCCGGCTGAGGGATTCTGGGAGTTGAAGTCCGCAAGCCGTTTAAAAGTCTTTTTCCAAAATTTCCCCGCCCCGGAAGATGCCTGGGATGCAAAAGAAGGGAGGGCCCAGAGGAGCGCATGCGCGCTGACTCGCAACGGATCCCAGAGTTTTTGCGCTGAGTGGGCCCGTCCCCCCTCCCAGTCCTCCGATGACGTCAATATAGCGCCGTAGGGTAGGGGGGGGAAGCAAACCAAAGGGGCCCGCCCGCATTGATTCTCAGGGCGCCGGAGAGGGGAGGTGGGGAGTTCTTCAATATAACAAATAAAAAAAAATCATAACTTGAATAATGTTAGGGTTGGAAATTCCTCTAGCAAAGATAGCCTTGTGGACTTCAACATGCTGGCTGAGGAATTCTGGGAGTTGAAGTCCACAAGTCTTAAAAGTGCCCTGTGCAAATAACACTTCCTGTTTCTTTACCAGCCCTCCTCCCTAAATCCCTCCCAAAATGTCGTCACTGAGTAGAGGAGGCGGGGGGGAGGAGAGTAAGGAGCACAGCCAATGACTTAACCGGGAAAGGGTGACGTCATGTGGGATGGGTGGGGTCCAACTAGTGGAACTTCAGAAAAAGCTTTACAAGGAAAGGCGGAGGAGGTAGGAAAAGTTTGGGATTTTGTTGGGGGGGGGGGGGATTTTGTTCTTGGTGGTTTTCTTGCAGACGTTTCATGACCCAACTAGGGAACATCATCAGTGCTTGAAGTGAAAGGTGTTGGCAGAGAGGAGGAGGGCTCATCAGGGATAGAATGGAGTGGGGTTTGTAGAGAGGAAATGGAGGAGGAGGAAGAAAAGGAGAGGAAGAGGAGGAGGGGACCTTGGGGACCTCTGAGCTTGGTGCTTTTCTTGCAGACGTTTCATGACCCAGTTAGGTAACATCATCAGTCCTGGAAGGGTTTTTCTTCCCATCCGGTTTCACTCTCCTGTTTCCTTAGGATGAGACCTTTATTGCTTTTTTTAATTGATCCCAATATATGTGGGAAATATATTTTCCTTAATCCCAGTTAGCTTGCCTTGCCTTCCAGCCCCCACTTAGGTTGGCTAAATCATGGCTATTCTCTTGCTATTAATATAGGTAGTCTTCAATTCACAACCACAACTGAGCCCAACATTGCTGTGGCTAAAGCGAGACCGTTGTTAAGTGAGTTTGGCCCCATTTTACGACCTTCCTGGCCACGGTTGTCAATCGGAATCACTGCGGTTGATAAGTTAAGGAACCCGGTTGTTAAGTGAACCTGGCTTCCCTGTGGACTTCGCTTGTCGGAAGGTCGCAAAAGGGGATCAGGTGACCCCGGGACACTACGACCGTCATAAATATGAGTCGGTTGCCAAATATCTGAATGTAAATCACGTGACCACGGGGATGCCACAACGGTCCTGTGTGAAAAATGGTCCTAGGTCACTTTTTTCAATCCTGTGATAACTTCAGTCACTAAATGAACTGTTGCAAGTCAAGGACTAGTGGGGATTGCGGGGGGAATCAGAGGTGGGTTTCAGCAGGTTCTGACCAGTTCTGAAGAACCAGTAGCGGAAATTTTGAGTAGTTCGGAGAACTGGTAGTAAAAATTCTGACTGGCCCTGCTCCCATCTCTTCTCTGCCTCCCGAGTCCCAGCTGATCGGGAAGAAATGGGGATTTTGCAGTATCCTTCCCCTGGAGTGGGGAGGGAATGGAGATTTTACAGTATCCTTCCCCTGCCATGCCCACCAAGCCACACCCACAGAACGGTAATAAAAAAATTTGAAACCTACCACTGGAGGGGAATGCAGCCTGTCATAGCATGTTGCATAGGTTTTAATGCCACAATGTCCTGTCATGTTCTGTTAATACCCATTTTAACATCTGAGCATGTTACAAAGCCTTTGGCTAGGCTGAGAAATGAATATTGGACCATAAAGAAGGCTGAGAAGGCCAAAGAATGGAGGCCTTTGAACTCTGGTGCTGGAGAAGACTCCTGCGAGTCCCTTGGACCGCAAGGCCATCCAACCGGTCAGTCCTAGAGATCAACCCTGACTGCTCTCTAGAAGGCCAGATCCTGAAGAGGAAATTCGAATCCTTTGGCCACCTAATGAGAAGGAAGGAAGGACTCCGTGGAGAAGAGCCCAATGCTGGGAACGATGGAGGGCAAAAGAAGAAGAAGGGGACGGCAGAGAACGAGGTGGCTGGATGGAGTCACTGAAGCAGTCGGCGTGAGCTTAAATGGACTCCGGAGGATGGTAGAGGACAGGAAGGCCTGGAGGAACGTCGTCCATGGGGTCGCGATGGGCCGGACACGACTTCGCAACTAACAGCCGCCCTGAGTCTTTGGAGAGGGGCGGCATACAAATTGAATTAATAATTGAACTAATAAACAACAAAAGAAATGAATATGTGCATATGTTTAATTTGTTGTCAAGCATACAATTTGTTTTTCTTTTGGGTTACAGATGGAGGGGGACAAACTTATGGTCCCCCCCAGTGGGGACCAAAGCTCTCAGCGAAGTAGCGTCTCTTCCACCGGTCCTCGTGGTGAGTGAATGGAAATGCCCTGTATGTATGAGTGAAAATCAACATTTTCCTAAATGCATTTATTGTACGGCATATCATACACGGACTAGCAATATATGTTACCATTTCACTTAGATTAGTAAAACACAATAAAATATTCATGTTAAAAAGATCTATATTAAAAAAATCATTGTCTAGGCCAGGAATCTCCAACCTTGGCAACTTCAAGCTTGGAGGACTTCAACTCCCAGCTTTGCTGGCTGGGGAATTCTGGGAGTTGAAGTCTAACTGTTGAAGCACAGCATCATTGATATTAAATAAATCAGATACTCGATCGGTAGTTGTCCTCATTTTACAGCCAGTCACGATTGGTGGATTTGTTTTTGGCTGTTTTTTTTTTCTTGAAGGAATTGTGTGAACCTAGAAAATTAAGTCAGCCATCAGATTGTCGTGCTGTGTGAACACCGCAGCTGTTACTCCTTTTTAACTCTTCCTTTCTTTCCACTTTAGCCCAGGACGTCCTGGTTTATCTTGTGGATGACACTGTGGTGCGTCTAACGATGGACAACCTACCCTCCGTCACGGCTCACGAGGTGCATCGGATGGTGTTGGATGTGCTGAAGCTGCCCGAATATGCCCTCGAGATCTTTTCCCTGTGGCTCATCTCTCCCTTCCTTGGTAAGAAGTTGTTAGGAGGTTTGAGCCTAACAAGTTGTCCAGGCAATATATGTGTTCTGTGACTTTAATATGAATACGTATTGTGTGACTTTAAAGCTTTACTGCTGATTCATTGTAATGCTGAGTCATGCTGTAATTCGATTATCACTAGCTGTAAATGTATTTAAGAAAGGTACTGTAAAGTATTCAGTTGATGATAAGCTACCATTGTGTGAGGAGTTGCTATCATTGTGCTATCATCGTTGGATGGATCTGCTACCATCGTGGTTTGTGAACCAGAGTGAGTTTGTTATTCTAACCAACTACTGTTTGTGTGGTAAGAAGAGTTTTTGTATCACTGGACTGATTTAACTGGCAAAGACTCGGATTGATTTAAAAGACTATGAGGTTGTTTTTTCACTATAAAGTAAGCTTTTGATAAACCAGTTTGCACATCTCTTATTCATTGCTCTCAGCAACGTTTATCTGTGCTCTGCACTCTGCTGGTTGGTAACACAACAACAATATCCTTAACAGAACTGTTGTGGTCCGCTGGCAGCCTGCGGAGCTGGCAGCGGAGTCAGACAGTGAGGAGGCTGGGGAGGAACATGGGCCAGTCCTGGAGTCTGGGAAAGGCTCAGACGAGGGCTCTGCGTCGGTGTTCTGCAGACCCCAAAGAACGCAGCACACACAAAGTCCGTACAAACCTTAGTTTACTAATGAAGGACTACTAATGAGCTTTCTTAGTAGTTGTTCGAACACAAGTACAGTTTAAATCAGTCTTTTCTGAACAAGGGCTGTTCATTTAACTTCATTAACAGCCGACAAGAATCCAAAGAATAATAACTCAATTCTGAGGCACAGTATTTCAGATAACCGTAATCTTACTGTGGTTGGCAGAATGCCCAGAAGCAATTTGCAGGAAAACTGACGAGAGAAACAAGAGCCGAATCAAATGTTTCTGGAATCAAGACGCGAAGGAATATGAACGAAGTTGTTTCCTGCAAATTGCATCAGTTGTTGTCCTTCCTTAAATAGGCTAGGGGAGTGGCCAATTAGCCCCAAGCCTTTCTCTTGAGGAGACCTCCTCCTGAGGAGCCACTCCTGCCTTTTAACAAATCTGCGCACTTGTGCATCGAGAAGAGGCTCCTCCTCTTCTTTCTCTTCACTTATGGGAGCTTCTGAAGGCCCTGGCTGAATCCCTGCCTCCGGCACCACATCTTCTCCAGCCTCCTCATTGTCTGACTTGAGCGCCAGCGGCACACGCTGCTGGCGCAGCACCACACCAGCCTTCTCTTCGCTGTCAGAATCAGCTACTAACTGCACAGGCTGCTGACGGGCCACAACAGTTGGAGGCAGAGATGGGGCCAGGGCCATCTGGGAGTTAAGTGCTGACTCTGGAGCCTCCAGAGTCTAACATCAGAGAGGAACAGGGGGAGCCTGTTCCCAGTGCGCGCATGCGCAGAGCTGCCAGAAGGCAAGAGCAGTTAAGACAAAAGGGGCGACTCGGGAGTAAGGCTTGGAGATGATTGACCCCTCCCATAAGACATGAAGGTGGAGCAAAGGCACGTGAGCCTTTGCAGGAAGCATCTTTGTTCGTGCCGGTAGGTTTAAATTCTGAAGCTCCGTTTTGACTCTGTGCTCCGTGTGGCCTTGCAAAGTTCACTGCCAATTAGGTCTTTGGCAGCGTGTCAAGGGAGATAAAGGTGGGTGCTTATTAGCCTTATCCCGAAGGATTGTGGCAGATGTCTGTCGGACTCTTTGTAAACTATTTGTGACTTAACACGGGCTGTGAATGAACAGAATTCATAGCCGTTGAAATAGTTTTGGGGACTAATTGTGTGCTTTTTACTATCTCAGGAAGCCTAGGTCAGAACCAAGACTCCAAAGGTGTCTTCACTCTTCCTCCACCCTGCCCAGAGAGGCCTTTGTGGCGTTTTGGTTGAGATGGCAGGGATGTGAAGGGCAAGCAGTTGCCAGGCGGCCAGGCAAGAGCTGAATGGTTTGCCCTGGCTGTAGACTTCTTTGCTCTGTGCTCGCAATAACCCTCTTCGCTGCACCAGGTGCAAACCTTGAGGTTGTAAATGCAAGCATGCTAAACTTGGATTGTGGTCACCTTGGCTTGATATTTTGCTGGCTCAGCATGTTTGCAATTATTCCCTTTGTGTTTCAATCTGTCGATCGGTCAGGATAGAGCTGGAAGGGACCTTGGAGGTCTTCTAGTCCAACCCCCTATTCAAGCAGGAGACCCTATGCCATTGCAGACAAATTGCTGTCCAGTCTAAAAACCTCCAGTGATGGAGCAGCCACAGCTTCTGGTGGCAAGCTGTTCCACTGGTTAATTGTCCTTACTGTTAGGAAATTTCTCCTTAGTTTCAGGTGGCTTCTCTCTTTGATCAGTTTCCGTCCATTGTTCCTTGTCTGGCCTTCAGGTGCTTTGGAAAATAGCTTGACCCCCTCCTCTTTGTGGAAGTCTCAATATTTTTTTTTCTTTTTGTAATGTGACCAAAAACTGGATGCAGTATTCCAGGTGTGGCCTTACTAAGGCTTTGTAAAGTGGTACTAATGCTTCACGTTGCATCTGTTAATGCAACCGAGGGCTGTATTTGCTTTTTTGGGGGGGCTGCTGCCGTCCACAGCTGGCTGACGTTTAAGGGCCATCGTCCGCTAGGACTAAATTTGCTTTTTTGCAAAATCAATTTGGGACCCAAAAGGAAGGGCGTTGCTATAAACCCCATCGGCTGAGTCCGCCCTTCTCTTTCTGTCTTGCAGAGGTTCAGCTGAAGCCCAAACACCAACCGTACAAGGTCTGCCGGCAGTGGCAAGAGCTGCTCTTCCGTTTCACCGGCTGCTCTGTGGATGAGATCATGGAAGGTGCTTGCAATCTCCCTGGGCAAATGGGATACGTACTAAAGTCCCTTCTCTAATCCTTAAAAAAAATAAAAAAAAAATAATAAGAGCTGTTCTTTCACTCCAGTTCTGCACCTACAAGCCCAGAGCAGGGGTGTCAAATGCCATTTCATTGAGGGCCGCATCAGGGTTGTGTTTGACCTCGGGGGGCGGGAGGTTGGGGGGGGGGCATGGCCAGCTCAATGTCACTCGTATTGGGAGGGGCTGTGGGGGGCCCTCCCAATATGGAAGTGCTAAGGCAGGACATCCCTCAGACCTTCCCTCCCTCTCATTATAATCTCCTTCCTTCCTTCCTTCTTCCCTGCCTTCTTTTCCCTATTTCTCCCTTTGCTTCCATTTTTCCTTCCTTCCTTTCCTTTCCTTCTTCCCTGCTTTCCTTCCCTATTTCTCCCTTTGCTTCCATTCTTCCTTCCTTCCTTCCTTCTTCCCTGCCTTCTTTCCCTATTTCTCCCTTTGCTTCCATTCTTCCTTCCTTCCTTCCTTCCTTCCTTCCTTCCTTCCTTTCCTTCTTCTTCCCTGCCTTCCTTCCCTATTTCTCCCTTTGCTTCTATTCCTCCTTCCTTCTTCCCTGCCTTCTTTCCCTATTTCTCCCTTTGCTTCCATTTTTCCTTCCTTCCTTCTCCTTTCTTCTTCCTTCCCCTTTCCTCCTTTTTCCTTCCTTGCTCTCTTCCCATCTTTCTTCTTTATCTTTCCTCTTTCTCTTTCTCCTCTCCTGTTTCTTCTTGCATGCTCAAATGCAAAAGGCGAAGAAAGATTTCTCCTTTAATTTTGTGTTCAGTTTGTTTTGCTAGCTCTCTGCCAGCAAAAACGGAGCCCTTGGAGGTATGGCGTTCCTGAGCTCCATTTTCACTGGCAAAGGCACTGTGAGCCGGTCCTTTGCTGTTTCCAGGGCGGCCCCCCACGGGCCAGATCTAAGCACCCCATGGGCAGGATCTGGCCCACAGGCCTTGAGTTTGAACACCCCTGGCCCAGAGTGTGATGCACCATGTTGGAGTAGCTAAAGTTGGGTAGTTTTCTTAGCCTCTTGTGTTAACCCAACATTCGGGAGAAACTTTCGGCTTATTTATTTGAGTATCACATGAGTGCATTCTTCAACTTTTGTTAACCCAGGTTAAGGGTCGAGCATGTTATTCACATGGGAATCCAGGTGCAGAATTCGAGTGTTACAGGAGCATTTGGCCTTTACCTGCAGGTGTCCTTAAGGCAAAAATTATTCATTCATTCATTTATCCATCCATTCGTCCATCCCCCCCATTTCATCCACTCACCATCCATCCGTCTGTCCATTTATCCATCCATCCATCCAAAAGGGGATCACATGATCCCAGGACACTGCAACAGTCCTAAATACGAGTCAATTGCCAAGCATCCAAATTTTGATCATGTGACCTGCTGCAATGGTCGTAAGTTGAAAAATGTTCCTAAATCAATTTTTCAGTGCCATTGGAACTTCACACCGTCACTAAATGAATGGTTGTACAGTTGAGTCGAGGATTACCTGTATGGTGTGTGTGGTTTATACTGTTGGGAGGTTTATGGAACATATTTACAGATAGTCCTCGACTTACGACCACAGTCGAGCCCAAAATTTCTGTTGCCTATGCTTGTCCGAAGATCACGTGACCTCAGGACACTGCAACTGTCATAAGTACCGGTCAGTTGCCAAGAGTCCGAATTTTGATCACATGACCATGGGGATGCTGCAATGGTCTTAAGTGTGAAAAATGGACATAACTCATTTTTTTCAGTGCCGTTTCAACTTCCAACGGTCACTAAGCAAACTGTTGTAAAACCGAGGACTATCTGTATTCTTCTAAACTGAACTGCTAGGACAAGGTTTAGATTAGATTAACAGAGTTGGAAGGGACCTTGGAGGTCATCTAGTCCAACCCCCCGCCCAAGCAGGAGACTCTACACCCTTTCTCACAAATGGCAGTCCAGTCTCTTCTGGAAAGCCTCCAGTGATGAAGCTCCCACAACTTCCGAGGTGATACATTTCCAAAGTAGGTAACAAGTAAAATAATCCAATTCTGGGACTAATGCATAGAAGGTCTCCATTTTGTGCGTTTCCTTAAATTCTTCCCCAGGGGAACAAGGATTTTAAATCACAGCCTATCCCGTTTTTTTCCCCTGACTTTCTCGCAGACGAACCGTCACTTCAATTCCGCAGAAATATCTTTTTTTTGAGACGGAAGGAGCTGCAGGTGAGTTCAAAGAGAGTCCAGCTGATCCTTGCAAAATCCATTTACGGCTTTAGGGCAGGATGTGGCCCTCCAACCCTGATTACAGTAGTGGCCAAAATGATAGAAACCTTTTGGGAAAAGTGTATTTTTGAGGTTTGATGGCTAATAACACCACTTTTTTGGGGGGGAGTTTCAAGATAATCCTATTCCACTGCTGGAATGGCCTGGGAATCGCCCAATAGCCTTAACCCAATTGAAAATCTATGGAGCCAATTAAAGAAACTTGTTAGTCAGAAGAAACCTAGCAATAAAACCCGGTTAATAAAGCCATCATTCAATCTTGGCTTCACATTATAAACAGCTGCAGAACTAAAAGACTTGCGTTCCCTCCATGGGAAGATGTTGTAAGGCCGTCATTCATGCTAAAGGTTACCCAACTAAGGATTAACTGACATGGGGATCATTTTTGTATCTCTAATTTTTTCTACATGTTTCCCTTTTCTTCTCTATACTGTAACTGCTATTCTAATAGCAAATCTTTCATAAAAGTTATTGCATTACATTCTTAATTAAATTATCTTTCCATTGATATATAATTTTATGGTACTACTCCAAAAAAAAGTGGTGTTATTACCATGTTTCCCTGAAAATAAAACCCTGTCTTATATTTTTTTGAACCCTGAAATAAGTGCTTGGCCTTATTGCCATGGGCTAAAAAGCCCAATTGGGCTTATTATCAGGGGATGACTTATTTTGGGGGAAACAGGGTAGCTAGTTTTAGAAAATACACTTTTCCCAAAAGGTTTCCACAATTTTGGCCACTACTGTACAAACCAACCCCTCATAGGTTGAGCCAGTTGCAAGTTAGAACCACAGCAGAAAATTTTCAACACTTCATTTCAGAAACCCAAATATTGTTTAATAATCCTTGCTGAATAGAGCTTTGTTTTCTTTTCTCTTAGAAGTCTTGAAAAAGACAAACAAACCCTAAGAGGTGTGAGGATTTTGGTTATTCCAAAAATTGGGGATTTTTCTACCCAAATCCTTGTGATCTTCCCTTGTTTGTTTTGGGGGTGCAAAGGGGTAGGGATGACAGGGTAAAGAAAACTCTATAAAGTATAATTGAATTGACTTGCTGTCTTTTTGCCATTATGGAATCGTTAAAAACCTAAATTTCACGATTCTTTGTATGACGAGAATGCAGGAAAGGGATTAATGGATACGTTGATTAATGACATGTAGATATATCATTCACTTTTGAGGGAACGCAATTCATCCTGCCTTTACGCCCGTGTAATTTCCTTGGGAATAGTATGGAAATGGATTGACATTCTGTAATTTAGAATAAAATAGAATAACAGAGTTAGAAGGGACCTTGGAGGACTTCTAGTCCAACCCCCTGCTCTATCAGGAAACCCTACACCATTTCAGACAAATGGTACAAATTTTGTTTTGGGATATCTTTCTTTCTTTTTTTTTTAACTTCTCTGTCCTGCCCTGGAGTTTCCTTGTCCCCCTCCCAAGTACAGTTGGCCTCGACTTACGACCGCAGTCGAGGCCAAAGTTTCTGTGGCTAAGTGAGACATTTGTTAGGGTAAATCTTGCCCCATTTTACGACCTTCCTTGACTCCATTGTTAAGTGAATCACTGCAGCTGGTAAGTTAGTAAAACCCGGTTGTTAAGTGAATCTGGCTTCCCCCGTTGACTTCGCTTGCCAGAAGGTCGCAAAAGGGGATCACGTGACCCTGGGACACAGCAATGGTCATAAATGTGAGTCAGTGGTCAAGCAAGCATCCGAATTTTGATCACATGATCATGGGGAGGGTGCAAAGGTTGTAACTGGGCGTAACGGTCCTACGTCAACTTTTTTTCAGTGCCGTTGTAACTTTGGACGGTCGCTAAACAAACTGTTGTAAGTCCAGGACTGCCTGGTGTTCATCTGGCTTGATGATGTTACCCATAAAATGCGTCCCAAAATAATACCGTGTTTCCCCGAAAATAAGACCCTGTCTTACATTTTTTTTTGAACTCCAAAATAAGCACTTGGCCTTATTTTCGGGAAGGTCTTATTATTTTGGGTTGTGTGGAGCAAGGCAGGGCTCCTCTTGCCGTCTTACCTGATTTCCAGCTCTGCATTTAAATATTTTCGGGGAGGGCTTATTTTTGGGGGGAGGCTTATTTTAGCGCATGCTCTCAAAAGCCTGATTGGGCTTATTATCAGGGGAGGTCTTATTTTCGGGGAAACAGGGTAAGACCTCCCTGAAAATAAGGCCAAGTGCTTATTTCGGGGTTCAAAAAAAAAGCATAAGACAGGGTCTTATTTTCGGGGAAACACGGTAGCTGATCTTTGAGATCCTGTATGGTTTTTTTTTTCCTTCAGATTCAAGATGAAGACGTTCTGCGGCTCTTGTACGAAGAGGCCAAGTACAACGTTCTGGAGGGAAGGTATCCGTGTGACCCGGCCGATTGTGACGCATTGGGAGGCCTGGTTTGCCGAATCAACTTAGGCCCCTACAACCCGGAGGAGCACACGGCTTCCTTCCTGAAGTAGGTGGAACCCAAACAGCAACTGAATTCTGTGTTTCTCGAGGCTAATGGCCAAATACTGGAAAGGTTTCTTTGAAGCAGAGGGGAAGCAAGAGTGGTGAAAAATTAAGAGTTAGAAATAATGGTGAAAAACATGTACAGGTAGTCCTTGGCTTACAACAGTTCATTTAGTGACCATTCCAAGTTACTAGATAAAGTGCCTTATGACCATTGTTCACGGTTATGACCGTTCCAGCATCCCCATGGTCATTTGATCAAAATTCAGATGTTCAGCAACTGACTATTTATGATCATTGCTCTGTCCCAAAGTCACGTGATTCCCTTTTGCAACCTTCTGGCCAACAAACTCAGTGAAGTCAGATTCACTTAACAACCATGTTGCTAAGAGGCATGGTGGCACAGTGCTTAGAATGCAGTACTGCACGCTACTTCTGCTGACCGCCAGCAATTTGGCAGTTCGAATCTCACCAGGCTCAAGGTGGACTCAGCCTTCTGTCCTTCCGAGGTCGGTAAAATGAGGATCCAGATTATTGGGGGCAAAATGCTGACTCTGTAAACTGCTTAGAGAGGGCTGCAAAGCACTGTGAAGTGGGATATAAGTCTAAGTGCTATCTTCCTTCCTTCCTTCCTTCTTCCCTTCCCTTCCCTTCCCTTCCCTTCCTAATGATTAGAATGCAATATTGCAGGCTAATTCTGCCCACTGCCAGGAGTTCGATCCTGCCTGGCTCAAGGTTGACTCAGCCTTCTGTCCTTCCAAGGTCGGTAAAACGGGGACCCAGATTGTTGGTGGAGCAAGAGGCTGACTCTGTAAACTGCTTAGAGAGGGCTGCAAAGCACTGTAAAGTGGGATATAAGTCTAAGTGCTATCTTCCTTGCTTCCTTCCTTCCTTGCTTCCTTCCTTCCTTCCTTCCCTTCCCTTCCTAATGATTAAAATGCAATATTGCAGGCTAATTCTGCCCACTGCCAGGAGTTCGATCCTGCCTGGCTCAAGGTTGACTCAGCCTTCTGTCCTGCCAAGGTCGGTAAAACGGAGACCCAGATTGTTGGTGGAGCAAGAGGTTGACTCTGTAAACTGCTTAGAGAGGGCTGTAAAGTACTGTGAAGCAGTATATGAGTCTAAGTGCTATTCTCCTTCCTTCCTTCCTTCCTTCCTTCCTTCCTTCCTTCCTTCCTTCCTTCCTTCCTTCCTTCCTTCCTTCCTTCCCTAACTCCGCCCACAGTCAGGAGTTTGATTCTGCCTTATATCCTTCCAAGGTCGGTAAAATGAGGACTCAGATTGTTGGGGGCAAGAGGCTGACTCTTTACAGACTCCCTAAACCGCTTAGGGAGGGCTATAAAGCACTGTGAAGAAGTATATGAGTCTAAAAGCTGTTGTTATTTTCCTTCCTTCCTTCCTTCCTTCTGTCCGTCCTCCCTTCCCTTCCCAATGGTTAGAATGCAATATTGCAGGCTAATTCTGCCCACTTCCAGGAGTTCGATCCTGACTGGGTCAAAGTTGACTCAGCCTTCCTTCCTTCCGAAGTGGGAAAAATGAGGTCCCAGCTTGTTGGGGGCAAGAGGCTGACTCTGTAAACCACTTAGAAGAGGGTTCTAAAGCACCATGAAGGGGGATATAAGTCTAAGTGCTCTTGCTAACTTAACAACTGCAGTGATTCACTTAACAACTGAGGCAAGAAAATTCATAAAATGGGGCAAAATTCAATTAACAAATATCTGACTTAACAACAGACATTTTGGGCTCAGCTGTGGTCATAAGTCAAAGATCACCTATATATATTCTGTTCTGTTCTGAAAGCAGGGAGGGGAGCAAGGACTGAGAACCGCTGGCTGAGTGGGAACTTCTGTTTTTTTAAATTTTCTTTTTCCTTCCTTCCTAGAGAGAAGCTGGATTGCTTCCTGCCCTCCCACCTTTGCCACAGAGGCCACAAGCTCTTTGCCAGCCTTCGGAAACGGGGCGGCTCTCGCCTGCCTGTCAGCGAGCAGGGTCTCCTGCGTGCCTTCCGTGAGGTCCCGGAGGCAGGGGCTTGCGAAGAACACGCCACTCTGCTCAGGTTGTACCACGCCTACCTGCAGAAGTCCCACGAGCTTCCGTATTATGGGTAGGTTTGGGTGGCTGCGTGGAACTACGAGACCCAGGAAAACTCTGACAAGTGTTGGCAGCAGAGTCAGACAATGAGGAGGTTGGGGAGGAATGTGGGCCAGGCCTGAAGTCTGGGGAAGTCCTGGACGAGGGCTCTGCATCGGAGGCAGAGAGGGAGCCAAGGCCATCTGGTAGTTCTTTGCTGCCTCCCGAGTCTCCAGAGTCTGACATCAGCGAGGCAGAAGAACAGTGGGAGCCTGTTCCCAGTGTGCGCATGCGCAGAGCTGCCAGGACACAGGAACAATTAAGGAAACAGGGTCGACTTAGGAGTAAGGCTTGGAGATGATTGGCCCCTCCCATAAGACATAAAAAAGAAGCGAACAAGACGTGAGCTTTTGCAGGAAGCAATTAGTTCATCTGGCCGATTCAAGATTTGAAAATTCTTGTTTGTGACTCTGTGCCAAGTTTGGCCTTGCCTTGTGTGTGGAAATTTGTTCTCTGGCAGCATTCCAAGGGAGATAAGGTGGGTGTTTATAAACACTCCCCTGAAAGACTGTTTGTGAAGCCTGTCAGACTGGGAAGGAAAATAATTCACAGCTGTATGAATAAAGAGGTTTGCCAGGACTAAGATTGTGCTGTATACTTTCTACAGAAGCCTAGGTCAGGAAGTGAGGCATTTGGTCACGAATCATGAATGACACTTTTGTCCGCCTCCTCCCTCCCTCTCTCTCTCTCTCTGCAGCTGCGCCTTCTTCTTTGGGGAAATAGACAAGCCGGTCCAGGGGTTACTACATCGGGCCGGACGTAAAGCTGTGACGGTGGCCATTAGCCTGGAGGGCGTCTATATCATAGACAGCAAAGAGAAGGTAAAACCGGGGAGGGCGGTTTGTGGGTTGGCCAAGCCGTTTGGGATTCTTCAGCCTTTTTATGGATCTGACTTACTGCTTAGATGAGGTGGCCTGTTATTAGATTAGATTAACAGAGTTGGAAGGGACCTTGTAGGTCATCTAGTCCAACCCCCTGCCCAAGCAGGAGACCCTACACCGTTTCTGACAGATGGCTGTCCAGGCTCTTCTGGGTTGATTGTTCTGACTTATTCAGTACAGGGGGATCCTCAACTTACAACTGTTCATTTAGTGACCAAAGTTAGAACAACACTGAGAAAAGCGATTTAGGGCTGTTTTTTCACACTTATGACCATTGCGGCATCCTCATGGCCACGAGAGTAAAATTCAGACATACCTCCGATATAGAGGTAGTCCTCAACTTACAACAGTTCGTTGAGTGACCGAAGTGACTTAGGGACATTTTTCACACTTTTGACCCATTGCGGCATCTCCATGATCAAAATTCAGACGCTTGGGTCAACCGACTCATATTTATGACAGTGGCGGTGTCCCTGGGTGTGTGTGTATGTCCCGGGATCCCCTTTTGCGATTTTTGGCCAAGCCAAGTCAATGGGGGAAGCCAGATTTACTTAAAGAACCATGTTGCTAATTTAACAACGGCAGTAATTCGCTTAACAACTGTGGCAAGAGAGGTCGTAGAATGGAGCAAAGCTCACTGGACAAATCTCGTTTAAGAACTGAAATTCTGGGCTCCATTGTGGTTGTAGGTCGAGGACTACCTGTAAGGGTTTTCTTTCAAATTCAGAAAGGTAAAGGTAAAGGTAAAGGTTCCCCTCGCACAAATGTGCTAGTCGTTCCCGACTCTAGGGGGCGGTGCTCATCTCCGTTTCAAAGCCAAAGAGCCAGCGCTGTCCGAAGATGTCTCCGTGGTCATGTGGCCGGCATGACTCAACGCCAAAGGCGCACGGAACGCTGTTCCCTTCCCACCAAAGGTGGTCCCTATTTTTCTACTTGCATTTTTTACCTGCTTTCGAACTGCTAGGTTGGCAGAAGCTGGGACGAGTCACGGGAGCTCACCCCCATTACGCGGCACCGGGGATTCGAACCACTGAACTGGACAAAATTGCTGAAAGGCCCTTCCGGATAAAACTTTTCTACCTTCCTTGCAGTATGTTCTGCTGGGCCTGCGCTTCCAGGAGTTATCGTGGGATCACACGTTTCCAAGCGAGGAGGAACATATCCTGTGGTTGGAATTTGATGGGGAAACTGAAGGCCGGCAAGTGAACAAGTTGCTCAAGATTTACTCTAAGCAAGTATGTGTATGCTGGGAGAGATATTTAAACTTTAGTGGGTGCGGGTGTCACATAGTAATTTACATTACAATTAAATCTATTTTCTGGGCTCAGTTTAGAGGTGGGCTGCTGAGGGTTTGCTGGGCTTCAGGAAAACCTCTAGCTAAGATTCTGTGCAGTTTGGAGAACCCCCAAATCCCACTCCTGGCTGGCCACGCCTGCCCCACCCCTCCCAGGATCCCCCACGGGGCCCATTTTGAATGCAGGTAAGTGCAGGGTACACGTGGAGGCTCAGGGAGGGTGAAAAATGGGCCTACCAGAACTTCGGGAAGGCCGGAACAGCCTCCAGAGGGCCTCCGGAACCTGGGGAGGCTGTTTTCGCCCTCCCGGAGGCTCGAAAAAAGCCCCTGGAGCCTGGGAAGGGCAAAAAGCCCCCCCCCCCAGCCGTGGTGCAGGAGGCTGACTAGGCCACACCCACTGTGGCCACATCCACCCAGCACCCAGGCAGAGAACCTCTTGCTAAAATTTTTGAAGCCCACCCTTGGCTCAGTTGTGGTCGTAATTCGAGGACTGCCTGTATCGTTTTTCCTTTCTGCCATTCCACACTTTTCTTCACTTTTCTCCAAACATAGTGTTAGAATATACAAGCAGTGCTCGACTTACAACAGTTTGTTTAGTGACCGCTCAAAGTTACAACGGCACTGAAAAATGTGACGTAGGACCGTTTTTCAGACTTAGGACCATTGCAGCCACACGATCACACGATCAAAATTTAGGTGTTTGACAACTGACTCGTATTTATGACAGTCGCAGCATCCCGGGGTCACATGATCCCCTTTTGCGACCTTCTGACAAGCAAAGTCCATGGGGAAAGCCTGATTCGCTTAACAACCAGCTGCAGTTATTCACTTAACAACTCCAGCAAGAAAAGTCATAAAATGGGGTAAAACCTCGCTTAACCAATGTCTCGCTTGGCAACATAAATGTTGGGCTCAATTATGGTCGTAGGTTGAGGACTACCTGCATTAAATGGACCTGTTTCTCTCTTTACAGGCTGAATTGATGAGTAGCCTAATCGAATATTGTATTGAGCTGAACACACATGCCAGGGGGCTGGATTCAGAGCCCACCACGGCCGCAGTGCCCACGTCTGATCAGCAGCCACCCAAAATTCAGCGTCAGAGCAACGTGCTCTGTAGCCGGATCCAGCGTTTAGCCACCATAGACTACGTTGAGGAAGGTAAGCTGGTGAAACTGTGAGTAACTCTGAGAGGGATCTTGGAGTCTTAGTGGGCAACCAGCTAAATAGGAGCCAGCAGTGTGCAGCGGCAGCCAAAAAAGCCAATGCAATCCTAAATTGCATTAATAGAGGGATACAATCAAGATCAAGGGAGGTCCTAATACCACTCTATAAAGCCTTAGTAAGACCACACCTAGAGTCCTGCATCCAGTTTTGATCAACATACTATAAAAAAAGATGTTGAGACTCTAGAAAGAGTGCAGAGAAGAGCAACAAAGATGATGAGGGGACTGGAGGCTAAAACATATGAAGAACAGTTGCAGGAACTGGGCCTGGCTAGTCTAGGGAAGAGAAGGACCAGGGGAGACAGGAGAGCATCTTCCGATATTTGGGGGGCTGCCCCAGAGAGGAGGAAGGGGGTCAAGCTATTTTCCAAAGCACCTTTGAAGGCCAGACAAGGAATAATGGATGGAAACTGATCAAGGAGAGATTCAACCTGGAAATAAGGAGGAATTTCCTGACAGTGAGAACAATCAACCCTGGAACAGAAGTTGCCTTCAGAAGTTGTAGGAGCTTCATTACTGGAGCCTTTCAAGAAGAGGTTGGACTGCCATTGGTCAGAAATGGTGTAGGGTCTCCGGCTTGGATGGGGGGTTGGACTAGATGACCTACAAGGTCCCTTCCAACCCTGTTAAATCTGAATCTGAATCTTTCCTGCTTGTTAGAAATTGTACTTTCTAAGAAACACGATACTCAATTGCATCTGTTCTTCATTCATCCAGCAGCATTCTTCTTAGCAAAATGCATTTATTAGTTAGGTCAGCTCACTAGAATTTTCTTATACTAGGATGCCTTACACCCAGTTGCTAAATATGTGGGACCCAAGGAACATAGAGAATTGCTTTTTCCTGCTTGTGAGAAACGGTGCTGGACTAAATAACTCTTTAAATTTGGGCCAGGTAGTCTCTTCTTTGGATGAAATTAACTGTAGGCAGCAGCTGCTGAGCTACCTATTCATTTGTATCTAGTCTGGTGACTGGATTAGAAGATTGATGTGCTGAAAAGCAACGTTCTAGTTTTAAGCGTAGTCAACATTTTCTGCATTATCTATGGAACTTGAAGGTATTCATGGAAACTAAAAATGAAATGTTCAAGGGTTTGTTAAAAGTATGCAGGGCTATCCAATAAAAAAAAATAAAAATAAAAGTGAGGTATAGTGTTAGAGACGCGATGGCTCAGTGGCTAAGACACTGAGCTTGTCAATCGACAGTTCAGTGGTTCAAATCCCAGCACCACGTAACGGGGTGAGTTCCTGTTACTTGTCCCAGCTTCTGCCAACCTAGCAGTTCGTAAGCACGTAAAAAACAAATGCAAGTAGAAAAATAGGGACCACCTTTGGTGGGAAGGTAAGAGCGTTCCGTGCACCTTTGGCCTTGAATCATGCCGACCACATGACCATGGAGACGTCTTCGGACAGCGCTGGCTCTTCGGCTTTGAAACGGAGATGGGCACCGCCCCCTAGAGTCAGGAACGACTAGCACAGATGTGCAAGGGGAACCTTTACCTTTACCTTATAGTGCTAGAAAGCATGGGTGGGGAACCTTGGCCCTTTTATGACTTGTCGACCTCAGCTCCCAGAATTCCTGAGCCAGCCATGCTGTGTATATATAGCCTTATGGAGGGCTATAAAACTGTAAAGATTCATAATATTTGTGCCCTAGAGAAGATGCTGATGGGAGGAAATTGATTAGTGATTTGTCTGTAAGAATTTTTTAAAAAGGAAAGAAAATTTGTAACTAGGCTGTCAAATATCCCACTGGGATAATTTTTTTTTATTTGGAGATTGCATGATTCTTGCCAATAGGATTTGTAAATTATAGTTCCCAGTTTTGCACACCAACCGATACCTGTTCAACAAAACCCTCATTAGGCTGTGATGTGTGAACTCAGACACTGATTGTTGTAGAGTTGGTATCTATGCTGTGATGGCGCAGTGGTTAGAAAACTGTACTGCAGGCTAATTCTGCTGACTGCCAGCAATTTGGCAGTTTAGTTCTCACGGGCTCAAGGTTGTCTCAGCCTTCCGTCCTCCAAGGTCAGTAAAATGAGGACCCAGATTGTTGGGGGCAAGAGGCTGACTCTGTAAACCACTTAGAGAGGGCTGAAAAGCACTGTGAAGTAGTATATAAATCCAAGTGCTATTGCTACTCCCTCCCTTCCTCTCTTCCTTCCTTCCTGTGTTCCCACAGTCTGGAGTTCAATCCTGAGTAGGTAGTTGAAGGTTGACTCAGCCTTCTGTCCTTCCGAGGTCGGTAAAATGAGGACCCAGATTGTTGGGGGCAAGAGGCTGACTCTGAACTTATTAGGGAGAGCTGTAAAACATCGTGAAGTGGTATATAATTCTAAATGCTACTGCTTATTGCTCTGCTATTTATGTCATGGTGGCGCAGTGGTTAGAATACAGTATTGCAGACTAATTCTGCCAATTGCCAGCAGTTCGATTCTGACCGAATCGAGGTTGACTCAGCCTTCCATCCTTCCGAGGTCAGTAAAATGAGAACTCAGGTAGGTAGGGGCAATGTGCTGACTCTGTAAACCGCTTAGAGAGGGCTGTAAAGCACCGCGAAGCGATATATGTCTAAGTGCTACTGCTATTGCTCTGACTTTACTTATATGTCTGCATGCTTTTCTTCCTTGCTCCAGGGAAAGAGATCAAGAGGGTGAAACCTCGACGTACGACATCCTTCTTCGGCCGCCAGCTGTCGAATGCCCCTACCTCTTACTCAGCCGTACGGGCGGCAGAGAACTTGGAACAGGGCTGATCCCAATTTTGTTCCTGGGATAGAAAGAGGGACCAGACCACTTTGGGGCAAGGTGACTCAAAGGCCAGCATTATCCTTGACTCTGCCTTCAGGGGTTACTTGCTGTCTACCTCTTATCTCCAATTCCCCGTTGTATATTTCCTTGCAGTGGCAGGTTTCATTCCTGGGCTCAGCCTTACAGGGGTTGGAGGCTGTCAGAATGTCAGCTGTCAGAGCTGCCGTTATCCCTGCTTACATAATGCCATAATTACGGTTTTTTTCCCCAAGACTCATTTGGCCACGAGTTGTCATCCTCAATTGCTGATTTCTTCCTGTTTCTGTATGATTTTTCAGAGGGGGGTGAAAAAAGAAATTATTTCACAATCCTCATCTTGTCTGAATCCCAGTGTTTGTAGCTCAAACCTTTGGAACGAGGCTCAGGTTGAGGGAAGGAAGGCGCCCAAGATGTTCTGGAAGGCAGAATGATAAAATTACACCCTTTTCTTTTTGCCATGTACTGTATATTTGAGGAGCGGGGAGGGTCTTTTCGTTCCTCTTGAAATTTCTGTGCCTTTTGGGGGGGTTCTTGCTCCTCTTTTGTCCAAGGCCAAGAGAAATGCATCTGGCTGATCGCTGGTTTCTATCCCCTCTGAATTTGTTTTTTTTGTGCTTTTGTTTTTTCCTGTTTAAAACAAACTGACTTCCATTTTCAGTCTCTGTTTGTCCACCTGTTTGACTTTTACCTAGGGGGTTGTTGCAATAAAAACAAGAATTAAAAAAAACATGCCTGCACTGTTCAAAAGAACACTACGTTCTTTTGAATTTATTCGTTTCTTAAGTGCTGCCTATCCTAATTAAATTCATTTCGCTAAGCCACCATTAATTTTGGCTGCTCAGATGAACAAAACGTGTTTTATTTAAGGCTGATTGTGCGATGTGACCTTCCATTGCATTCACAGGGACTGGATAGGTCTATATTCACAAAATAGGATGGATGTGTTTGCACATGTAGTAAGTTACAATTGGGGGAGTGGGGGGGAGCATCTCCCAGCCAATATGCACGTGTATAATATCTCCATCCCACCCAAAATTAAAATGATAAACAATGAGCAAAATTTCTATAAGCAGTTAAGCGTTTCGCAAAATGACTGGGTTTCTATAACATACTGTAGGAAGTTAGCCCCCACCCCTTTCCTAGAAGAATGAAATATTTTAGGAAATATTAAAAAGGCAGAATATTATGTTTCCCTGGATGAGAAATGGAGAAGCATGTTTTAAAGACGAAGCAGCTCCCATCTTCCTGCCCCCACCCTTTGTCAATGGGCCAGAGGCAGAAACTCAATCTTTGTCAATGGACCATCATCTGCAACACAATAGGACCCATCTAGCAACTGAAACTCACCACATGGCACCCGGGAAGATTACATCAGCCAGCAAGGCTAGCTAAGACCCCCGCCCCCTGGGAGTCTGACAACCAATCAGGATACTCTTTCTGGGCCCCAGGAAGTTCAAAGCCAGAGAGGGCATAAAACCCAGGGACTCACTGCGTCTCGGCCCTTTTCTGTTCAGGAACTCAAGCCATGTGATCCTGTCCACCATCAAACCATCTTTCCAAGCAGTCTCCATGTTTCCAGTGTCTTTTTCCCCACTTGGAGCTGAACCCAGAAGGATATTTCTTCCTACAATACTAAACCTAGACTTTGGTTTTTCACAACGCTCAGCATATGTGAACCATATACAGGTAGTCCTCGACTTACAACAGTTCATTTAGTGACCACTCAAAATTACAACGGCACTGAAAAAAAGTGATTTATGACCGTTTTTTCAGTTACAACCATAGTGGCATCCTCATGGTCACATGGTGTGTACATTTGGATGCTTGACAACGGAGTCATTTTTATGTCGTGGGATCATGTGATCCCCTTTTGCGGCCTCCTGACAAGCAAAGTCAATGGGCTGTGAGGACAATTCATTGGAACAGAAGTTGCCTTCAGAAAGAAGTTGTAGGTGCTCCCATCACTGGAGGTTTTTAAGGAAAGACTGGACAGCCATTGGGGGTTGGACTAGAAGACCTCCAAGGTCCCTTCCAGCTCTATTCTGATTAAACTTTTGTGTGGGAACTTTAGTTCTAGCCTGCTTTTTCTGCAACCAATAACCCTTCATAAAAGAACCTATCACTTCAAACGAATGGAGTCGAGGGTCTTTCTTTCCTAGGGACCCAGCTGGGGCAGGTCTGACACCCATTTTGAAAAGGATAAGGGATCATGCCACTAAAGGGCAGCTGTGATTGACATTACTGGGCATGCTCCAAAGTGAAGTCCAACTGTTTACAAACACTTGAGTGTGAATTTTTGTTGCTGTTCCCAATCTGTCCACCAGAGGGGGTCAGTAGCTGCCAGAAATTTCTAAACCTCTGCTAAAATACGGTAAACCTGATTTTGCAGTTCTCAAAGTTGCCAAGCCTTCACACACAAGAAACCTCTATGCCTTCTGTTTAATGCTTAAGACAAGTTTGAAAAAGCCCCGGAGTCTTTTTTTTCATTGGAGGCGTACTTGGAACCCCGACATTAGTATTGCTTTGGGAAATCTGGATATAACCTGCAAACTTAGTGAAAACAAGATGTTAAGACTGGGGGAAAAGTGCGAAGAAGAGCAACTAAGACGATTAACGTCCTGGAGACAAAAACCTATGAAGAACGGCTGCAGGAATTGGGCATGTCTAGTTTAAAGAAAAGAAGGACCAGGGGGGACATGATAGCGGTCTTCCAGTATTTGAGGGGCTGTCATAAAGAAGAGGGGGTCAGCCTATTTTCCAAAGCACCAGAAGGCAGGAGAAGAAACAATGGGTGGAAACTAATAAGGAGAGAAGCAACCTGGAATTAAGGAGAAGCTTCCTTGCAGTGAGAACAATTAACCAGGGGAACTGCTTGCCACCAGAAGCTGTGGGTGCTTCATCACTAGAGGTTTTTAAGAAAAGAATGGACAGCCACCTGTCTGAAATGTTGTAGGGCCATGATGGCGAACCTATGGCACGCGTGCCATAGGTGGCACGCGGAGCCCTATCTGTGGGCACGCGAGCGTTGCCATAGCTCAGCTCCAGCACACGTGTGCGCACCAGCCAGCTAATTTTTGGGCCTTCTGAGCCTACCAGAAGTCAGGAAATGGGCAGTTTCCGGCCTCCAGAGGGCCTCTGGGGGAGTGGGGAAGGCTGTTTTCACCCTCCCCAGGCTCCAAGAAAGTCTTTGGAGCCTGGGGAGAGCAAAAAACGGGCCTTCTGGTCCCATCGTGCCATCACGTGCCAAAAGCGGGGGAACGCAGGGTGGTCGTGCACGCATGCGCGGGGGGAGGGGTGCGTTGAATTATGGGTGTGGGTCTGTGTGCACGCGACCCCCCCCCACTCTCCCCACACTTTTGGCACTCAACGGCAAAAAGGTTAGCCATCACTGTTATAGGATCTCCTGCTTGAGCAGGGGGATGGACTAGAAGACCTCCAAGGTCCCTTCCCTCTATTCTGATTCAACGTTTTGCGCAGGAAGGCAGAGCTGAAGAAGCTTCTTGGATGAGAAGCGAAACATCTTCGAAGAAAAACCAGAAAGTCCAGTTGCCTCTTGAAAAAGCACCTTAGGGACGTGTACGGTAAGAGTTTGCGAGACTCAGTTTAGGGGAGGGATACAGACGTGACGAAGATAATTGTGTTCTTCCTGCTGCTCTTCCTCTCCATTATGGAATGTGAAGCCCGGCTGTAGCCAGTAGCTCAGGTATGGTTTGAGGGCTGGGCAGTCATCACTTCAGCAGATCGCCTGGTGGTGACTCACCCAGAGGATGCAGAGCACGGGGCGGCACTTCTGATCTCTGCTGAGGGTGACGTGAACCAGAATTCACCTCCCAGTTTGCACGTCGCGCAGTCTGTAGATGATAAAGACGATTGGGATGGCACAGACTGAGTGGGTAGGAGGTTGGAGGCGGCTACCCAAACGCCAATGGAAGCAGGATTTCCTCTCCAAACCCAAGTTACTTGTTTCCCTTGACAAGGGTAGGTTTGCTCATCACTAGGTTAGTCCTGAGAACTAACGGATATATTCAGAGGTCATGCTAATCCTCCCCCGTTTTAACCAGGATTAGGCTGAGTGTATGATTTAGCTAAGGTGCAACCAGCTCAGTTGAGTTTGAATCGGGCAAACCCAGAACATGATGTAACACAGGAACCAAGGTGGATGTGTTAAATAGGAACTTAACCCATGAATCATAATTGAATGTTGTGCAATATTGAGGGGGGCTTGTGTAACTCGTTTGCCAGAGGTGCTTTCTACATAGAAGTTAGACGAGATAGATGGTCTCTTCCAACTCTGTTTCTATGGCGCTCTTTAAAATTGGGTTTTCAGTTCAATTGTATAGAATGTGAAGCAGAGGTGGTATTCAGCCGGTTCGCGTAAACCGTTGGCAGAAATTTGGCTAAGGTCACCAAACTAGTAGCAATGGCCAGCTGGCCACGCCCCCGAACTGGTCCCCCAGTCGCTGCTCACTCGTCCTGCCTGTCATGTTCATCACCGCCATGTTCTTTGCACACGCGCATCCCATTGCCTTGCAAGTCCAATAGGATGCGCATGCGCGAAGAACATGTTGGCGACAGGAGCAGCTTTTTCCGCAACCTCCAGTATTTTTTGGCGGCCTGCGGCCAGCTGCCACAAAGTAGCTCTCAAAGAGGCTTCTTTGCCAGCCGCTATCCAGCATCGGCGGCTGGCTGGGGGCCGCCAAAAACTCCGGTCAGGTTGCCTTCCAGACTGGACCAGATGCCGCAGAAGGTAAGCAGTCCAAACAAAGAGGTGGTGGTGGGGGAGGAAGCGGGGTTAGGACCGGGGCCTCTAAAGGAGAGGAAACGGCGACTGGCAAAGGGATGGCGGGGGTAGATAGGTGGAAATTTTTTTTAAAATCCTGCCTTTTCCTGTGGGAGTGGATAGGGGGGGGGGGGGTCATGTGACTGAGTGGGCGTGGGTGAGTGAGGTCAAGCTGGCCACGCCCACTCAGTCACATGCCCATCTAGCCACGTCCAGCAAACCGGTAGTGAAAATTTTTGAAACCCCACCACTGATGTGAAGGATGGTTGTTTGTGTTTTATTTTTATAGTTATAGTGTACACTGAAGATGGCATTTAATTTCGTTGTACGAGGTGCAATGACAATAAACTAACTTAACTAAAAAAAAAATAAGATTATATCATTTTTGGTTCAGTGTATTGTAGGAACAAGTTCCCAATACAGGTAGTCCTCAATTTACAAACCACATTAAGCTCAACATTTAGGTTACTGAGAAATTGTAGAGTGATTTTTGCCTCATTTTATGACTTTTCTTGCCGCAATTCTTAAGTGAACCATTGCAGTTGTTAGTAACATGGTTGTTAAGTGAATCTGATTGCCTTGTTGACTTTGCTTGTCAGGTTACAAAAGGGGATCATGTGACCCTGGGACACTGCAACTGTCGCAGGTATGAGTCAGTTGGCAAGCATCTAAATTTTGATTACGTAACCAGGGGGAATGATTGCAATGGTCATGTGAAAAATGGTCATCAGTCACTTTTTTCAGTGCTGTTTTAACTCTGAACGGTCAGTAAGCGGACTGTTGTTAAGTCGAGGACCACCTGTATTTAAGCCAGTATGTTATTTACCTGGGACGTGACATGTTCCGGGAACAGAACCGTTGCATTTCAGCAACCTGGATTTCGAAGTTAGGATATTGTATGGATCCAACCATTATCCGAAGCCAAGCAGGAGAAACCAGGCAGGGGTTGAACAGAGTTTGTGTTTTCCATTCATCACACACCACTTCCTGTTGGACTGTGTCACAGGTGGGCGGGATCCGAGTCCCAAACTGGCATCAGAAGCAGGTCTGGAGGCCCCTGAGAAGCCCGTGACTCATCCTCTGGTTCAGCCTTGCTAGAAGCAGCTTCCAGCTCAGGGAAACAAATGTGTTTTTTTTTTTTTTCACACCGGCTTCATCCTTTGGTATGATGTTTGATGTGGAAACAACATCTGCTGTAAAGGATTTTTAACACAAATGTGCCGGCATTTCGGTTTTTCAGCTTGATCTTCCATCTCTCCTACCTCTCCCACTTTTGATTGGCGGGTCGTATGAAGAAAAGCCATTTTAGGCAGAAATGATCTAATATATTTATTGTTGAGGGCTCAAACCAGCTTGCAAAGTCCACTGACGCCTGAGTCAGCTGTCTTGTGATCACAAACATCCATAAAAGCTGGTACAGATGTTTGTTCCCTGCTTGTACAATGCATTTAACCCAATCAGATTACAGCAGGGAGCTGCATTCACAGGTTAGACTTGATTTGTGTTCCTCTTGGGAGCACTTTTTATGGTTTTCTGTTTATTTTATATAAAGCCATATAAATAGGTTTAGTCAATATCGGAGTTAGGAAAATTGTACACACACGACATATGAGAAACGATTAACCATCCTACAATAACTACCCTTTACATTACTGGCTGCGTATTTTCAACCAGCCACCTTAACTAATAAGGTAAAGGTAAAGGTTCCCCTCGCACATATGCGCTAGTCGTTCCCGACTCTAGGGGGCGGTGCTCATCTCCGTTTCAAAGCCGAAGAGCCAGCGCTGTCCGAAGACGTCTCCGTGGTCATGTGGCCGGCATGACTCAACGCCAAAGGCTCACGGAACGCTGTTCCCTTCCCACCAAAGGTGGTCCCTATTTTTCTACTTGCATTTTTTTTACATGCTTTAAAACTGCTAGGTTGGCAGGAGGTGGGACAAGTAACGGGAACTCACCCTGTTATGCAGCACTAGGGATTTGAACTGCTGAACTGCCGGACCTTTCAATTGACAAGCTCAGCGTCTTAGCCACTTAGCCACTGCGTCCCTTTTTCTCGCTACTGGATTGCATTTTGTTAGCTTGTGTTTTTCAACTTCTTTCTGAGTCTTGAGCCCATCTTCTAAAGTGCTGCTATTCCTAACAGCTTGGTGTAATCTGAAAAATTGACGAGTTCCTCTTCTATCATTCTAAATTGTTATCAAGATGTTGAAGAATCCTGGGGTTCACCACTGCATACTCTTCTCCATAAAGCTGTAGTTCTATTGAGGACTAGATGCTGAATGGGGTTTGCCAGCCAGTTACAGATTCATCTGTCTACCTCACATTTTTTTGTATTATTAAGAATTAGTAAGTATATTGTCAAGATGGATTATAGTTATCACCTAAGCTAGGGGTCAGCAACCTGTGGCTCTGGAGCCGCATGTGGCTCTTTCATCCCTCTGCTGCAGCTCCGTCACTCAAAATATGCGTCACAACCGCCAACGTGCAACACCCACTGGCACACAATTTATAGAGCTTTTCAACCCCCAGTAGGCCAACCATGGGGGTTGAAAAGTTTCAGAAGAAAACAGAACGTTTGACTATATATGCTAGTTTTGTGGCCACTCAAGAATAGTCAGGCACGGAAGGGTTTTGTGGCTCCCGGTGTTTTCTTTTCTGTGGGAAACGGGTCCAAATGGCTCTTTTGAGTGTTTAAGGTTGCCGACCCCTGACCTAAGCTATTATGGAATTCCTGAGATTAACTTTTCACTGATGGGCCTTTGGACTTCAAAATATGCTGAATTCAATTCTTATCATGTACAGCTAGCAATAGCCTGCTGGTTGTGGTTAATGGGTATTGGAGTCCAATATACAATATATGAAGTACACCCAAGACTAACGTTAAACATGAACGAAAATGATTTTTCACTTTTGCTATAAAGTTCATAATAAATGACACACCATAATCAGCAAAATGTTCCATTTGTTATTTTCTCCAAGCATGTAATATAACTCCAATTAACTGTTGATGACCATAGTTATAATTTCATTTTTAAAATGTATTTGCCTCTAAGTTTTCCCACCTTCCAAGGCATTAATTCCAATTTTGCTATTTTAAGTTAGGAACATACATCTCTACATTTCACAGATTTTAGTATCTATGAATATTAATATCTGTGGAGAAGCAAGGAATGGGGACTTCAGCACTTTAAATTCAAATATTTAATTGTGAATGATTTTGTAATGTGCTTATTTTATTTAAATCTACATAGGTAGTCCTCAACTTACAGCAATTCATTTAGTGACTGTTCAAAGTTACAACAGCACTGAAAATAAATGACTTGACCGTTTTTCAGTTACGACCTTTGCAGCATCCCCATGATCATATGATCAAAATTCAGACACTTGGCAACTGGTTCCAGTTTATGACCTTTGCAATGTCCTGGGGTCATGTGATCCCCTTTTGCGACTTTTTGCAAGCAAAGTCAATGGGGAAGCCTGATAAAATTCAACAAACTTGTTACTAACTTAACAACCATAGTGATTCACTTAACAACAGTAGTAAGGAAGGTCATAAAATGGGGCAAAACTCACTTAACAAAGTCTGGCTTAACATAAATTTTGGGCTTCATTGTCGTAAATAGAGGACTACCTGTATTTACACTACTTTACTAATTTGGTGTATAAAGGGTCACTTTTAAAAAAATAACAATGCCCACTTTTCTCTTTCTTTCCTTTTTGGAAAGTTGCACTTCTTACCACTTTTCTGATTCATTTTGAGGATTTGACTACCGTTTAAATGACCTCTGCTAGCTTCCAGGCAGCATAATCGGTCCTGCACCACAGAAATAGTTGAGCCCAGGCCTGATACTGTGGTTGAGTACTGTGTCATTTTATTAAAGAGTCTTAATAATACAGGGTCCATTATATGGCACTGGGAATCTTCTCTCTGGGCTTGATGGATTTCTAAAAAGATCAGTGCCTTGGTGGCACTGATCAGATCCGTAGTCTCTGTTTTGTCCTGCTCAGCTTAGCTGCTGATGTTCTTTGAATGAGAAGTCTTCTATAACTTCTGGCAAGTTACTTAGCTCATAAACCAGAAGCTCTCTTTCTAAGCCAGATGTGGCTGTTGCCTTTGCCAGATTTAGAATAGAATAGAATAACAGAGTTGGAAGGGACCTTGGAGGTCTTCTAGTCCAACCCCCCTACTCAGGCAGGAAACCCTATACAATTTCAAATGGTTATCCAATCTCTTCTTGAAAACTTCCAGTGTTGGAGCATTTACAATTTCTGGAGGCAAGTTGTTCCACTGGTTAATTGTTCTAACTGTCAGGAAATTTCTCCTTAGTTCTAAGTTGCTTCTCTCCTTGATTCGTTTCCACCCATTGCTTCTTGTCCTGCTTTCAGGTGCTTTGGAGAATAAGTTGACTCCCTCTTCTCTGTGGCAGCCCCTGAGTTATTGGAACTTTGCTATCATCTCTCCCCTAGTCCTTCTTTTCATTAAACTAGACATACCCAATTTCTCCAAGGGCAAAAAGAAGGGGGAGGGGGGAAATAAGGGGATTTTTTTTGCCTTAAAGCCCCTTCAAAGTCTTTTTTCAAAGAAGCACTAATTGGTAAAATAACGTAAAGAAAGGGCTTTTTTTATCCATCGGTGCAGCTATTAAGCAATGAAAGAGGGTTAGCTTTTCAGTGGTTAAATGCTCTAGCTTGGAAACGGATTGAAGTCTCAGCTCCTTAAAAGATTGCTGCTTTTCAGATGTTATTAAACCTTTACAGCAGAGCTCAGGCAGAAAATCACAGATTGCAGAACATCTTGCTCTGTGCTTACTCTGTGAGCCTGCCAACTTCGTGACATCGCAAAACTGCCTTCGAAAGTAAAAAAAAAAAAAACTTCAAAAAAAGAATTTCTCCCTTCAATTTTGCAATCAATCCCAAACCTGGTTCAATGAAAAGATTTCTGAATCAGTAATGAGGTTAAAGGCCACGACTAATGACAAAAACAGAACAACAGTCACTGACACTTCTAATTATAGATGATACTCTAAAGCAGGAATCTTCAGCCCCCCCTGTCCATGGAATGGCACTAGTCTGTGGCATGCCAGAAACTGGGCCATGCAAACAAGCAAAGCCCCATCCGCGGGATGCAGGCAGGCATGTGAAATCATTCCCCCTTCAGTCCACAGAAAAACCATTCTCCGTGGAATTGGTCCCTGGTGCCCAATGGCAACCCTGAACCCTCCAAGATGGCCTCAGCCATGTTCACTTCAGGTTACTTGGAACGCTGACACCCAAAAAGATGGGGGGCTGCTGCCCTAAAGCTCTACTGTGCATAGATGGTACACCCCCAAAAGACACATTGCCTTTTTCTGTCTCTTCCTATGGCATGTAGGTGCATGTCTCTTTAGAGCAAAGCATGCACAAAAATGTTTCCAACAGTTATTTTTAAAATTAAATGGTAGGCTGTTCGAACAGGTCCTTTCCTTGACCCGCAGGTCTTTTATCAATGAAAAGAAGTGCTCCATTCCATATTTACACTGTGGGAGGGGATCGCGAAGAAGAACTGTGCAATTTTTAAGAGTTCTGAATAGCATTCGATGGCTTTAGCCTTCAGGAAGTATTTGGTCCACTTTTGATGTGAAAGCAGATGCTGGAATTCTTCTTCATCGCTGGAAGCTTCCACAAATTTTTTCAGGTTGTTGAACTGGTCAAAACACCTGATGTCATCAATCTCTATGCCTTTCTCAATCAAATATGTTATACATGCTTCCACGTCACTCCAGCTCGGTGTGTCACTCAGGGCCATCCAGGCGAAGCAGGAAAACTCTTGCAGGGACGCCATCCACATCTCCAGGTAGTCGATGCAGTTACTGTAGAGGCGACGCACGGCATCGGAGAAGGCGTCGCATCCCGCCTCCAGCCCCTCCTTGCGCTTGTCTGAAAGCATCCCCTTCACTGTCAATGACATGAAGTTCTGGGCTCTACGGTCAAGCAGGATGGTGTGCACGGAGTCCAGCGTCTTCATCACCTCTACCAGGGAGTTATTTTCCCGCTCCATCTCTTCGATGTGCAAATGGAAGGCGTTCATCAGCGAGTGCATGTGCCAGAGGTAGAGCTCGCCAAACTCGTGCTCGAAGAAGCTCTTGAGCACGGCGGGCGGGTTGCTCTGGCCCAAGAAGAAGGACTTCAGGGCCGAGTGCATCTGGAGCAGCTTCGTGATGCCGGGGAACAAGGACAGCCAGCGGGTCCTGCTGTGGGAGAGCAGCCGCTTGTATTCCACCTCCACAAACTCGCAGTATTCGTGCAGGGGCTCCGTCCGCACCGCGTAGATGTGGAAGTACTGGTAGATCTTTAGGATGATGTTCTCAACGTCCACCTCCAGGGCGTCTGCTCCGTGGTGGATGCAGTTGTGCAGAATGTGGGCAGGGCAGTACACCCCAATCAACGTCTCTCTCTGGAGGGATTTCTTCAGCTTGGCCAACACAGTCCGCGCCTCCTCGTCTTGCCGAAGTTCACCAAACATGGTGTTGCAGTTGTCCCCCGCGAAGGCCACGCACTTCTGAAGCAATCTGTGTTTCTTAAGAGCTTTGACAAGAGAGTCCGAAACGTCCATCTCGGTGGGACTTTCCTGAAGTTCCAGGAGTTTGGTCTTCAAGCCGCCGTTCCTGTAGTCATAATACTGGATGAGGACAGGGACCATTTTCAGGGCCCTGTGGCTGCTGTCATCTATAGCCACCCCGCAGAAAGGGATGCCGTGTTCCTCCAGGGCCTTCAGGTCGAGGCTCACTGCATGCTGGGCAAGCACAGAGTTCTCAAGACTTTCTGTCCTGCTCCGGGTGTTGGAAAATTTTTGCGCTATCTCTGCGTCAGGAAATATTTTTCTGAACAAGTCAGACGTGCGGCCTGTTGATTTGTAGCTGTTGCAACTTGGGATGGTGTGCAAGGGTAGCGTGCTGTCCGCTGCAGCAAGAGCATCCTCGGCTTTTGTGCCTGGAGTCCCCAAAAATTCGGTCAGTTTTGCAGACCAGCTGTCTCCTCCGAGGGCTTTCTTGTGCTTTTCAGAGGACATGTGGTACTCCAGATCACTGGCACCTTTATGTGCAACTGACACAAACGTGCCAGCTTTGCAGACCAAACACTCTGCTTCATAGTCATCTCTTCCTTTGCGAAAATGAGGATATTTCTGCTTCAGTTTGTCAGTAAAGACGCACTTTCGCTTAGGCATTTTCTATCTTCAGTTTGGCTCACAAACTGATCCTAGGAACACTGCAGCAACCAGGTACAAGAACAAAGTCAGGAAAGGTAGATGAACTCTAAAGATCAATAAATTCAATTGATATATTCTGTTTCATATTAAATATTTATTCTACACACATTTATTATGTTTATAATTAGAAATAAATTATTTTGCTTACCAAAACTAGTATAGGCTGAAGGATGCCTGCTTATTTAAGGTTAAGCCTAGCAGCTGTCTTAATTTTGATATTCAATGTTCAGAAGATCATTCTTGAGACATTGTGCTCCTCAGCTTATTCTGATCAGTTTCAATTTTGAATTTTGAAGAAATGTCTTTTTGTTGTTTTGTCACTTAAAATAGTTACAAACTGCAACAAGATTTTCCCATATCTAGGGGAATAGAAGTCAGCTGAGATTCTCTAGTAAGAGGAAGTGTTTCTGACCTGTATCCTTTTTGGTGAATGGATCTCATTATGTATCTATGTATCTTATGTATCATTACAAGCCTAAAATACTGTTGGATACTTTCTGTCAAGCATATTGTAGGAATACAACTATTGTCTTAACATTGTATTACACGTGTACATAATATACATAGTATGGATTATGTCACCTTGGTTTAGACTCAACCATGTTGTATAAAGCAAGGCAGTGTCATATACATTATTAGTTCAAGGAAAATTAACTTCACTTCTGTAGGGAGTGTGATTATACAGGCAGAGTTTTGGGTTGCCGTTTAAAAGAGGTTGTAGTAGTGTGAGAACATAAGGGACTGCATTCAAGGCCTTTCTCAGATAACAGGCATGCGTTCATCCCAGACTCATGCCAACTTCTGCATCAATGAAATGAAGTTGAGTGATAAGTGACATATTAAACCAAAAGGAGGCTCAAACGTCTTCCTTACGATATTTGGGTTTCCATATCTCAGAAAAAAGATATAAAACCATGCATAACTCAGAAAAAGTGCACAGGGAGATTATCAAGATAGCACGTCATTAATTTGTGGAAGTCATTGCCACAAAATGTGAAACTGAGTACATTAAAGGAAGAGGTCTATCAAGGACTATTGCAATTGAAGAGTATAACTAAGAGATACATGGGAAGAGAGGGGGCAGGGGAGGAAAGGACCCCCAAGGCCACATGAAGAACCAACACTGCCTTGGCCCAATTTAGCAAAGCATCTCCTATGACTCCTATAACCAGGGTTCCCTGGGAATAAACTAATGCCGGACTAGTCAAATGACAGATGTTGCTAAATGGTCCAATTTTGTGTTCTCAGGTCACCCTTACTTGCTCCTCAACTCATCATAAATTATTGGAGGGGAAAAAGGTTTCCTTGTGAAAAAAAATCTTCCTTTTTCCTGCAACAGCTGTTTGGGATTTAAGTCAGGGAAAGCTGGTTCAGGCCCAGAAAATGCTAAATAAAGCATCCCTGATAATTACCCCAAATATCTTGGTTTTATAGAGATAGGATTCTGCACCAGAAAAAAGGAGCCACAAATACAGGCTTTTTCTCCTGCTATTTCTGCTGTCCACACCTCCTCCCCAAACGCCATCATCTTTTATTCTGAGGGCAAAAAGTGAATTCCAGGCATAATCACATTGAGATTTTAGTTACTGTATCTATGAGGCAGGAAAAAACAGAGATAAATTTTAAACTATGGGCCAAATTTATCTAATTATTTTAAATCTATTTTTAATTGTACTTTATGTATAAATGTTTTTTATTTTGGCTGTTCACCGCCCTGAGTCCGAAAGGAGAAGGGCGGTATAGAAGTTCGAATAATAAATAAATAAATAATAAATAAGGTGATGACGATGAAGAATATTTTATATTTGAATGGGTGTGCAGAGATCTTTCTCTTGCCCCCCCCCCCATCTCAGAAAATTAAGTTTTCCAGCACAAATCAGCTCACGTTAACAAATTCTGATCAGTTGGGCACTTCTGTGAGCTTCTACTAGCAATTGCATATATTAGGCCATGCATTTTATAAGCCCATCTGTTGAATCATCTGCTTGGTTTCCCTCATTAAAGCAAACGGAACTGTTTCAATAAACACATCGTGATCTTAGCACTACCTAACTCTCTGGGATCTAGCTAGAAACTGACTTAAGATTCTCTGCCCCCAAACCAGAGACCCGAACCAAGCCACCTCGTCCTCGTCCTCCCACTCTTATCCTAGATACAAGATCCCACCTTTTATTGCTAACATGGCCATGGACACAAAGCAGATACTGCACGGAGAAAAACATTTAGTTGAACTCTGGACCTTTCTTGGCCAAATGCCTATTTCCTCAATGGATATATATGCCTTCGTGTTATCATCTTTATTAGGATTTATGGTCTGCTTTTTTTTTACAGGGGGAAAAAAATAGTACTCATAACTTAGATAAAAATATTCAATGAAGCACAGGATGCATTTGCCTCTCTTAAGATTCGTTCAATGCCTTCAACCCTCTTTCTTTCGATCTTTATCGCATTCCTTCAGTCTCGGCTTCTTTTCTGCTTTGTGATCCTTGGGGCGGAGTGGGTTCTTTTGTATTGATCGCTGGGCCATCGAAGAGATTTCGAGATGTTTTTACAACGGTATTATTGCTAGACTCTCGAGATCGACAATAAATTAACGCAACACCGGACAACCACATCAAATAGAAAAAAGAGGCAAAGGGAAGGGAAGCCACATCTGGGTGCAAAGTCCAGACCATCGAACAAGGATACAGGGCTTTCTGTATTCTGTTTGCTGGCCACTTAGTGGCTGCCTGGATTCTTGCAAGCTAGTTAGGGCAGACCCACGGGTCCAGGCACTCCTTAAAGAGGGTGCCCCCCACCCTGCCAACCCCCTGCGCCTGTTAATCTCACCTCATAGAAGGCAGGTACACAGAGAAAGCTCTGGATACCTTCTTTCCTTTCGGTGCCCTCCAAAACTCCTGGAACTGAACTCTCACACATCCACACATTCATCATACGCACAAGCTCGGATGGAGGAAAATTCCATGCAGCTCCAGGGAGTCGGTGATGATGGGGGTGGGGGTGGGGGGGTGGAGTGGAGGGGAAGAGGAAGTAAAACAAGATCCGGCTGCTGATTCGCCATCTTGCAAATCCTCCCCCTCCAAGCCACCACAAATAGCTGCATGGTACAGAATGCAATCGAAATTGGGGGGAGGGGGGAGCCCCCACCCTTAGGGTGAGTTTGCACATTTATATAATTCTGCGGTTGCTGTTGTCAGAACAGGCGAGGCATTCTGTTTGGAAAACCAACACATGCGCACAAAAGTTCTTTTTTCTTTTGGATGTATACAACACAGCGAATCCGGAACGAAAGGCGAGAGAGGCTGGATTTCTAAATCCCTCTAAATAAACAAAAGAACAAAATATTGACTGTTTTTCTTTTTTACTTCTTCCATGACTCGGTCTTCCAGATGTCTTGTGCAACAGGTTCCCACCCAACCCCCTCAATCACAGAAACTACACGCCCCACATCAGTTAAGCATGGCCTTTACCCCAGTCTGTACCTTATGCATAGGCATCTGACGCCATTGTTTGTGCACAGTGACACAAATACACATTTGTGCAGGCATACTGGTTTGTAAGCCACGATTTAGGGCTCACAGGAACATGGCTTTACTATTTATTTTAAACGGACAAGGATAAAAACACTTCACGGCTTAATTCAAAGTACCATTCAGTATCTGGATTTAGATACCCTGTGTGCCCCACTATGGTTCACTTGGTTTTAGTTCGGTATTTTGGAAGCCGAGGTTCCTGGCTGACTGTAGTATAATTTATAAAAGGAGGTGTGGTGAACAACTCAGAATTGTCGGCAACGTCATCGCCCTAATGCCAGTCTCTTTAATCTTCTGTAAGTTCAATCATCTCCAGGAACCTCCATCTGACATAGCTTATCCTTCTTAGGACTCAAGACAGCTAAAAAGGCAGAGCCTTCCATGACAGTGGAAAAGTACAAGCGATGAATCATTATTTTCTGCAGCCATTTCTTTGCAGCTAATTACCACCACCTCTGGGCAGCCATCGTCACAAAATATAAAACTGGATAAAATCATAAATGATAAAAACTGAAGACAGAAAACTTAAAAGGAGTAAAATGGTCATAGTGAGAAAACTCATCGGCAGCAAATCCAATCTAATCAATCTCATAAACATCTAGGAAGGGAATTGAGATTTCTAAAGGAGGCCATTCCACCAGATGGAGGCCACCTCAGAAAACTCTATATGCCCTTCTTAATCTCCCAAATAGAGGGGACTAAAACAGTGGTGAAGTTCAAATTTTTTTACTACTGGTTCTGTGAGGGTGGCTTGGTGGTCATAGTGTGGCTTGGTGGGTGTGGCAGGGGAAGGATACTACAAAATCTCCATTCCCACTCCACTCCAGGGGAAGGATACTGCAAAATCCCCATTCCCTCCCCACTCCTGGGGGAAGGATACTGCAAAATCTCCATTCCCACCCCATTCTGGGGCCAGCCAGAGGTGGTATTTGCCAGTTCTCCGAACTGCTCAAAATTTCCGCTACCGGTTATCCAGAACCTGTCAGAACCTGCTGAATTTCACCCCTGGACTAAAAGCATCTCCAACAATGACCAGTGCAGAAACCAGTATTTGCAAACAGTGGCCTGGAAATATTTAAGGAGCCCAATCCATGAGAGGCTCTAAAGCAGGGGTCTCCAACCTTGGCCACTTTAAGACTTGTGGACTTCAACTCCCAGAGTTCCTCAACCAGCTTTGCTGGCTGAGGAGTTCTGGGAGTTGAAGTCCACAAGTCTTAAACATGCCAAGGTTGGAGACCCCTGCTGTAAAGGTCAAAACAGCATTTTGAATTGAAGCCAGAAACCTACCGGCAGTCAACGGAGCACCCACAACATGGGTATCTGAAACAGCATCCAAGTAGTCAAGTTTCTGTGTAATCTTCAGCGGCACATGGTAGCGATCTGATCAGGTGGTCATAAGGTCCAGCTCCAAATAAAGCTGCAACTGCTACACCAGCCAGAGTTGGGCAGAGGACTCCAGCCATGGCCTCCACCGTGCATCCACCAGGATTCCCAGTTTGAGGATTTGCTGACAGCGACACCCCCATCCAAAGTTAAGATTGGGGCACACAAGTGGTCCCTAAACAAAGCATATATCTGGTTAATATTTATTTACTTTCACCCTATTTCATCCCACCAAGATGTCAAGACACCATATCTGGCTTCTACAGCATATCTGGACCCATCCAGATGGAAATATTGATATGGATTGACAACTGGACTTTTTTGCCTCCTGAAAAAGCACCTTTGGGACAACCATGACCTGGATGACTGAGAATCTCCAGAGATTGATATTGATGGTAACGGTCTTCAAAACAACTACTATCCTGGTTAACATAGGGGTGAGGGCACTGAATCTTGTAGCACCCCCAAAATGAGCTCCTACCAGGGCAATCTCTTTGCACCTTCCCCAACCTATGGGTACCACCCAGTTAGGGAAGAACAGTGAGAGCAATCAACCCATGGAACAGAAGTTGCCTTCAGAAGTTGTGGGAGCTTCATCCCTGGAAGCTTTCAAGAAGAGACTGGGCTGCCATCTGTCCGAAATGGTGTATGGTCTCCTGCTTGGGCAGTGGGTGGACTAGATGACCTCCAAGGTCCCTTCCAATTTATCCCATTCCGGACAAATGGCTGTCCAGTCTTTTTTTTTTCTTTTTTTCATCACTTCCAGGCCTTTGCCCGGTTTTTTTTTTTAAATGCCTTATACTTCTGAATTCAGTCATGTTGGGTTGTTTATACACAATCAAGAGAAAAATGGAAACTCGGGCCTAGCCGTCCTTTCTGTCACCCGGGGCATAACGCGAGAAGATATACCAGCCCTGCGTTGAAATACGTAACAAACATTATTTCCTCACATCTTGTGAATAAAGTAAAAACTGAGGGAAAAAAATTTCCCCTCAGACAAGGCCGGAAGCGGAGCCGAGTTGTGGGGGGGGAGGGGAGGCGGGGAGGCGGGTGGCGTAGCAGAGTTGCGCATGCGCACTGCGGCCCTGCGGCATCCGGAATCTTCTCGGCTGCGAGAACTGGTTTGAGCTGGTTAGAACCGGCCGCTCCTACTCCCCCCCTCCCTTCGCCTGGCGGAGAGGCTTTCTGCTGCGACACAAACGGCCTCTCGTCCCACGCCGCGTCCTTCGCTCAGGGTATCCCTCCGCGCGCCGCGTGAGCCCCGCCCCCTTTTTCCCCTCTCAATGTTTAAGATGGCGTCGGCGCCGACAACAAAATGGCTGCCGAGCTGCTGCGGGAGAGGGGGGGTTTTTCCACCTTCCTTTTGCTGTTACCCCCTCCCCCTTCCCGGGTCGGATTTCCATGCTGCTATTGCATAAAGTTACTTAAATGCAATCAGGAGTTCAAAACAGGCTTTTGAAGGACAAAGCAACTAAAAGAATTAAGGAGATGCCATTTCAAACCCATAGGATTTAATGTGTATTGGGGTGGGTGGGCGGTGGAGGAAGAGTGGGAGTGGACAAGCAAGCTATATTTTCACAATTATACAACATGGCTTTTGCCTTATTAAGAATGCTTTGCAAACTCACAGTTAGGGGGTCAAATCCTGGTAAACAATGAAGGCCTTTGGTTGATAATTCCCTGATCTGGTCTACCTTGCAGGGCTGGTCTGGTCTACCTTGCAGGGCTGGTCTGCATGGAGGCTGCACTACATAGAACAAGGCGGTATAAGCCCTTTTTTAAAAATCAAAACAAAACCTAATATTAAAACCTAATAGTGGCATTTGGGGAAAAAAGCAGTACCTGCCCTTTGTAAACTTAACATTTGGGGTATTTTCTGTAACTTAGGGATCGTTATATTCTAGTTTAGAAACCAAATATGCAGTTTGCAGTTTTAGTCTCACAGTATAAGTACAGGTCGTCCTCGAATTACGGCCACGATTGAACCCAAAATGGATGTTGAAAAATGCGTTAAGTGAGATTTGCCTCATTTTTACGACCTTTCTGGCCACAGTCGTTAAAAGTGAATCACTGCAGTTGTTAAGTTAGCAACACCTTTGTTAGGTGAATCTGGCTTCCCCGTTGACTTTGCCTGTTAGAAGGTTGCAAAAAGGGGGGAATCATGTGACCCCGGGACTCTGCGACCATCGTAAATGTGAGTTTACGACTCGCCTTTACGACTCACGGTAAGCCAAGCATCCAATCATTAAGTCACCTGATCATGGGGATGCTGCAATGGTCATAAGTGTGAAAAATGGACACAAGTCACTTTCCCCCCCCCAGTGCCATTGTAACTTCGAACCGTCACTAAATGAAGTCGTAACAACATCCTGTATGGCTACCTATTGGGGCAGAATACAGGAACAATCTTGCATAATTTTTCCTAAATTGTTTTTTTTCCTTAAAAGGCTTAGCTTTTTAAGGGGGGGGCATAGAACGCAAGGAACAATATGAAATTTTAACAGTGTTGTGTGAAATGTATTAGTTTGGGAAGAAATGCTAATTATACAACTAATCAACAAGTCCTTGCCCAGTAGAGGACCTTTGTATGCAAGGGACTATTTTTTCTGAGGTAGGTGGTGGAAGGAGCTGCAGATTCCAGGGTGTGAGTTGTCAACCTATAAATAGTGGCTCGAGCCGTTCCGTTGTCAGAGCTGCAGGGAGGCTAGGAGAGAGAGGGAGGGTGGTTTTGGCTGAAGAGATAACTAGACTTTAAAAAGGAGACTAAAACAGCCTAAAATTCTTTAAAAGGGGATAGCTAAGGATTTTTTTTAAAGCAAATGAGGCTTTTTATTCAATTGAAATACTTAGTTAACAGCTACTTAATGCTTAAAAAGTATAGGCAACTGAGGCAAATTCTAAATTAAGCCAGAAAATATAAGAAGATTGGATTGAAGATACCTTTAAAATATGAGGGGCAAATTACTGAAAAAGGGCTTACTTAAAAAAAAAAAAAAGCCCTCGGACGAGCAAACTGAAAGGATAAGAAAAATACGGCTCAAGGCTTTGATGAAAGATCAAGAAAATGGAAGATAGAAAAACAAGATATAATGGAAGACGGTAGAAAATTAAAAATCGCTTGAAGTTTCAGCTTTAGAAGTTAAAATTAGCTGTAGAGGGTAGCTTGAATACAAAGTCTGCTTCAAGCAGAGACAAAAAGGAAGAAAAAAAATTTAAAGGGTTTCTTTAAAAGAAGTGGCAACAAGATACTCTTTTTTAAAAAAAGCTTGAAAGCCTTGTTGCTGAAGTAGGAAAACCAAGATGGAAGACTTCAACCAGAGGCAAGACTTAGAAGAGAGAAGGGTGAAAAAGGCATTTTAGAAGATTGAAGAGAGAAGGAAAGACGGGTGGGGGAAAAAAAGAAGCAAAGATCTCGGCTAAAGAAGTAGAAAAATTAGCGAAGAGGAAGGCAAAAAAAAAAAAAGGACTTAAAACCATTCTAAAACAATGCCCAGTGCTAGTTTTAAGTTTTTAACTAAGGCTGTGGCGATGGTGAACCAAAAGAGGTTCTAAGAGGGCCATTTTGGTTTTAATTTTCCAGAGGACTTTTGTTTGGAAGCTCACTTGAGATATATATTGGTCAGGATGCTGTTAAAAGCAATTGGACGCCAAAAAAGACTTTTTAAAAAAATCAGTTTTCGTAACTGGCATGAAAGAAAGAAGCTAGGAAGTCGGTAGACACCCCCCCCTCCAAGGAAGGAAGCCAACCCACTGGTGAAGCAGGGAAAGAAAAGCAGGAAAAGCAAGTAGAAGAGAGGTTATGGGAAGATCCCTTTATAGATGCTTCTAGAACAACCCAAGAATCCTGTGTTAGGGGGAAAACCCGTGAAGACGACCCGTAAAAAAGTCCCGTGTGAATCGTGTATAGTTGGTAACCGCCTCGATCTTCTGGCAGCGTCTTTTTATTTAGGGCTGCGCTCTTCGTAAATTGGGTTTGTTGTAAATTGGGGTTTATTCTCAAGAGGCTGCAGGGGAGGGGGGGATGTTGGTCTCTCTCTTTACAGGTGTACTTAGTCGGCTGTTTGCTGGGAAGCTATTGGGCAGTCTTCGCAAGCCAACTCAAGTCAGCAGTTCCTGTGCTTTAAAAGTAGCCATTGTTTGTTTGCTCCCTCTTCTCTCCCCCCCCCAAGAAAATAGCTAGAATCCTTGAGGCTGTGTGTAAACCACCCTCCCCAGAATGGGTGAGTTGAAATCCCTGGTGGGGAAACGACAGCATTTTTGCAAGGGCGAGAATTGTATTTTGATTTGTAGCCATTTGCCGGGTGGAGAGTTATTGTGGGTGACGGGGTGGGCTTTGCAATGTTGTGTTGAGATTTTGTCCCTTCAGGTGTTATGTAGAGCCACAGGAATCCACAAAAAGTCCAGATGTGTTTCCATAAGGAAAAAAAATGCCAAGGAAGGAAGTGACTTGAGAGGATGTCTTGAATAACTCCAGTGTAAACAAGCAAAGGAAGGAACATAATGAAACCAGGCGTGGCCGATGAAAACTTAACTCCTAGGAGGAAGTGGCTTCTTGGCATCTGTAGTGGGGGAGGAACCGCGCAGGACCATAAGTCCCAACCTTGGGTTGTAAACACATTCTTTTTTTTTTCCCCTGCAAGAGGGTTAAGTATACAGATATTTATAGATAGCAAACTATTTGATCTGGGAGTTGTGTTTTTTGGGGAGGATAAATGCCACCTTCTTTCTAGCTTCTCTGCAGGTACTATAGCATCCTCTGGTGGCTTGACTTAGAAGTTGCTGTTCTTACGGCCAAGACCACCCTCCCTCTGAGGCTGGACCTCACTTTCCTGGGAAGAAAGGACAGTGCCTAGAATTGGAAGTGGTTGTGGAATTGTGATCCATTTACGCAGCCTTTGCAGAAGAGCTGGGAAGTTTTGAAAGCTAAGTTCTTAAGGAAAAAACAAAACCCCACTAGTGTTTGATATGAAGTGGAGGGGAGCTTTTTAATTAACGAGCTTTAGGGTGGGGGAGGGGAGAGAATAATTTTCTGTGTTTTTTTTTTTAAGATTATTTCTCCAGGATATCCATAACTTTTAGATCTGGAAAAATAGCCTAGTCTGGCAAGTAATTTTCTGCAGTAGAAATTGAGACAATTGGAAGAAATGGGCCTTTAATGGCAAATGCTTATACGCAAGTAATTTCCAGCTAAAAAGCTGTGTATGATGACTGATCTGTAAAAATAGATCCAACTCCCACATTTCCTATTAAGGGGAGGAGAAGGAAAGTCCCTGAGAAAGTTGATTTTTCTGAAAGGAAAGGCTTGGAAATGTAAAATTCTGGGGCTGCAATGCCCAGGTAGGAAACTGACAAGTGAAAGAGGAAATCATAATCTTTAGATATAGTAGTTTGTGGTTCTCTTTTGGCATCTTTTCCAGGTACTTAATCTCTCTCTTAAGAGACTTCAGGGAGAAAAGACAAGGAACTGAATGATCCTGTGTGTATAATCGTTCCAGGGGTAGTTTGTATAATTTTTGCAAGTAAGATTCTGCTTTTGATTGTTTCCCTTTTTTTGTAATTCAAATCATTGGTTCTAAGAATGAGTTGCAATAATTTTGTAAGAGCCTGAAAAAAAATTGAATGATTAGTGATTGCAGACTTTGAGTATCTAATTAATATAACAGTAATCATAACCTCCATTGACTGCTCATAGCTCATGATGTATCTTGTCTTGTATTGGGGGTGGGGGTGCGGGGAGGGAGGCCTGGGGAACAACTCTTGTCTAGACCTTTTTCAGATCCGTCCTCTCAACATTAACCTGCTGAAAAAGCCTTGGCATCATAAAAAGCAGAGGGAGCAAAAATCGTTGCGAACGATAAAGGCAGAAATATCCTAGATGGCCTCTTGCTTGATGGAAAAGGTCCCAGATGTTGTAACAGGTGAAAAAGCCAGAATCTCTGCCAACAGGGGAAAAAAAGATCCACAAAGCTATAAGCAGTGAAGCAGGCAAATTTGAAGTGTATGAAATCAAAAATGTGAAATTTCCTAACCTTAATGGAAATGAGGAGGAGCACACGTTAAAAAACCAGTGCATGAAGGCCAGTGTCTACAAATGCAAATATTAACCAATTAAGAGAATCTTCAGGGGAAAAAAATGGCAAAGGTGCTTTCTCTACCCAGCTGGCTTCAAAATGTTTGATGTGTGAATTGATTTCCTAAATCTTAAGATGGAATTGAAGAGAGAATGAGGAAAAAAAAAATAAAAAAGCATGGTAGAATTGGATCAATCGTCTTTGGGACTGGAGAGCAATTTGGCCATTTGTGTTGGTTGTTGGCCTCAGCAAAAGGTTTGCTTCATTCCGCCTGGGAGCTGAACTGGTAACAGATAAGTTTGACCCTTTCTAAAAGCATTGCATATTAGGGAAAATGTGAGTTAAATGTTCATTTTCAGGGCTTTACGAATGAAATCTTGGAATTTCATAATGCATTCTAGTCCCTTTCAGGTTTTAAGATGCTTGCTGGGTTGCCTGTGGCCCCCAGATACCTCCTACTTGAGCTACTGCTCAGTTTATAAAGGCTCTTTTATCATATATTCCCCGGCCTCGACTGCCTTGCCTTCTCGTGCTATAGAAGCCACTTCAAGTGGCACTTAACTGCCGGTTCTTGCACAGGACAGCACAGGAGTGCATTTTGTGTAGCCCCCTTGAGTACCTGTATAAAGTCATTTTTGTACAGTAATAAAAATGCTCAGTATTTGCCAAAGGGCTAGGAAGTTGTAATCTTTTTAAACTGTTCAAATAAAACATGCTTGTTTCTGGGTTCATTTTTAATAGTTACTTTGTGAATAAGTTGTGTGGCATTTGGTGTGGGGTGGGTGGGGTATTCTTCTTGCTCTTTCAGAATCTCTCTCCGTGAAACATCATCTGATCTCTATTGGACAAGAACAGAAAAATAGAGCTGAAGACTCTCTAAATCAGGCAGGAGGTTTTCTTTGTACAATGTTTTCCTCTCTTCCCTCCATCATTGAGAAAAATTGTAAAATCCAGGCGCTTGGCAATACTGTATAGTGATGCTCTAACTAAGAATGCTCTTCTTTCGTGGGACAATTTCTAAAATGCTTAAAAACTAGACAAGTTGGGGAAAAATACTTAGAGGTTTTGGGGTAAGTAATGCTATTCCTTTAATTTATGCTAGTTTAGGAAGCTCCGGTCTACCAAAAGTTTTACATCGTTTGCTCAGCTAAACTGGGTAACCCCTAAATTCATGAGGATCAAGTATGTGTGCATTAACCGTATGAATAACACACCTCACTCAGCTTCTAAATTTAGAAATCTGCATGCCACTTAAATCTGCTTGCATTCCTCTCTCCTAGCACTAGTGACATCTGCTCCAATTCCACCCATGGAAGGGATTGGGGGGCTGAGGGGGGGGCAACCATTTGTTGGTGTTATGTTTCAGAGGCTTCGTGTACTGCATAGATGATAGCTATTTGCGAAGTTCTCCAGGGTGATTTACCCATCAGTTGCTCCCACCCTGTATGCAGTGCTTCCTGCGAAGGCCTTGGCAGTGAGTTACTCATGTAATAACGGCACAATTTTTTGGCTCAGCTTGGCGTGTTTGTGGGGGTGGGTGGGTGGGAGGGAGGGAGGGGCTCACTGTTTCTTCCAGTTCTTTTTCAGACTCCACCAAGAGAAAAAAAAAACCTATCTGAAGCACGTCTGTTCAGTTGGCAAGTAATGTGATGCAGTGTGCTTGATCTGCTTGTGTAGCGCATATGAAACCAGCTTTTCTTGGGCAGAGTAAATAATGCTAGTTGAAAGAGAAGTCCAGTTGATGAGTGACAGAAAAAAAAATATGCCTGTGGTTTGAAAGGAGATCTCTGACCATCCAAATATGATCCTGCAGTGTAGCCAGTTCTTGTATGGCTGAGAGACGAGAGTGCAGTTGACGGTACTGCTTTTAGGTAACCTGTGCGATTTTTCTTCTTCTTTGTTCCTCTCAAGCTTATTGTGGGGGGAGGGCTTGGGGTGGGTACTGAAGCCTTTAGTTTTTTTCCAGATGCATCTTAGGCTCTAAGTGACACGAGAAAAATCACAGCTCCAGGAAGCTTAACTGGCAAGTCAACTTCACAGTTCTACCCAATTCCTGACCCGAAGTCGGAATGCTTTGTGTGTGGGGGGGGTTTTCTTCCTGTTGTATTTTCTTAACAGTTTGATTCAAGAGCATACAACACTCAAAAAAACCAGCTCCTCATGAGGCGGCACAGAAGCCACTCCTCCAGTAAGAATAGCCTTCCTAAAAACCCATTTTTTCTCTCTCTTCATGTGATGGGATTAATGGGAGGAGCTGTGGGGGGGACCCGTGGGTCTAGATTGCTTTCCACAGATCAGTAAGAAGGAACCTCCTCCAGACACAAGACTTTCACACTGCAGTGGACAGAAATAAACAGGTGAACATATTTTTCTTTTCCATGTTACAAAGATAGGAAAAACTGGTCTCCCTTCTGCCTCTTAAACTTGACCCAGCTTCATGCTGCTGATTTGAGGGCATTTTAGATTGGTTCTGTAAGAATTCCATCCTTTGGGTGTTGAAATATGAGTCGAGACCTGGTGTACTTAAGTCTCGGGTATCCTCATCAACAGGTGCTCCTTAAAATGGACCCTGTAACAATATTACAGCAGAGGCAGATGTTTTAAACGTAATGAGACCGCCTTGTTTGGAATAATCACCAAACTTGTGCAAAAAAAACAAAAAAAGACGTCTTGGGACCAGCCTTCTTGCAGTAAATGCAAGATTGATTGCCCAAATGCCTAACATTCCTTTAAACCATAGTCGTAATTGCCGGTCATAGTCTACAATAGAAAAGCCCATTGGCCAGTGTCTCGTAGGGTGAAGGAGGGTAGGGGGTTGTACTGCAACCAGGTTTTTTTTGCTAAGAGTTTTCCAGGAACAAGCTGTTCAACATGTAGCTCAAAACCACCACCAAAAAACAAACAAACAAACAAATCAAAAAACCAGTTGACTTCATGCTAAAACTCGGATCCTGCCCAGGGCTGCTGTTCACAAGGTAATCTTGTTAAAAAAAATATATGAAAACATCAGAGCAAATGTTGCCTGTAACTTCTAAAGTTGGAAGCCAACAGCCCAGTTCAAGGAAGGTAAAAATTTTGGTTCTTTTTAGTTTTCCTACGATGTTCATTGTGCCAGGCACAAATCAAGTAAAATCTCTAAAGTGCGTAAGCAACGAACAAATAACAACGAAATGCTGTTCATTTTGACAAGATCGATGTTTCCTGTCTTTGAGGGACATAATGCGGGTGGGGAGCCTCTTGGGCCGACCTAGTTACTAGGCAGTGTAGGTGGCTGTTGTGGGGGTGGGAGGGTGTTTGCAATTGTGCTAAGACTCTTTCAGGTCGTGGTACCGTACGTGGTCAGAAGTGGAGGCAGAAAAAAAAACACAGGTTTTTCTTTTCCTGAGAGAACAAATTGTGTTTTCTCAGGTTTTGCTTTTCACCTTGCTGCATTGCCCAAGCCAAAAAAAAAGCAAAAGGCATTGGTGGTTGGCACTTCTGGAATCCAGGACGGGGTTCAAGTCCCTGCGATGCCTTTGCTTTCATCCAGATGCAGTTGGGGGCGTGTGTTTTTTTTTGGTCCTTTTTTGTACGCTTGGCGGAGGGAATCTGAAGTAGAAGACTCGCCTCAGTTCTGCTCATCAGGGCTTCCATTTTCATGAACATGAAGAAAAAAGCGAGAAGCCCTTACACAAGAGTTTCCAGTTGCAACTTAACATCAGCAAAAGAAACACCTGTTTGAATGGGATTGGCCGATTGTCTGGGGGGAGATTTTGGCAAAGTTTGCCACAAGAGCGACGACATGGCCCGAGATGGGGAAAAAAGGGTGGATTGGCTGCAGAACTTTTGAAGCACCACCTGAATTGCGTCCCGTTAACACGGCCTCATGCTTGGTCCAATAATGCCCGTCCGTTTGCTACGATATTGAATGCTTCTTTATGTATTAATAATTATTTTATTAATCAGTTGGAAAGGGAAGAAATCAAAACTGGATTGTAAAAGTTTCTTTGCCTTAACTCTGTTCTTTTGTTTTAGGAATGCCACCTATTTCTTACAAGGTAGATACAAGGAAATACAGGTAGCCCTCAATTTAAGACCACAATTTATGTTGCTAAGTGAGAAATTTGTTTTAAGGGACTTTGGCCTCATTTTACGACTTGCCACATCTGTTAAGTGAATCACTGCAGTTGTTAAATTAGTAACACGGTTAAGTGAATCTGGCTTCCCCATTGACTTTGTCAGGTCGTAAAAGGGGATCACATGACCCCAGGACATTGCAACCGTCATAAATACGAGTCAGTTGCCAAGTGTCTGAATTTTGCTCACGTGACAAAAAGGGGTTGCTGAAATGGTCGTAAATGAGAACAGCATGCATAAGTTTGCTTTTTTCCGGTCCCCGTTGTAACTTCGAACAGTCACTAAGTGAACTGTTGTAAGTTGAGGACTACCTGTATTCTTTTTCTCAGCTTGATCATCCAAAGATATAGCATAAAATAACAAAACTGCAGAAAAATTGGTCAACGGGTAAACAATTCACCTTCCCAGAGAGAGTTGTGGGTGCTCCATCATTGGAGGTTTTCAAGAAAAGATTAGACGGCTATTTCTCAGAATGATATACGGTCTTTTGCCTTGGGCAAAGGGTTAGACTAGAAGACCTCTAAGGTCCCTTCCAGCCTATGCAATAGGGTTGACAACTAGGGAAACCTGGATTGCAACGGCGTTAGGTTTTAACACCATTATTTCCTAACATTTGGGAGGAATTGGGATCCTTCCACATGTAATTTCAGGAGGCTTGCAGTAATACTTGTGTTCAGAAATGAATATTGCCCATTAAAATTAATTTTGCTTTTTTGTGGGTCTTGGTAGAGAGGAAAAAAAAAACTTTTCAGTTGCTCAGAATGGCCGAAGACACCTTACCTACCGAGATCTCCACTGAAATTTTCCACCTCAAAGAGTGGAAGGATCCCAATATAAAGATGCCATCAAATTTCACGGTGTATTGGAATTTTTCCTCGGGATGTGAGAGAAGTTGGCAAAAAAATACTTGGATTTATTTGAGTGATGATCCTGAACCAAAAGACTATACGCACCCTCACATAAATATAAATATATAAATATAAATATACATATATATATATTGGTTACTATATTGAATTTTTGTAAAAAATTATAAAAATAAACTTGTGTTTTCAGTTAAGACGGAGTTGTGTTTTTGTAATCCTTTGGTCAGTGAAAGTTGGTGGCCGTGTTCACATGCTTTTATTAAATTTGGGTGTTAACTCTGGATTGAATAAATTCAACCTCTCGTTAGTGCAAGATTGAATCATTTGGGTGTGCCCCAAGAAATGGGCTCCTTTAATAAGGTTAGGTGTGTTGCCTGAACACAACCAGTGAGCGAAAGGAATGTTCTTTTCGAAGTGAAAAGGGCTGGTATTCAGGTTTCCTAAATTATCAATTGATAATTTCAAGATTTGTCCGTGGGCAAACAAGAGGGACTCAAAACTCCGGTATTAACACAAGTTTTTTTTTTGATCCGATGCTCATTTATGATTAATGAAGCAAAGTACATGTAGTCCTTGACTTACAACCGTTGTAAGTCAAGGACTACATGTACTTTGCTTCATTATTCACTCTTAGGATCCCCAAGCCCATGTTTTCCATTTGGATGCCTGACAACTAGTTCCTATAAATGATGGTTAAACTATCCTGGGGTCATATAACCATATTTTTTGGCCTTCTGACAAGCAGTCAAGAGTCACTTAACCGTGTCGCTGATTTAACTATGATTCACTTAACAAATGTGGCAAGAAAAGTTAAGTTTCAAAGAAATTTGTGGACGATCCCTTAAACCAGGAGTCAGCAACCTGCGGCTCTGGAGCCGCATGTGGCTCTTTCACCCCTCTGCTGCGGCTCCCCGTCACTCACAATATGCGTCAAAACTGCCAATGTGCGACACCCGCCAGCACATGATTTATTGAGGTTTTCAACCCCCGGTAGGCCAACCATGAATAAATCCAAGAAAAAAAAAAGTTTCAGAAGAAACCAGAACATTTTAATTCGACTACATATGCTAGTTTTGTGGCTGCTCAAGAAATAGGCAGGGGAAGGTTTTTGTGGCTCCCGGTGTTTTCTTTTCTGTGGGAAACTGGGTCCAAATGGCTCTTTTGAGTGTTTAAGGTTGCAGACCCTCGTCGTAAACATATGAGCCAGCTCTGTGTGGCAACAGCCGAAAAAGCTAATTTAATTTAATTTCCAATTTATATACCGCCCTTCTCCCTGAGGACTCAGGGCGGTGTACAGTCAAGATAAGAACATAGAATACAAATATTAAAAACAATCCTTGGTTGTATAAACAGGCATAGAATCATATTAGTATATTAATATTAGTACTGCTTTATAAAGCCTTATTAAGGCCACACCTGGAATGCTGTGTCCAGTTTTGGTCACCACGTTACAAAGGAGATGTTGAATCTTTGGAAAAAGTGCAAAGAAGAGCAACTAAGATGATTAAAAGGCCTGGAGACTAAAACATGAACGGTTGCAGGATTTGGGACTAGGGTGGACACGGTAGCAATATTCCAGTATTTGAGGGGCTGCCACAAAGAGGGGATCAATTTATCTTCCAAAGCAACAGAAGGCAGGACATGAAACGATGGATGGAAACTCATCAATGAGAGAAGCAACCTGGAATTAAGGAGAAACTTCCTAACAAGACAATTAACCAGTGGAACAGCTTGCCACCAGAAGTGGGTGCTCCATCATTATTGGGGGGTTTTAAAGAAGAGACTGGACAGCCACGTATCTGAAATCATATAGGGTCTCCTGCTTGAGCAGGGGGTTGGACTAGAAGACCTCCAAGGTCCCTTCCAACTTAATGGAAATAGGACGTCCCCCAAATCCTATGGTAGGTGGATACAATTGTCAGGTTTTAGAAACTGAAGATGCTTAAATGGGAAAAAACAAAGAGTTCTACTGGAGCAGTATTGATTTAATTCAGATTTACATCAAAACAAAGTTAACATTCTTGGGAAAATATTAAGAAACTGGCTAACCAGGTTATTCTATATAAAATTGTATTTTGAAAGCCTCTAGAAAAAAGAGAGAGATTTAAGCAATATAAATTTTGAGAAGCTTGTACTAAACGTTATCAAAATATCCTCTTCCTCAGCAGTTTATAAATATGAATTGAGAGCATCTCAAGTACAGAACATGGGATAGAGAGAACAGAGACAGAAAAGGGATTAAGAATCTGCTTTTTGGAAAGTAGCGATTACATTTAACTGCCCACAAAATGCAATTTATCCGCTTGTGTTAAACGGTGGCCATACATCGTCCTTCTATAATGCAATATGGCTCGAGACACAACGGGGAAAAGGTTTCCTTGAAGGGACAATAATGTCTTACTAAACCCCCGATAAGACGGCTACGTAAATTTTGATTCTGAAATCTAACCGGAAGACAATTCCCCGAATAGATGTGTTGGAAGAAAATGCTGAAATGTTTAAAAACAACAAAAAAATCTCTGGATCAAATTCAACCGAACAGTTCAATTGTTTTTTTGAAACCAGCGTTTTAAGTTCCACGATAGGAACCGTAGGTCTGAACTGATCAGTTTCAAAGGCATTTTACGCCTTCGCGTAAAATGGAACGATTTAAACGGGGGGGGGGGGGGGGTCTCATATAAAACTCACCTTTTTTAAAAAAACAAAAACAAAACTAAAAATAGAAAAAGAACCCTGAATTACAACTATTCCATAATGCCCTATTTTTTTAATTTTTGGGGGGGAAGATCCAAGAATTGTCCACTGGATCTGAGTTAACTTTTGCAAGGTATAGACAAATCTGGAATTTTCCTCTCTTCTTTGTTTTAAAAAATCCCATTTGGGTTGCCTCAGCCTCTATTTTAACCCCTCTAAGGATGAAGACAGACGGGTACAAAATTTAAAAAGGGGTTATTTCACGAGGCCAAATATTTACCCCGACGGTCGTCCATCCTTAAACATCAAAACGCCAAGAAATGGGAATTTTCAGACTTTGGATTTCCAATGATTCCAAATGCAACTTTTCTCCAGCCCCTAATTAAAAACTAATATATATCAGCAGCTTTACTTCTTTTAAATTGAAATGTGTGCACCTCTCTCAATGCATTTAATCAATGCAACCTTTCTCCAACCTGGTGCCTTTTCAAAAATGCTGGCCTGCAAACCCAGAAGTTCCAGCCCAACGTACTATGGGGTAGCACCAGGGTGAGAAAGGATGAGTAAATAACTGTTTTTTCCACCACCTCCCCAAACCCTGCAATAAAAATGTTGGTTCCGTGGGGGTTTTTTTTTTCGGGCTTGGGGTATTTTCGATTTTCTGTTCAAACGGTCCTTTGCGGTAAACGCTGCTTGTACATCCCTGCGATGGCTTTGGCTGCACTGTAGATCATCTGTTGGCGCGACATGCCCGTGAACGCCGCGTGCCAGTCGGTGGAGTTGACGTGCGGCAAGTTCCTGGCAATCACCTCGCCCACCGTCACCAACAAGCCCGACCATCGGAGGTTGTAGTCCGCGGGGGTCAAACTCTGCGCCTGCAAAATGAAGGAAAGACCGGTGAGCGGAGAGAAGCACGGTGAGGGCCGGGGCCTTGGTTTCTCACTGCGTTTTCCTCGGCGACAGTAATTTGCGTGAGCCGGGAATGAAGAGACCACCTGTCGGTTAGAGGGGAATGATTTTAGGAGTACAGGAAGTCCTTAAACATTCGACCACGATGGAGACCGAACATTCCGTTGTTAAGCGAGACATTTGTTAGGTGAGTTTTGCCCCATTTTACAACCTTCCTTTCCACACTTATTAAGTGAATCCCTGCGGTCGGTAAGTTAATAACTTGGTTGTTAAGTGAATCTGGCTTCCGCCCCCCACCCCCCCCAATTGACTTTGCTTGTTGGAAGGTTGCAAAAAGGGATCACATCAGTGGTAAAATCCAATTTTTTTTACTACCGGTTCTGTGGGCGTGGCTTGGTTGGCGTGGCAGGGGAAGGACACTGCAAAATCCCCATTCTCTCCCCATTCCTGGGGGAAGGATACTGCAAAATCCCCATTCCCTCCCCACTCCAGGGGAAGGATACTGCAAAATCCCCATTCCCACCCTACTCCAGGGGAAGGATACTGCAAAATCCCCATTCCCACCCTACTCCAGGGGAAGGATACTGCAAAATCCCCATTCCCACCCCACCCCATTGTCCCCACAATCCGGGTCCTCATTTTACCTACCTCGGAAGGATGGAAAGCTGAGTCAACCTTGAGCCTGGTGAGATTTGAACTCGCAGTAATTGCAGGCAGCTGGCAGCTAAGTGCTACTTTAACAGCACTTTAGTCCGCTGCGCCACCAAGGCTCTTCATCACTGGGGATTTTTAAGAAGAGATTGGAGATTCGTCCAGAACGGTATAGGATTCTCCTCCTTCAGCAGAGGGTTTCAACCCTGTCATTCTGACACAATGGTTGTTCTTTGTCGAACAAGCCACAACTGGCTGGGTCTCAACGTAATATTAAAACATAGGTGGCGGATGTACACCAGAGATTAAACCAGATTTGACAATCCGGCCAGACCTGCCTATGGAGTCCACTTTTACAGCCTGCTTTGACATTTTATTCACGAAAGGAAGAACATAAACCAGAAGAGCAAAATCACATATTACAGATTAACAGAGTTGGAAGGGACCTTGGAGGTCATCTAGTCCAGCCCCCCACCCAAGCAGGAGACCCTACACCATTTCTGAGAGATGGCAGTCCAGTCTCTTCTTGAAAGCCTCCAGGGATGAAGCTCCCACAACCTCCGAAGGCATCTTCTGTTCCATGGGTTGATTCCTCTCACTGTCAGAAAATGTCTCCTTATTTCTATCATAGGAGTCAGGTTTTTTTCTCCTTGATTTTATTCCGACGGATGCATTTTTTTCCACCCCCAATTCTGAAAAAAGACTGAATGAAGCCTCTTTAGAAAAACAGCCGCTTTTCTAAATTTCCTGCCTCAAAAAAAAAATCAGCTTTCCTTGTTGAAACCTGGGGGCAAAGTTGAATTTGCCAAAAAAGAATAAAAAACAACAAACAACAACCAGTTTTGAAATTGTTATCCCTGCTTGGGGGAATGATCTGACTTTGGGGGTGGGGACACACATAAAGACTCACCTGTTGTATGTATTCCACAGGTATCGGTGTGGCTTGAGTAAAGCTTTCCAAGTGAATCCCGTGGACTGGATCCTCCAGGATCAGGCAGCCAATATCAAACCATCTGTAAAGATTTTTGGGGGGAAGATTTTAAGATTTTATTCCATCATACTGATGTCTAAAAGGTAAAAGGTAAAGATTCCCCTCGCACACATGTGCTAGTCGTTCCTGACTCTAGGGGATGGTGCTCATCTCCATTTCAAAGCCGAAGAGCCAGCGCTGTCTGAAGACGTCTCCGTGGTCATGTGGCCGGCATGACTCAACGCCAAAGGCGCACGGAAAACGCTGTTCCCTTCCCACCAAAAGTGGTTCCTATTTTTCTACTTGCATTTTTATTTTACATGCTTTCGAACTGCTAGGTTGGCAGAAGCTGGGACAAGTTAACGGGAGCTCATCCCGTGACACGGCACTAGGGATTCGAACTGCTGAACTGCCGACCTTTCGATCGACAAGCTCAGCGTCTTAGCCACTGAGCCACCGCGTTCCTGATTACCTGGTGGCTAATTAGGCAAATGCTTCCCAATGTCCCCCAGTTCGGGATTCTGCCTCTTAATACAGGTAGTCCTTGATTTACAATAATCCATTTAGTGACTAAGAAGTTACCACAGCACTGGAAAAACGTGACCATTTTTCACACTTAACGACCGTTGCAACATCCCCAAGGTCACGTGATCAAAATTCGGACGCTTGGCTAAACTGACTCGTATTTATGACGGTTGCAGTATCCCGAGGTCACATGATCCTTTTTTGCGACCTTCTGACGAGCAAAGGCAGTGGGGAAGCCGGATTCACTTAACAACCGGGTGACTCGCTTAACAACTGCAGGGGTTCACTTTAACGACTGGCGCAAGCAAGGTCGTAAAATGGGGCAAAACTCTCTCTTAGTTCAGCCTCCTCACAAGACCACTGTTAAGTTTTTGCGCAGAATGGGAAAAAATGCACATGATTTAGTAGGGTTTTTTTTAATTAGAAAAAAAAAGCCTTGATAACAGAAAAGGGTGAACTTTCTTTTGCTCTCAGAAAAAGAGAAAATTTTATAATCGCACATAGGTTTGCTTCAAAGAAATTGGAAGCTTCTCTGGTCTTATTTTTGTGCTTTGGGGTTTTTTCTTTCTTTCTTATCTTACTTTTCTGCTGTTTCTTTTTATTCATTTGCGTTAGTTTTTAATCTTGATTGTAAAACTTTTAATAAAAAAATTATATAAAAATGAACAAGACTGTTGCAAGGAGGAACTGGGGAAGGAGACTTTTGCTCCTGGAGGAAAGACAGGCTACACAGATAGGCCTCGACTTATGACGGTTCATTTAGTGACCGTTCAAAATCACAACGGCCACTGAAAAAAATGATTTTTTTTCACACAACCATTGCAACATCCCCATGGTCATGTGACCAAAATTCAGACTCCGGGCAACTAGTCCATATTTAGGATAATTGCAATGTCCCAGACCGTGTGATCCTCTTTTGTGACCATCTGAGTCAATGAGAAAGCCAGATGCATTTAGCAACCGTGTGACTAAGTCAGGAGTCAGCAACCTGTGGCTCTGGAGCCGCATGTGGCTCTTTCATTCCTCTGCTGCGGCTCCCTGTCGCCGATTGGCGCCACAATTTTGAGAGGCACTTCCGGTTTTGGGGGGGGGGGAAACATGGTACGCCAGGAGGAGACTCTATGGCAAGGGGTGCGTTTTCCAGTTGGCTCTACAATTGATAAGGATTTCGGTTAGGACAGGTAGAGGAAAAGGGACGCCGTGCTAGGAGGAGACTCTATGGTGGGGGGAACCGGATTTCTAGTCAGCTCCAGAATTGGATTGGGGGGGGGGGGGGCTTCCGGTTAGAACCTTTGTGGCTCTTTGAGTGTTTTTAAGGTTGCCGACTCTTGGACTAAGTTAACTGAGTTGCTAAGTGATTCACTTGACAGCTGTGGCAAGAAAGATTGCAAAACTCAACCAATGTCTCACTTAGCAACAGGAATTTTGGGCTGTATTGTGATTGTAAGTCCAGGACTACCTGTATAAGGAGGGGGGAGGGGCAGGGAGAGGAGGAGGAGGGGGGGAGATGGCAATTCTTAATCTAACTCCACATAATTCCCAGCTGCGTTTGAAGTCCTGTATCTTACTTGTCAGGGAGCAATTCTGCAATAAAGCTCTCCACGGACACGCCTGGTTGCTTCTGGTGGATGACCCCGGTCCTGCGTAAACCGTCCAGCCTCTCTTGGGCCCCCTAAAAGTCAAGGAATGTACCAAAAGCAGGAATCAACACAGAGCTGGCCACTTACTTCAGACCAATGACGTCCACAAAACCAAAACAAGGCCCAGAATAGAACAGAACAGAACAGAATAGAAAGAATAAGATAGGATAGGAATATATATATAAAGTTTATTGTCATTGTACGTATATACACAGTATATCCATACAACGAAATTCACATAATACCCAGAGAACAAGCCCAACACATATGACAATCCCCAGATACCCCCCACCCACCCACCACAAATTCCCCACCCCTAAATCACCCAAACTTCCACACAACAGACCAAGTAATGCTGTCCAACAGCTCACTGATGGTGGCCCTTTAGTTCATGGTTGAGTTGAATAGAATAGAATGCAGAACAGAATAGAAAAGAATGCAGAATAGAATGCAGAATAGAACAGAATAGAAAATAAATGGGGATAGAATAGAATAGAAAGAATGCAGAACAGAATAAAACAGAATAGAGTAGAATAGAATAGAATAGAAAATAAAATAAATAGGAATAGAATAGAAAGAATGCAGAATAGAATAGAAAGAATGCAGAATAGAATAGAAAATAAAATAAATAGGAATAGAATAGAAAGAATGCAGAATAGAATAGTAAATAAATAGGAATAGAATAGAATAGAAAGAATGCAGAATAGAATAAAAAGAATGCAGAATAGAATAGAATGCAGAATAGAACAGAATAGAAAATAAATAGGAATAGAATAGAAAGAATGCAGAATAAAATAGAATAGTAAATACACAGGAATAGAATAGAAAGAATGCAGAATAGAATAGTAAATAAATATTATTATTTATTGAATTTGTATACCGCCCTACTCCCGAAGGACTCAGGGCGGTGAAGAGCCAAATAAAATACATATAATACAAATGTTAAAAAATCATTAAAATACAATTAAATAATTGGCCCGGAAAACAAAATTTAACACACCCCAAATTCATAAGACAAATTTAAAATTTAAATTTTTTTAAAAACAATTTAAAAGGGAGGTTAGGCCAGGCCAGCCTGCTGGAATAAAAATGTTTTGATGGCACGGCGGAAAGCGTGCAGATCTTTCTAGGAATAGAATAGAATAGAAAGAATGCAGAATAGAATAGAATGCAGAATAGAATAGAAAAAATGAATAGAATAGAAGCTGGAAGGGACCTTAGAGGACGTCTAGTCCCTTAGTGAATGTCCAGTCCCTTCTTAAATAATTGGAAGACACCAAATCAAATTGAGGCCCGGCGGGTGCTGCCCCAGGAGCAAAACCTCCCTGCTGACCACTGGATTTATTTCTGCTCAGCGTATTTTCTAAAAAATTAAGCTTTTTTTTTAAAAAAAAAATTCTATATGCCGCCCTTCTCCAGAGACTCAGGGCGGCTTACAATGCATTAAACAATGGCCTTCATACTTTTGTATATTTTATACAAAGTCAGCTTTTATAGGTGGGGCATCCAAGGATCAGCCAGAACGGACTTCTTTGAATTCTATTATCTCTAAACTGTCTCTATTTTACCTCTCCTTTATTCCAAAGCCCAGGATGGACAGACAATTTTCATCTGATTTGGTTCCTTTTCAAATGCGGAACCTTCCTTAATCCAGCGGGCCGCAAAATCTTGTGGGGGCGGCAATGGAAAACGATTGCCAATTACAATCTAATTCATGTATTATCCATTCTAATGTTTTTATTGAATTTGGTAGGCTGTAATTGTGTTGCACTGTGTTGCAGTTTTTGGCGGTATTAAATGTTTCTGGCCTTTGATGGAAACATGGGAAGAGATATGGGTTAGAAATGTAAGATTTACACAAGCCCAAAACTTAAGAGAGAACTTTTATAAAATGTTTTATAGATAGCATCCCAAAAAACTAGCCTGCATGTATCCAAACTTACAACCTAAGTGTTGGCGATGCGAATGTGAAGATGCTACGTATTTTCATATATGGTGGACATGTAAAAAAATTAAGGCTTTTTGGATAAAAATATGGTGGATTATTCAAAATATTTTAAAGAAAAAGATTAAATTTACACCACAGTTTTTTTTGTTGGGAATAGTTACGGACTGTAATGTAATAGAAACTAAGTTGGTTTTGAATTTAATAACAGCTGCCAGGTTACTGGTGGCACAGTATTGGAAGAAGGAAGATCCACCTACTATTGAGGAATGGACACTAAAAGTCGTGCATTTGGCAGAGACGGCAAAAATTTCATCATATCTTAAAGACCACTCAAACGAAAGATACATATCGGAATGGAGAAGATGGATCGACTATATTCAAAACAAGTATCAGACTAAGAAGATTCATATAGCTTATGAGTGAAACATTTTCAATCTTTAGTTTATGTTTATAGTGTTTTGAGCGATAAGGAGTTAAAGACCTAGAAAGAATTTGAAGTCAACAATTTGTTAGCATATTTTAGTTTTATGTTTGTGAGTGCTATACCCTGTGCTTGTTCTGGAAAGTCAAGGGAGGGGGATGGGTGGGAGGGCAAGGGGGGAGGGAGGGGGGAAGGGTGGGTGGGGGGAGAAAATGTTTGTATTCTTTATAAAACTTTTCAATAAAAAAGAAAATGTTTCTGGCTTTTGGCTGTATTATGATGATATAAATTGGTCTAAGTCAACTTGATGTTCAGATTGAATTTGGCATTTTCATCCAGCTATTGTCTGGACTGATGGGGTAGTATATTTTAATTTTTTTTTTTAAAAAAAAACTTTCTTGATTTTTATGTATATTCGTTGTTTTTAACAGTCGCTTGGTCGACTGTCGTTGTGAGCCACCCTGAGTCCTTGGAGATAGGGCGGCATACAAATTTTATAAAAGAAATAAAAAGAAATAAATATTCAGCCCAATGATGTGGGTACAGTGGTGAAATGTAAAATTTGTTACTACCGGTTCTGTGGGCATGGCTTGGTGGTGGTGGTGGGGGTAATGTGACTGGGTGGGCTCAACTTTTTTTTAAAAAAAAACTTTTAAAAGCATTTTTTCTACAACCTCTTCGGCCGAAGAGGTTGGTAAAAAAATGCTTTTAAAAGCCTCTGATGATCAGGCAACTCAGCTGGGATTGTCAGAGGCTTTTAAAGGCATTTTTTTTTTCTAGGGACCACCTTTGGTGGGAAGGGAAGAGCATTCCGTGTGCCTTTGGCGTTGAGTCATGCCGTCTTTGGACGGCGCTGGCTTTCTGGCTTGGAAACGGAGACGAGCACCGCCCCCTAGAGTCGGGAACAACTAGCGAGGGGAACCTTTACCTTTATTTTATGATGACTATGATCCTGATTTATCACTTATATCTTTTATGTACACTGAGAGCTTATGCCCCAAAGTCAAATTCCTTGTGTGTCCAATCACACTTGGCCAATAAAGAATATTCTATTCCTATACCTATTCCTATTTATTCCTATTCCTATTCCTATTCCTATTCCTATTCCTATTCCTACTCCTACTCCTACTCCTACTCCTACTCCTATTCTACTCTACTCTACTCTACTCTACTCTACTCTACTCTACTCTACTCTACTCTACTCTACTCTACTCTACTCTACTCTACTCTACTAATCTTTGGAAATTCCATACTTTCCCAAATCACTCACTTTCAATCCAGCTGCGTAGCCAACAGGCTGGGGGGCTATGTTGGAGTGGCCGTCTTCCCCCGTTACGGTAGCCATACCAAACACATCCTGGAAAGCTTGTCTCACTGCAGCGACCTTGATCTCTTTCAGGGAGGTGACCACGATGTCCAACTCTCCTCCAGATTCTAGGAAGCAGAAACGCCCAAAATTATCTTCGTGCCGAAGACGAGGCCGAAACAAGCTGGCCACACCGTAACTTAAAAGACGATAGCTTTTATCGCAAAACACCCTTGAAAAACTGGCAAAAAAAGGTCTGTCGAGTCAAAGTTATGGTTTTCCCAGCAGTAATGGATGGCTGTGAATGTTGGACCAGAAGGAAGGCTGAGTGCCAAGAATGGATGCTTCTGAATTGTGCTGCTGAAGACCTCAGACCAGTGATGGCTAACCTTTTCGCCGTCGCGTGCCAAAAGCAGGTGGAGTGTGGCTGCACCCATAATTCAATGCACCCCGCCCCCTGCACTCCCCCCCACTTTTAGCATGCAATGGCACAGTGGGCCTGGTAGGCCCATTTTTCACCCTCCCCAGGCTCCAGAGGCTTTCTAGGCGTCTGGGGAGGGCGAAAACAGCCTTCCCCACCCCCTGGAGGTCTTCCGGAGGCCGGAAACAGCCCATTTCCTGACTTCCGGAAGGCCCAAAAATCAGCTGGCCCATTTCCCAACTTCTGGTAGGACCGGAAGGCCCATTTTTCACCCTCCCCAGGCTCCAGAGGCTTTCTAGGAGCCTGGGGAGGGCGAAAACAGCCTTCCCCACCCCCCGGAGGTCCTCCGGAGGCCGGAAACAGCCCATTTCCAGAAGGCCCGAAAATCAGCTGGCCAGCACGCATATGCACGCTGGAGCTGAGCTAGGGCAATGCTCGCATGCCCATAGATATGGCTCTGCCTGCCACCTGTGGCACGCGTGCCATAGGTTCATCATCATGGCCTTAGACCAAGGGTCTCCAACCTTGACTACTTTAAGATTTGTGGACTTCAACTCCCAGAATTCAACACCCAGTCATGCTGGCTGGAGAATTCTGGGAGTTGAAGTCCACAAGTCTTGGAAGTTACCAAGTTTGCTGGCTGGGGAATTCTGGGAGTTGAAGTCCAGAAGTCTTAAAATTTGCCAATTTTCCTGGCTGGGGAATTCTGGGAATTGAAGTCCACAAGTCTTGAAGTTACTCAGTTTGCTGTCTGCAACCAGCAACCTTTAGTAAAAGAACTTATCACGTCACCTAAATCAGGGATCCCATGGACCAGCACCGGCCCTGGCCCACAGCATGCCAGAAACTGGGCTGCACAACAAGCAAAACCCCATCTGTGGGATGCAGGAAGCATGTGAAACCATGCCCCCTCCGGTCCATGGAAAAACATCTCTCAATGGAACCGCTCCTTGTTGCCCAAAAGGTTGGAGCCCACTGACTTAAATGTAATCGAGGGTCTTTCTTTCCTAAGGGACTTGACTGGGGCAGGACTGACAGTTAAGAGCAGGCCAAGTCCTGGTTCAGGATGACACAATACGTGGCAGCTTCTCCTTACTGATATACGGGGCCATGCCAGGATCCAGCGTTGTGATCATGGTCTCCACTGAGTGTTTGGTCTTATCCAGCACCGACTTGACCACAGGATTGCCAGCTACACCCTGTGCGGGGAACAAATGTGGAAGTTACCAAACTTGGCTTGCCTGCCAGGCTAACACGAGCCCCCAAACTTGGTTTCATCTTTCCTTTGCTAGCTTGGTTATTTTGGGGGAGAAACGGGATATTGAGCATTTCCTGAATCAGTAACGGCAGGATAGATTGGTTAGGCCACGGGTGGGCAAATGTGGCTCTTTTACAACCTGTGGATTTCAACTCCCAGAATTCCTGAGACAGCCAAACCAAGTTGTCAAGGAATTCTGGGAGTTGAAGTCCACAGGTTGTAAAAGAGCCACATTTGCCCACCCCTGGGTTAGGCCAGTGTTTTTCAATCCTGCTAATTTATTTATTTATTTATTTGATTTATTTGATTTGATTTATATACCGCCCTACTCCCGAAGGACTCAGGGCGGTGAACAGCCACAAGATAAAACACATAAATACAAAATTTAAAAGCAGAATAAAACCGAATTAAACAATTTGGCCGAAGACAGATTTAAAACACCCCAATAATTAAGAACAGATTAAAATTTGCATTTTAAAAAGGGAAAAAGGGAAAAAATTAGGCCAGGCCAGCCTGATGGAATAAAAAGGTCTTGAGAGCGCGGCAGAAGGTGCATAGATCCGGGATCCTCCTTATCTCCGGGAGGAGCTCATTCCAGATAGTAGGTGCCCCCACAGAGAAGGCCGACAGCAAACATTGTTTGGCCGACAGCACCCGGAGGAGCCCCTCTCTATGAGAGCGTACCGGCCAGTGGGAGGTTACTGGTGGCAGCAGGCGGTCCCGTAGATAACCAGGTCCTAAGCCATGGAGCGCTCTAAAGGTGGTAACCAATTTAATTTAAGCAGTATGCAATTCCAAAAATTCAACCCCCAGTACAGGTAGTCCTCGACCTACGACCACCATGGAGCCCAACATTTCTGTGGTTAAGTGAGACATTGGTTAAGTGAGATTTGCCCCGTTTTACGACCTTCCTTGCCACAGTTGTTAAGTGAATCCCTGCAGTGGATAAGTGAGTAAGCCATCTGTTAAGTGAATCTGGCTTTGACTTTGACTTTGCTTGTCAGAAGGTCGCAAATACAATTTTGTTTGGCTCAGAAACACACTCAGTGAAGAGCCGTCTGGCTGGGGAAGATGCACACAGATGCTCTTCCAGAACTCTGGATCTCAGCCTGCGAACGCGGCGTTCGGCAACGGCCAGGAGCGTGGACTCCAAATCCCAGAATGCCACAGCCAGCCTGACCCCTGAGGAGGATTCTGTGGATTTGAAATCCACGCCTGGAAGTTGGGAAACACCTGTGCTATAAGTTTCCAAGGACAGCATCCAGTTTGTTTTGACCTAGGCTTCCTTAGAAAGCGTGGAGCAAAGTCTTAATCCCGGTAAAACCTCTTTTATTAACACGACGGTGAGTTCCGTTCATTCACAGTCAACGAGGCTTTGGCAAGCAGTCTTTCAGAGGAATATTTATCAACACAAACCTTATCTCACTTGGAACGCTGCCAGAGCACCAATTTCCAAATGCAGAGCAAGGCCAAACTTGGCACCGAGTCTATTAAGAGTCGCGAACAGAATTTTCCAATCTTGAAACGAGATGAACTAATTGCTTCCTGCAAAAGCCCACATCCCGTTCGCTCCTCTTTTATGTCCTAGGGAAGGGGCCAATCATCGCCAAGGTGTGGCTTTACTCCTGAGTCGACCCTGCTTTCTTACTTGTTCTTGTCTTCTGGCAGCTCTGTGCATGAGCACACTGGGAACAGGCTCCAGCTGTTCCTCTGCCTCACTGCTGTCTAATTCCCTCTCTGCCTCCGACGCAGAGCCCTCGTCTGAGCGTTCCCCAGCCCCCAGGACTGGCCCACATTCCTCCACAACCTCCTCACTGTCCAACTTTGCTGCCAGCGGGCCACAACATAGCTCAAATGGCTTTCTAACCCCAAACAACTAGAGGTGAAGTGAGCTAGTTCGGCCTAAGAGAAACATCCATTACGTCAGAGGTCCACAATCACCCAGGCTGCGCGAGCAATGGGCTGGCACGTGTGCAAGATCGATTTGCACGAGTGGCGGGCCGGTGCACCTGCCCATGCGTGCACCAGCTCACTGCCCCTCATGCTGCCCGATTCCCGTCTCTTCCCTCCAGCCGGGCCGCCACGCTGCAACGGCTGGGGACCGTTGCATTACGTGGCCGCTAGAAAAGTACAGCTTACTTTTATAAAGCCCCACAGTCCTCCCGCAGATGCTTCGTTGTGCACCCCAATGCTCTGGGGGTCTCCATGATCCTCTGGAAAAGTGATGGAAGAGCCGCTTGGTAAGGTGGAGGCAGCCATAGGGACCGGCTGCGACAAAGGGCTTGCCAAGGCACCTGAAAAACAGAATACAGGCACGTAAGGGCTGTGTCAGCGTTTCAACGCTGGCATAGAGGGCAGAGGAGAGAGAGATAAGCTCTGAACTTTTGCCTGCTAAATCCCTTTGAAGTCGGGTTGTCGTGGAAATGAGGAGGGGGGACATTCCTGGGAAATGACGAGACAAGAAGTCTGAAGAATGACTTGGAAGATAGCCAATGAGAAGCAGAGATTTGGGGATCGGAAAGGGAGGGATTGGGGGGCAAAAGGTCAGTCTTGTCCGCATCGAGTCATGATCAATTAAAGAAAAGATTTCCTTAAAGATTGGCAGTTTGGAAATTCATTTATTTTGAGATAGCATTGAAGTCTGACAGGCTGCAGACACGACATCCAATGTCTGTAGAGATTCCAGGTTGCACCAAAGATGCTTTTTCAGGAGGCAACTGGACTTTTTGCTTTTTTTTTTTTAATTTGATTTATATGCCGTCCTTCTCCGGAGACTCAGGGCGGCTTACAATGAGTTAAGCAATAGCCTTCATTCTTTTGTATATTTGTACAAAGTCAGCTTATTGCCCCCACAAACTGGGTCCTCATTTCACCTACCTTAGAAAGGATGGAAGGCTGAGTCAACCTTGAGCCTTGGAGAGATTCGAACCAGCAGAAATTGCAGGCAGCTGTGTTAATAACAGGGTGCACTAAACCACTGTACTATCAAGGCTCTTTGTTTGTTTGTTGTTGTTTGTTTGAAGATGTTTCCCTTCTCATCCTTTTGGGACGAGGGAATAAAGCGCCTTTGGGACAACTGGGACCTGGATGACGGAGAATCTCTACAGACTTTTAGCTTATACAATTTGGGACGGACACCCTTTGAACGGTGTGAGAGTAGGAATGGATTTCCAGAGGAAAAAACTGCAGACTACAGGAACCATTTGCACCACTCAGGTGACCCTGAGGACACAGAGAAACCTCCAAGTGGCCTCATGGACCCTCTAAAAGGAAGCAAATGACCAGCTGTCTGCAAGGAGTATCAATCCTTCCATTTCTCCACCATCCGGTCAGAGCTGAAGAAGCTTCTGGGATGAGAAGCAAAACGTCTTCAAAAGAAAAACCAAGGAAGTGCAATCGCCTCCTGAAAAAAGCACCTTTGGGACCTGGCACCCAACGGTTTGAGCCAGGCATCCGTGTTTAGAACTGAGAAGGTCGAGGGAGGCTTCTCTGCGTACCTGTGACGGGCAAAGCTGTGTAGGAGGGCATCAGAGGGGTCTGGGGTGCTCGTCCCGCGTGGCCTTTAGTGATGTCGTAACTGGAAGTCATGGAAAAGCCCGAGATCGGAGGCCCAGTGGGAGGCACGGAAAACCCCGGGGGCCCGGGGGCACAGCTCGGCGGAGGCGAAACGGCGGGAAACTGAGTCGCGGGGTTACCAAAAGCGGAGGTCATCGGAGCGGCGACGGAGGGCAGGCTGGAGGTCCCAGGAGGGGGGCTTGTGCAAATGGCTGCAGGAGGCAAAAAGGAAGCGGGGGGTGCAGAAGGAAGGGAGGAGACCAGAGGGGGTACGGCGGGGGAGAAGACGGAAGAAGGAAAAGAGGACGTAGGGGGGTCTTTTGGGACAGGGAGAGGGGCTGCCGTCAGGGGAGGGGAAAAAAAAAAAAGAAAAGGTATTAAAATCGGCTCCTTCTTTATTTATTTATTTATTTGTTTGTTCCTATTTCTATACCGCCCTTCTCCAAATAGGACTCAGGGCGGTGAACAGCCAAAGTAAAAAACAGAACATACAAAATTTAAAAGCAGTTTAAAATAATTAAATATTTTGGCCGTAAATTAAAACAACCCAATTTAAAATCAATTTAAAATTTAACTCAAGCCAGCCCAGCTAGTTGAAATAAATGGGTTTTCAGGGCCCAACGAAAAATCCGGAGGTCTGTTATTGTACGTATCTCTGGGGGGAGGTTGTTCCAGAGGGTGGGCGCCGCCACAGAGAAGGCTCTCCCCCTGGGAGTCGCCAGCCGACATTGTCTGGCGGACGGCAGCGATTCGCTTCACAACTAGTGGCAAGAGAGGTTTGCGCGATGGGTCAAAGCTCACTTAAGAAATGTTTTTTTTTTTTAAATTTGATTTATATGCCGCCCTTCTCCGGAGACTCAGGGCGGCTTACAATGTGCTAAGCAATAGCCTTCATACTTTTGTATATTTATACAAAGTCAGCTTATTGCCCCCACAATCTGGGTCCTCATTTTACCTACCTTTGAAAGGATGGAAGGCTGAGTCAACCTTGAGCCTGGTGAGATTTGAACTTGCAGTAATTGCAGGCAGCTGAATGATAACAGGCTATTAGTCTGCTGCGCCACCAGGCTCGTTTTGACTTAGCAACATAAATTTGGGGCTCCCTTGTGGTCGTAACTCCGGGTCAACTACCCGTCTGTCGAATTCCCGCAGCAAGACTTCCGTGTGTTAATGGAGACTGATAAGATTCCCACGACAAAGGAATGGGCGGTCATTTTTAAAGGGGACTGACCAAGATGGCGAAATTAAATTACCTTGCTGAAAGAAGGTGGGGGGTGTCACCCACAATTGTTCAACCACCCCCACCCCGCATGCCTAGTTTGCAAATTTTGCTTTGGGAAATCAGGAAGCTTCTGGGTGCAAACATAAAGCATGAAAGAGCCTTGGTGGCGCAGCAGATTTAAGTACTGTTAAGTAACACCAGCTGCCTGCAATCACTGCAAGTTCGAATCTCACCAGGTTGACTCAGCCTTCCATCCTTCCAAGGTAGGTAAAATGAGGACCCGGATTGTGGGGGCAATAAGCTGCCTTTGTATAAAAAAGAACACCGCTTGGGGGGGCCGAAAGCCCTACTAAGCAGGTATATACAAAAAGTATGAAGGCATATAAATCGAACCAATAAACAATAATAAACAATAAACAGATTAACAAGAGTTGGAAGGGACCTTGGAGGTCATCTAGTCCAACCTCCCTGCCCAAGCAGAAGATCCTACACCAAGGGTCTGCAACCTTAAACACTCAAAAGAGCCATTTGGACCCGTTTCCCACAGAAAAGAAAACACCAGGAGCCACAAAAACCTTCCCGTGCCTGACTATTTCTTGAGCGGCCACAAAACTAGCATATGTAGTTGAATTAAATGTTCTGTTTTCTTCTGAAACTTTTCTTGGATTTATCCATGGTTGGCCTACCGGGGGTTGAAAAGATCAATAAATCAGGTGTCGCACATTGGAAATTGTGACACATATTTTGAGTGACAGGGAGCTGCAGCAGAGGGGTGAAAGAGCCACATGCGGCTCCCGAGCCACAGGTTGCTGACCCCTGCCCTACACCATTTCTGACCGATGGCAGTCCAGTCTCTTCTTGAAAGCCTCCAGTGATGAAGCTCCCACAACTTCCGAAGGCAACTTCTGTTCCATCGGTTGATTGTTCTCACTGTCAGGAAATTCCTCCTTATTTGAATCTCTCCTTGGTCAGTTTCCATCCATTCTTCCTTGTCCTGCCTTCGGGTGCTTTGGAGAATAGCTTGACTCCCTCTTCTTTGGGGCAGCCCCTCAAATATTGGAAGATGCTCTCCTGTCTCCCCTGGTCCTTCTCTTCCCTAGACTAGCCAGGCCCAGTTCCTGCAACTATTCATCGTATGTTTTAGCCTCCAGTCCCCTCATCATCCTGGTTGCTCTTCTGTGCACTTTTTCTAGAATCTCTCAACATCTTTTTATATTTTATATTTTTCAAACGTGAAAAAGATGGGACACGATCGGAAGAAGGGGTACCTTGTGAGACTGGGGGTGCAGGAGAAGAAGCAGCCCAGGTTGTGGTGGGTGGGGGGGTCGTGGGGGGCGTTGTCTCTATCCCGCTCTCTTCCATCATGTTTTTTTCAGCAACACAATCCTGCGGGAAAAAGAATATTCTAGTCAGGATAAAGGGGGAATCCCAGAATCCAACAAGATTCTGATACATTGATCAACAAGATTTCGAAGCGATACAGGTAGTTCTCGACTTACAACAATTCACTTAGTGACTGTCCGAAGTTACAAGCTCACTGAAAAAGGTGACTTAAGTTAGGACGGCTTTTCACAGTTATGACTGTCACAGCATTCCCCAGGATCACGTGATCAAAATTCAGATGCCTAGCCATCGACTCATATTTATGACGGTTGCAGTGCTCCGGGGAATCAACTTTTGCAAACTTCTGACAAAAGGGTCAGAAGCCAGATTCACTTAACAACCCTGGGACTATCTGAACAACTGGCAGTGATTCATTTAACAACCGTGGCAAGGAAGGTCGTAAAACGGGGCAAATCTCACTTAACAACTGTCTCGCTGAGCAACAGAAATTTTGGTCGTACGTCGGGGACTATCTGTAGAACTTTCTTCTCATGTTATTCTTTGCAGGACTGTCTGCTTCTAATCCTGGAGACTCTTGCAGGTAGTCCTTGAGTTATGAACATAATGGAGCCCGCCCATGACGGTGAAAAGTCACAAGAGAAGTAAAATGGGCTGGTCACACAACTGGCCCAATTTTATAGGGGATTTTACAGGGTTCATTAAATGAGTAATATGGTCATTAAATGGGTCGAGGTGCCTCAGTGGCTAAGACGCTGAGCTTGTCGATCGAAAGGTCGGAAGTTCAGCAGTTCGAATCCCTAGTGGCACGTAACGGGGTGAGCTCCCGTGACTTGTCCCAGCTTCTGCCAACCTAGCGGTTCGAAAGCAGGTAAAAAATGCAAGTAGAAAAATAGGGACCACCTTTGGTGGGAAGGGAACAGCGTTCCGTGCGCCTTTGGCCTTGAGTCATGCTGGCCACATGACCACGGAGACGTCTTCGGACAGCGCTGGCTCTTCGGCTTTGAAACGGAGATGAGCACCGCCCCCTGGAGTCAGGAACGACTAACACATATGTGCGAGGGGAGCTTTTACTTTTACAGTCATTAAGTAAACCCACCCTTGGCATGACTGTGCCAAAATTTGGAGGCGTCGAGATTGGCGGTCATTGGAAGTGACCACATGACACTGCAAATGGCTGAAAATGTGGATGTGTTGCCGAGTGCCCAAAACACAATCACGTGACTGCGAGGGGAGGGGATAGCAGTCGGAATGAACAGAATAACAGAGTTGGAAGGGAGCTTGGAGGTCATCTAGTCCAACCCCCTGCTCAAGCAGGAGACACTAATCCATTTCTGCATTCCAGATCTGATCGTAAGTCTCCTTTTTCAGGTAGGTTGTAACTTCACAAAGTGACTACCTGTAAGTCATGGACTACCTGGATTTTAAGCGGAAGGATCGCTCACCTGCCCTCCTGCTGGTTTCCCTGTTCACAGAATGACACCTTCCATTGTGCTTCAAAATTTGTCCTGGAGGAGAGGAAAGGAGAAAGAAAGAGTGGGATAGCAATTATCTTCTTTTAACGACCTCATAATCCCTTGCAGGGTAGAGTCTGGGCAACTGAATGGAGCTGAGTATTTATTGGCCGGATGCTTTTCCCGTCGCTCACGAGGAGTTTTTTTCAGCAGATATATTCTCAACGTGCCCAGGGAGAGATATATCAGCCTGTACCTGGGATCAAACTCACAGTCTCCCGATTGTGAGGCGAGAGCTCCGCCTCTAGGCCACCGCACCGCTCAAAGAGAGGGATATGCAATGGAAACAAGAAAAAAAAAAAAAGGAATAACAAGAGGGAGGCTGGATTTACACAACCTAAACAGCTCAGGAATAATGTTCTGGGTTTGCACAAGAAATGTTCAAATTAAAATAAAATATGTTGGGTTGGGTGCAGGGGTGAAATGCTACCGGTTTGTACCGGTTCGCGCAAACCGGTAGTAATAAAAGCTACCAGTTCAGGCAAACTGGTAGTTAAAAAAAGAGCTAATGAACCGGTATTTCCGATGGTCAGCTGTGCCACGCTGAGTATAAATTATATATATAAATATTCAAATCTAAATCTTGTGGCACAGCTGTTCTCCCCCTCACTGTTCTACTTACCTTCTTAAGCCTCCTTTTTCCGCACGAAGCGCATGTTTGGTAACAAACCGGTGGCAACCCATGGAGGATTTCACCACTGGTTGGGTGCCCAAGGAAAGCCACCCCCAAAACTAAGATCAGCCGAGTGAATGCAGTTACAGGTCCTTCTCAGAAGATGAAGAGGAGGAGGAGGAGAAGAGGAGGAGACGAAGAAGAATAGGAGAAGGAGAAGGAGGAGAGGAAGAGGTGGTGGAGGAGGAGGAGACGAAGAAGAAGAGGAGGAGGAGGAGAAGGAGGAGGAGGAAGAGAAGAAGAAGAAGAGGAGAGGAGGAGGAGACGAAGAGGAGACGAAGAAGAATAGGAGGAGGACAAGGAGGAGGAGGAGAGGAAGAGGAGGAGGGACAAAGGAGAAGAATAGGAGAAGGAGAAGGAAGAGGAGAGGAAAAGGAGGAGGAGACAGAGAAGAAGAATAGGAGAAGGAGGAGGAGAAGAAGAATAGGAGGAGGAGAAGGAGGCGGAGGAGGAGACGAAGAAGAATAGGAGAAGGAGGAGAAGAAGAAGAGGAGGAGGAGAAAAAATAACAACGAAGAGAAGCCACAGAAAAGATGCAGGCCGCATCTGCATCGAGAACTACGACTCCCGACATGCCACGGGGCGGGAGGGGGCGGCTGATATAGCCCCCGCTTGCGCACGCGCGGGCCGGCATTGCCACGTCTCGGCAATACGCTCCGTTGCGCCGCCGCCGCGGGGCGTGTGCGTGCCTCCCCCTCCCCCACCGAGCCACTTGCCCTCCTCCCCCCCATCCCACACACACACACACACAAACAGCGGCGCTGAAGGCGATAATCCCTTCGTGAGGGGAGAGTGGATGGGGGGGGCTTTGAGCCTCCCTCCCGCCCCCCCAATGTTAAAAGCACGACCCTCACCCATTAATAATAATAATAATCATAATATCATAATGTTTCCTCCCTCAGAGAAGACCCCTCCCATCCCCCCCACCCCACCCGTGAAGTGAAAGCCCCCCGCGCCGCCTCACCTCAGCCTCCCGCTCGGCGCCCGGTGCAAAATGGAGGGGCGGTTCTCGGCCCCGGGGCCGCCTCCGCCGGCTGCCACGTTCCCTCGCCCCGCCACGAGGAGGAGGAGCCGCCGCCGCCGCCGCGGCCCCAAGCAAGGAGGGAGGGAGGGCGGAGGAGCCGCCCTGCACCGCCTTCCCACGTTCAGAGAGAGACGCGCGTCAGCGGGCTGAAAAGGGGGGGGGGAAGACGCCACAGGAGGGGTAGTCCTCGTTTTACGACCACCATGGAAAGCGCCCCCCTCCCTTCCCAAATATGTTGCCAAAATTGTGGAAACCTTTTGGGAAAAGTGTATTTTCTAAAACTTTAGCTAATAAACCCACTTTTTTTTTTTTTTTGGAGCAGTACCATAAAAGTATATATGGATGGAAAGATAATTTAATCAAGAATGTCAGGCAATAACTTTTAGGAAGGATTTGCTATCAGAATAGCAGTTGCGGTATAAAGAAGAAAAGGGAAACAGATAGAAAAAAACGAGATATACAAAAATGATCCCAATGTCAGTTAATACTTCGTTGGGTAACCTTTAGCATGAATGCAATAACTTTTAGGAAGGATTTGCTATCAGAATAGCAGGTTACAGTATACATAATATAGTATAAAGAAGAAAAATTAAAACCCATAGAATAATAACAACTTTATTGTCATTGTACGTGTATACACAGTATACTCATACTACGAAATTCACTTAACACCCAAAGACCAGGTCCAACACACATAACAATCCCCAAACACGCTCCCACCCACCACAATTCCCCTCAAAAAAGGAGATATACAAAAATGATCACCATAGAAAAAATGAGATATACAAAAATTATCACCATGTCAGTTAATACTTAGTTGGGTAACTTTTAGCCTGAATGACGGCCTTACAGTGTCTTCCCATGGAGGGAACCAAGTCTTTTAGTTCTGCAGCTGTTCTCATGTGAAACCAAGATTGAATGATGGCTTCTATTAAGTTGGTTTTATTGCTGGGTCGCTTCTGACTAACCAGTTTCTTTCGTCGGCTCCATAGATTTTCCATTGGGTGAAGGTCTGGGCTATTCCCAGGCCATTCCAGCAGTGGAATAGGATTATCTTGAAACTCCAAAAAAAATTAAAAAAAATGGTGTTATTAGCCATCAAACCTCAAAAATACTTTTCTCAAAAGGTTTCCACAATTTTGGCCACTACTCTAAGGCGTTTGTTAAGGGAGTTTTGTTCCATTTGATGACCTTTCTTGCCCCGGTTGTTAAGGGAATAGCTGCGGTTGATAAATTAAGAATGCGGGCATTAAGCGAATCTGGCTTCTCCCTTTTTGATTTGGCTTGTTAGAAAGTTGCAAAAGGGGATTATGTGACACACACCTCTCCCCGGAGACTGCAATGGTCGTAAATGTGAGTCCATTCTCAAGCAGTCTGAAGTTTTGATCACGTGACCGAGGGGATGCTGTAAATGGTTGTGTGAACAATGGTCATAAAGTGTGAAAAATGGTCCTAAGTCACATTTTTTTCAGTGCCATTGTAAGTTTGACTGAAAATCAGGCTTGTCAGATGTTACATCTTTTCTATCCTGCTCTACAGAGTGGAGAGTTGGTCGGAGACAGAAAACCACTTGAAGAAACTAGAAGCATTTGAAATGTGGATTGACAGGCGGCTGTTAACGTATAAGCTGGGTTGACAAAATCAGAAATGAGGAGGGGATAAGCCGCCGGGGAAAGCCAAGGGAAATCATCAAAACCATAAAAAAGCGGGAGTTAGAATATTACGGACATGTGATGAGACCCCTGGAAAAATACAGCATCCTTCACTTCATCCTCCAAGGAAAGTTTGAAGGCAAACGAGGTCCAAGCAGAAGATGAACATCATGGCTTCAAAACCTAAGGGACTGACTGGTTTGGACAAAACTCAGCAGCAGTTTTTCATGTGGCTGTTGACAAAAATAGGATTGCCACCATGATTGCCAACATCCGATGATGGATATGGCACAAGAAGAATTATTGTAACTTTGAATGGTCACTAAATGAACTGTTGTAAATTCAACTACTCACAAGCAAAATGGAAGGAGTAGCCCAAATTGTGAGAGGGAAGACCGCCTTCCCAGGACCAGCTGCACCCAAGTTGGCCCAGCCACCATGGCCACTGATATGCGATGGGCCAATTCCCACGGCACTGGAACGCTAAACCCAAGCAGGGTCTGTTCAGAGAAGCTGGTTACAATCCCAGGCAGGGAAGTAGAGGTACACCTCGATTTGCAACATTGCAGTCAGTGATTCACTTAACAGATATGGTAAGAAGTTGTAAAACGGGGCAAAACAACAAATGCCTCACTTAAGAACATACATTTCAGGCTCAATTTGTGGTCGTAAGCCGACGACTAACCTGTATGTTGAAGTTAAATGATTACATGTCATTGTAATTATTCCAAAGGGGCCCATCTCAGCTGCCCCTGTAGGGTAGGGTTTATTTATTGTTTTCTCCTAAAGGGGGCAGAATTCATCTAAAAAATCAGGGTTTCTGAAGAGGGACATGTTCTCCAGGGTTTCTGCTTCTTTGAAAAGGTTTTGTGGGTTGCTGAGATTGACACCCTCATCAGAACCAGCAATTGGGTTGAACAGAAATGGGTTACCCGCATATGGTCGAATTTTGAAATGGACTCAATGAACAAGGAGTCGTAAGCGTAAATCATATTTAGGGCTTTATAATAATAAAAGGTTAACGCAGTTAAAAAAACATAGCCTTTTATTCTGAATGCTGCTTCAGAGATCCTTTACAGTGTTTACAGAATTATGTTTACAAACACAGAAAAGAGGGCGAAGTCCAAAAGACAGAAATGAAATGAAAACCTCGAGTCATTTGCTACAACGGTCCAAAAAACGATTAGGCAAATACAAAATTAAAAACAGGTGGCAATTAGGGCAAATAAATGGGAACCTCTCTTCGCTTTGCCAAGACTACACGCTAAAGCAGCCTCCCCCAACTGTGCTTCCCCCCCTGAATTCAGCTCGTGTGGAAGTTGCTGTCGGAAGCACCCACAGCTGTGGGAGTTGCAAAGCGGAAGCTCCTTCAACGGCGTCTTCGGTCAGGACTTCGGCTTCTTCTACGGCCACTCCTAGAAACAGAAACGGACCAAGAGGACGTTAAATGGAGCTTGATATTTGCGAAAGTTTATTTTGGGGCTTCAAAAAACAAACAACAAATAAACCCACCTTCGTTTTCCTTTCGGAGGCCCTCTGACAAAGCACCAATCCACGCTGATGGGCTGCCCCATCAGATCCTGCCCGTTCAGGCCCTCCATGGCCGCTTGGGCTTCTTTGTAGGTCTCGTACTCCACCAGTGTGTAACCCTGCGAGACGTTTGGGAAAAGAGATGCGAGTGCTCAGAAACACCCTTTCCTCGGTCGGCCCAAAAGATTCATTGACGCGTACTTAGATGTCACTCAATACTAGCACATCTGCTGGTGACCTTCTACCGCTGCACCAAAAAGAGTATTTGAACTTACTGCACCTGTGTCTGGTTTGCCAACTGCACAGTGGCAGATAGGACAGCGCTCCAGAGGGTCAACGTCATTGCCTAGAGGATCACTGATTGCCCTCTCCCCTCTTTGGAAGAGCTTTATAGCTCTTGCTGCCTTAAGAAAGTTTTTATTTATTTTTTTTTACTTCAAATTTATATACCGCCCTTCTCCCTAGGGACTCAGGGCGGTGTACAGCCAAATAAAAACACATAATAAATACATTAAGAACAGATTAAAAGAAAATATCTCAATTTGGCCCAAAATTTAAAAAGACAAACAAATTTAAAATCATTTAAAAGATTTGTTAGGCCAGCCCGGCTTGTTGGAAAAGGCAAGTTTTAAGGGCACGGCGGAAGGCACGGAGGTCTTGGATTCTCCTTATCTCTGGGGGCAGCTGATTCCAGAGGGTGGGAGCCCCCACAGAGAAGGCCCTCCCCCTGGGGGTCACCAGCCTGCATTGCTTGGCTGATGGCACCCCGAGGAGGCCCTCTCTGTGGGAGCGCACGGGTCGATGGGAGGTTGTCGGTGGCAGAAGGCGGTTTCGAAGATAACTAGGTCCTATGCCATGGAGCGCTTTAAAGGTGGTAACCAACACCTTGAAGCGCACCCGATAGACCACTGGGAGCCAGTGCAGCTCGCGCAGGAGCGGTGTTATGCGGGAGCGCCATGCAGCTCCCATAATTACCCGCGCGGCTGCATTCTGGACCAGTTGAAGCATCCGGGTGCTCCTCAAGGGGAGCCCCATGTAGAGAGCACTGCAATAGTCCAGACGAGAGGTGACGAGGGCATGAGTGACTGTGCGCACGGAATCCCGAATGTTCAAAACATTCTTAAAGATCCATCTCATCCTGGGTACCCTTTTTTTTTTAACTATTACCATCTGGCAGACGGTACAGGGCAATAAAAACAAGGACAAAAAGGCTGAAAAACAGCTGCTATCCCAGGGCAATAACCATATTGAATTCTACGGTATAGTGCAATATCGGGTTTTCAATTTCAATTCTATAGAATGTAAAGGATGTATGTTTGTGTTTTTATTTTTTGTAGTTATAATGTACACTGAAGACGGCATTGTACCATGTGCAATGACAATAAACTAAACTAAACTAAGACTATCTTTGACTTCCTTAGCCACGGTTTAGAGAATAAGTCACAGACTATGCCATAAACAAGCAAACCAAATGTTGGCCTAGTACAGGCAGTCCTTGACTTACAACAGCTCGTTTAGTGACCCTTCAAAGTTACGACGACACTGGAAAAAAGTGACTTATGACCATTTTTCACAGTTATGACCTTTCCAGCATCCCCATGGTCACCTGATCAAAATTCAGATGCTTGGCAACCGACTCATATTTATGACAGTTGCAGTATCCTGAGTCCTGTGTTCTCCTTTTGCGACCTTCTGGCAACGAAGTCAACAGGGAAGCCGGATTCACTTAACAATCGGGTTACTAACTACTCAGCTGCAGTGATTCACTTAACAACGGTGGCAAGAAAGATGGGACAAAACTCACTTAACGAATGTCTCACTTAACTAGAGAAACATTGGGCTCAATTGTGGCCATAACTTGAGGACTACCTGTAGTCTGTAAACTTAACCCATGTCAAAAAACCAGGCAATCTGGAATAACTGCCACTCCAAGGGCCTTCATCAAAATAACTTGATGCTTAGATTTCAGAAGGGGTATTGGGGAGCCACACACCCTCGCTCGTTTTAGGAATGTACTGCATCCAATTTTGGTCACCACACTATAAAAACAGATGTTGAGACTCTAGAAGGAGTGCAGAGAAGAGCAACCGGGATGATTAGGGGACTGGAGGTTAAAACATATGAAGAACGGTTGCAGGAACTGGGCATGGCTAGTCTAGTGAAGAGAAGGACCAGAGGAGACAGGATAGCAAGTCTTCCAATATCCGAGGGGCTGCCCCAGAGAGGAGGAACGGGGGAAAGCTATTCTCTAAAGGCCAGACAAGGAAGAATGGATGGAAACTGAACAAGGAGAGATTCAACCTGGAAATAAGGAGGAATTTCCTGACAGTGAGAACAATCAACCCATGGAACAGAAGCTGCCTTCGGAAGTTGTGGGAGCTTCATCCCTGGAGGCTTTCAAGAAGAGATTGGACTGCCATCTGTCAGAAATGGTGTAGGCAGGGTCTCCTGCTTGGGCGGGGGTTGGACTAGATGACCTACAAGGTCCCTTCCAACTCTGTTCATCTAATCTGTAACTGCGTTTTCCATCCCAGCTGAGTCTAAATGACCATTAGGTGACTGTTCTACAACTTTCTTTGGGAAGAAAAGGCAGTCCACATGTATACATACCTTCAGATATGTGGGCTGCTTGTGGGGCTTTTTTTTCCCCAGAGAAAGGTGTAGAACAAGGGTGTCAAACTCGAAGCCCGTGGGCCGGATGCAGCCCACGGGGTGCTTAGATCTGGCCCACGGGGCCGCCCTGGACCGGCCCGTGGTGCCTCTGCCAGCGAAAACAGAGCTTTGGAGGGCCACGCACGGACCTCCGTTTTTGCTGGGAGAGAAGTTGCAGGAGGCCGTCATAGCTGAAAACAGCCCGGGAGGGCTGCGTGTGGGCTGCAGGAGGTCGAGCTGGCCACGCCCACCCCTGACCCCCCCCAAGGTCAAACACAACCCTGATGCGGCCCTCAATGAAATTGAATTTGACACCCCTGGTGTAGAGCAATCAGCTTATGAATGGTCATTTAAACTCAGCTCGGATAAAAAAAAAACCACATTAAGATTGTTGGCGGAGCAGGGACAAAAACAGCCAGGGAAATGATTGACATCTAGGAAACGGGCACCTTGACAGTCAACAGGAGTGCTGATTTACCACCAGCCTATCCATTACTTACAAGGTGAGCGGCGGAAGGAAACAACAGCCAACGACTTAAAAGCCAGCCATCAACACCCAGCAATCAATAGCTAGAAAGCCACACGGAGAACAGCACATGCTCCGCTAGAGAGAAGTTCCCTGAAGCTCCACAGCAAGAATCCAAAAACTCGGAAGACAAAATCTCCGGTCCCCGGTTGACCGACCCAGATTGGATCCTGAATACCTTCAGGTAGCCTGTCCGCCGGTCCAGATTCAAGTGGAGGTTCTTGATCTCCCCGAACTCGGCGAACTTGTCGTGAATGTCCTCCTCTGTAGCCTCCTCATGCACACCCGTGACAAAGAGGATCCATCCTTCCACCGCTGCGGCAACACAAGGAATCGAAAGTGAGGCCCGTTTGAAATATATATATATACCGTATTTTTCGGAGTATAAGACACACTTTTTTTCCCTCCTAAAAGAGGCTGAGAATTTGGGTGCGTCTTATACTTCGAATGGACCCCCGCCCACCCGCCGGCCCCCACCCTTCGGCCTCCGCGCATCCTCTTCCTGGCTGCAGAGATTGCCATTGACAATGGCTTGTGTTTTTGGGGTCTGTGCGTTGCGTTTTCAGTCTCCGAACGCTTGACGCGCGGTGCCCAAAATGGCTACCCGGGACAGCTGCTGCCTCCTCTTACCCCTTCCATGCTTTGCCTGCTTTAGTTGCTGGAGCTCCCTCCGAGGATCAGCTGTGCTTTTGAAGCTGTTTTTCAACCCCAACACGAACGAAGCTATCTTCTGTGCTTTGCCTGCTTTTCTAATGCTGCTCCTTCTGACGATCAGCTTTTGAAGCGTTTTTCAGCCCCAATGTGAGCGAAGCTATCTTCCGTGCTTTGCCTGCTTTTCTAATGCTGCTCCCTCTGACGATCAGCTTGCTTTTGAAGCTGTTTTTCAGCCCCAATGTGAGCGAAGCTATCTTCCGTGCTTTGCCTGCTTTTCTAATGCTGCTCCCTCTGACGATCAGCTGTACTTTAGAAGCACAGCCCCAACCTCAAAACCAGCGAGCGAACTAATGTGCTGAAGCTGACCTAGTGACTTAGTACTAATGTGCTAAGGACTAGCCAGATGAATACCTGGTAGGCAGACACCCCCCCCCCCGCTATTTTCCTCCCCAAAAACTAAGGTGAGTCATATACTCTGAAAAATATGGTAAATTGACATGCCAAAAAGAAAGAAAAAAGCAAGGATATCGTCTCACTCACATCTTTGAGGTCCTGGTTCGTCACCATCTTGCTCCACACTGTCGTAGTCCTCACGAACTCGGGCTCTGGAACCCTCCTCTGTTCAAATACACCCATAAGCAAAAATAAAGAAAGAGAAAACAATGTTTTTAGATTAAAGAAGAGAAACAAAACTTTTGACACACACACACACCGTGTGTAATTAAATACAAGTAGCAACTGTACGCATTCCTGGAGGTATTGTAAGCTGGTTCACAGAACAGCAAATGAGAAACCTGTGTGGCACATCGCCCCTTTTAGACAATGAAGATGAGATAGCCAAAGCACTTATATGCCGCTTCAAAGTGCTTGTTCTGACCTAGGCATTCCCAAGAGCAGGAAGCGGACTTCTTGTCCCGACAAAAATCCCTTTTTTATTAAGTTACTGTGAATTCCTTTCATTCACATCCAGCAAAGTCTTTCAAGGGAGAATTTACAGTCACAGACCTTATCTGGCTTGGAGAGCTGCCAGGCCCGATATCTTCAAAACTTGGCAAGGAGTCTCGGAGAGTCACGAACCAATTAGGCAAATTAAAACTCCACTCCCCTTTCGCTGTTTTTTGGGCTATTTTTTTTTTTTTTAATTTGATTTATATGCCGCCCTTCTCCGAAGACTCAGGGCGGCTTACAGTGCGTTAAGCAATAGCCTTCATCCTTTTGTATATTTATACAAAGTCAGCTTATTGCCCCCACAAACTGGGTCCTCATTTAACCTACCTTAGAAAGGATGGAAGGCTGAGTCAACCCTGAGCCTTGGAGAGATTCGAACCAGCAGTAAATTGCAGGCAGCTGTGTTAATAACAGGGTGCTTTAAACCACTGTAGTACCAAGGCTCTTCCGGTGCTCCGGCGCCCGTGAAGACCAGCTGGTGATCGGGCACATACCCACAGAGAGGTGGCTCTGTGTGCCACCTCTGCTACACATGCCATAGGTTCACCATCACGACTCTACGTGATTCAAGATGGCAAACACGCCTAATACTCCAACCTCCCATTCTTCTCAAAACAGCCACCCTGTGGGGGTAAGTTAAGCTAACTGACCCAGTCACCCAATCAGTTTTATGCCTAAGGTAGGTAGGACCACCTCCAGGTTTCTAGCCCTCATGAACAACTGCAGCCAAACTGAAAGAACAACTTACCTGACCCAAAACCTCTGCCTTTTCTTTTCTTTGCCTTTTCCTTCAATTTGTGGATGCTTTCTGGAAAGAAATCACATATAGTTAGATCAATCAACATCAACAAAAAATGGAAAGAGCTTAGCCTTCATGACTGCAGTCACTCTGCAAGCCCAATTCACAATACAGGTAAGTATTCATTTAGTGACTATTCAAAGTTACAACGGCACTGAAAAATGGGACTTACGACCGTTTTTCACAATTATGACCACTGCAGCATCCCCGTGGTTTACATTCAGATGCTTGACAACCGGTACATATTTATGACGGTCGCAGTCTCCTGGGTGATCCCCTTTTGCGACCTTCTGACGAAGTCCACGGGGAAGCCAGATCCACTTAACAACCAGGTTACTACTTTAACAACGGCAGTGATTCGCTTAGCAACTGGGGCAAGAAAAGTTGTAAAATGGGGCAAAACTCTCTCTAAAAATTCGTCGCTTAGCAACATCAATTTTGGGGCTCAATTGTGGTGGTAAGCCGAGGACCACCTGAAATAGTGTTGGAAGAAACATCCTTCTGGGTTCTGCTCCAAGTGGGGAAAACAGACACTGGAAACATGGAGACTGCTTGGAAAGATGGTTTAATGGTGGACAGGATCACATGGCTTGAGTTCCTGAACAGAAAAAAGGGCAGATACAGTAAATCCTCGGGTTTTTATGCTCTCTTTGGCTCTGCATTTCTTGGGGCCCCGAAAGAGTTTCCTGATTGGTTGTCAGACTCCCAGGGGGTGGGGGCCTTGCTGGCTGATGGTCACATGTGCTTCCCAGGTCACATGTGGTGAGTTTCTGCTGCTATTGTGTAGAGGGCTAATCCTATCTTTGACAATTCCTACTATGGCTCTGCCTGAAGGAGGCAGATCTTTGTTATGTAGAATAGACTGGCCCAGGCCTTAATGGCCCATTGACAAAGGGTGGGGGGCAGGAAGGTGGGAGCTGCTTTGTCTGTAAAATATGCTTCTCATATTTCTCATCCAGGGAAACACAATACTCTGCCTTTTTCATATTTCCTAAAATATTTCACTCTTCCAGGAAAGGGGTGGGTGCTAACTTCCTACAATAGGAAACAGATTAGAAGTAAACAGTAGAGAAAAAAAAAATTCTTGATGGTAAGAACAGAACCAACGAGCTCAGAAAAGGGTCGTTTGCCCTACAATCACAGGACAGGCTAGATGACCTGAAAGGAAGGGTCTTCGGTGGAACGTAACAAAATTCAGACTAAGCCCCTTAACTGTTAGATGCAAAAAAGAATAAAAACAAAGACAAGGACCCAGAATCCACACAAGAGGGGGAGGGGAAATAAGCCCATCAACAGAAGACCGGGGAGAACAGTTTTTTTAACTGTAACATGATTTTAACATCAATATGTAAAACATTAATAATTTTAAACTTCGGTTTTAAAAAGGGGCGTGCATAAGCGCACCAATGTGCCTACAGTCATATCCATTTCATGTATTAATAATAACCATGCTTATACCTATATCTGTTATCTAATAAATGCTTGACAAAATAAATAAATAAATACATTTCCTTTACTTATTTCCTATTTATACTTCATATTTCTCTACCTTCCTCCGAGGGGCTCTGGGTGATGTACAATATAATCAGAACAGAGGATAATAACAGGGTTGTGGAAGGGACCTTGGAGGTCTTCTAGTCCAACCCCCTGCTCAGGCAGGAAACCCAAGACCATTTCAGATAAATGGAGGAGAGTCCCAAAGACAATTTGACTAAGTTTAGTCTTGAGAAAAAGATAACTGAGGGATGTATGATGACATTTTTCCAAATATATGAAAGACGAAGCCATGCCTCAACCTCAAGGTCTGTTCTCGCTCTTTTCCAGAAGCGAGAAATTATTGGATTTTAATTAAAACGTGGTTAGAAGAAATGATACAACAATATATGGGCTTAAAACCTGAACTGTTCCTATTGGGTATCTTACCAGAGAAATTTAGTAAAAAAAATACATATTTGATTATACATGTTATAACTGCAGCGAGGATAGTATTTGCGCAAAGATGGAAAGCAGAGAAAATCCCTACAGAGGGAGAAGCAATTAAGAAAATATTGGGACTGTGCAGAAATGAATAGATTGACTTTGACAATTAAAGAGGGGAACCGGAATATTTTAAGATATGGGGACAATTTTATCATTGGTTAGAGAATGTATGTATGTATGTATGTATGTATGTATGTATGTATGTATGTATTTCTCTTTAGCCAGGTTCTTCCTACGTAAACCAAGATTTTTATGCAGCCCTAGTTCAGTGAAATCACAATCCACTAGTTTCTAGGCTTTTTTTTCTTCAGGCAGCCAGCAAGCACTCTGCTGCCCATTGGGAGACTAATGCTGCTTGCTGGCTGCCTGAAGAAAAAAAGCCTAGAAACTAGTGGATTGTGATTTCACTGAACTAGGGCTGCATAAAAATCTTGGTTTATGTAGGAAGAACCTGGCTAAAGAGAAATACACATAAAGCCTACGAAAAGAAAAGAAAACAAAGATAGATAGATAGATAGATAGATAGATAGATAGATAGATAGATAGATAGATAGGGTAATGTTGTAATGAAATGAGTCAAGAAGAAAGAAGATAGATAAATGCATTAAGAGAAAAGCAAGAAATAATAAATGAAATGATATAAGATATGAAATAGTGGAGGAGCAGGAAGAAGACACAAAAGATGTACTCAGATGATAGCTGATTATGTATTGTATGTTTGTTTGTCTATAAAATAAAAAAAAACTGTTTTATATATATATGAAATGAAATGTTTTCTCTCTCTCATCCAGTGTGCAGGACACTGGTTGAGCTTTTGGGAAGCTCCACAAAACAACAGAGGAACAAGAGTTGGAAGGGACCTTAGAGGTCATCTAGTCCAACCCCCTGCTCTCAAGCAGGAGATCCTATACCCTTTTTTAAGACAAATGGCTCTTCTTGAAAGCTTCCAGTGATGGAGCAACTCACAACTTCTGGTGGCAAGCAGTTCCACTGGTTAATTTGTTGGGAAATTTCAGTAAACAGCCAGTAAAAAATGCGTTCCATGGACGTCTCAAGCCATGAAAGGAATAAAACGCAAGCGCGCATGCGCAGTTAGCTGCTCCGCCTCCCAATGGGCCTAGCCGGTCTTCACCGGCCTACCTCGCAGGGCTGTTGCGACCGCGGACGGGGGGGGGAGCGGAGGGCTAAACGGGGAACGGCGTGAGATTCCTACCGTCGCCGTCCTCGTCCATGGCGAAGTCCTCGCCCCCCGCCTCGTGAAGGTCCAGCACGTCAGCCATTCTGTTCAACTAAGCGAAACTCGTCCGAGGCGGCCGTCGAAATTTACTGGCCTACAAATTCGCAAGGGAGGACGGGATAGCTTCCGGCCGTGGGCAGGAAGTTGCAACCTCTTCCTCCTCCTGGGAAGAAAGGAGAGCGAGAGAGAGAGCGGTCCCGGCAGCCATTTTTAGAGAAGACGGCAACTGAGTCTGCGCGGCACTTTCGGAGGCGTGGCTCTTGGGGAAAAGCGCCGATCTGCGCGCCGTCACCTTGAGGATTCTAATCGGAATGGTAAGAGACAAATGGCAGACCGCCCCTTGCGGCAGCGCCGGTCATTGCAGCGTCAAAATTCCACCCTTGAATTTGATTCGCTTGAATTTTGGTCCCTCCTATTACAGATTAACAGGGTTGGAAGGGACCTTGGAGGTCATCTAATCCAACCCCCCCACCCCCCGCCCAACACAGGAGACCCTACACCATTTCTGACAGATGGCAGTCCAGTCTCTTCTTGAAAACCTCCAGGGATGAAGCTCCCACTTCTGAATAACAGAATATTGGAAGGGACCTTGGAGGTCATCTACTCCACCCCCCAACTTTGCAAAAGTTAACAGATCCCAGCTAAAGCAAGCCTGCTTCTATAGACAGTTACGACAGTTCATTAGTGACGGCGACATGCAGTATTTCCCCCCTATAGTCCTGTGATCAAAATTCAGAGGCTTGGCAACAGGCATGTACAGGTGGTCCTCTACTTACGACGGTTTATTCGGTGACCATTCCAAAGTTACAACGGCACTGGAAAAAAAAGTGGCATGGCCGTTTTTTTCATACTTACGACCGTTGTAGTATCCCCATAGTCCCATGATCAAAATTCAAGAGGCTTGACAACTGACTCATATTTATGACGGTTGCAGTGTCCCACGGTCCCGCGATTCCCTTTTGCGACCTTCCGACAACAGATTCGTTTAGTAACTGTGTTACTAACTTATCTGCAGTGATTCGCTTAACAACCATGTTACTAGCTTAACACCTGCAGTGATTCACTGAACGACGGTGGCACAAAAGGTTGTAAAATGGGGCAAAACTCAACTTAACTGAGCCTTGATGGCACAGTGGTTAAAGAGTGCAGTCCTGAAGGCTACTTCTGCTGCCTGCCAGCTGCCTGCAATTTGGCAGTTCAAATCTCACCAGGCTCAAGGTTGACTCAGCCTTCCATCCTTCCGAGGTCGGTAAAATGAGGACCCAGATTGTTGGGGGCAAGAGGCTGACTCTGTAAAACCGGTTAGAGAGGGCTGTAAAGCACTGTAAAGCGGTATATAAGTCTAAGTGCTATTGCTATTAACAAATTTTTCACTTGAGTAACAAAGATCTTGGGTTCAGTTGTGGTCGTAAATCAAGGACTACCTGTACACTGAGCAGCAGCAATAGAGGAAGAAGCTGCAGGCACCTCTGGAGGGATGGAGGCCTCCCTTGAGTAAGACGCCGTGCTTCTGTATTTTTCCCCAAGACACAGATAGAAAATATAAAAATGATGGCTGACGGCTTGACTTCTAAGCAATGGAATGAACAAGAGGAAGAACTTTTCCCAAATCCTGTTTTATTACACAAAAACTATGCATTACAAACGAAATCCTGAACGCACAAATCGTGAAAGAGGCAAGCAGCGTAGGGGAATATCGTAGGTAATACTGGCATGGATAATCTGGAGATTATCAATACTGTAACTGTTACAGAAAACAAGAGAAAGAAAGCTGCGTGGTCAGGAAAGAAATCGGCAGGAGAGGCAAGTACAGGATTCGCATTTGGGTCGTGTAAAAACCGAGACATATTCAGTCTCTGGACAGGTTCAGGCAAGAGAAATAACCCCAAATATGGTAACCTACCAGTCGGCCAGACTAGTGTGAACAATAGAGGGAGACATTCATGTAAATTCTTCAAAGAATTTAGTTATCAGCTAACTTTATAAATGTTTAAACATTAATACTGTGTAAACAATAGCTATGTATAAAATATATAAATATATATATATATATATATAAAAGAGGATATTGTTTTATTATTTCATGTATACAAATGGCAAGATATTGAAGACCAAAAAACAAAAACAAACCCACACCGTATTTTCTTGAGCCCGCTGATCACTGGCTAATATTTCCACCAACCAATCAAATCTTTTACTATAATCATAGACTGGCACAAAATAACAGAGTTGGAAGGGATCTTGGAGGACATCTAGTCCAACCCCATGCTCAAGCAGGAGATCCTATACTATTTTAAAGACAAATGTCTGTCCAGAACACCTACATTTTGCAAATTGCTCCCTTTACCTTAAGACGGCTTGAAGTTTTTCATCAAGAGATCTCTTATGCCAAGTTTTTGTACCGGATCAGGGCTTGAAGCTTGTTTATACATGACATTAAAAAAAAAAACCCAGCAAAAAACCAAACTAACCTGGCATGGAAGTGACCAACATTCCCCTAATGCAGGAATCTCCAACCTTGGCAACTCTTAAAAGACTTGTGGACTTCAACTCCCAGATTTCCTCAGCTAGCTTTGCTGAGGAATTCTGGGAGTTTTTTTTTTTTTATTAAATTTATATACCGCCCTACTCCCGAAGGACTCTGGGCGGTGAACAGGCACAAAATAAAATACATAGATACAAAAGTTAGAAACATAATTAAAACCAGATTAAATAATTTAGCCTGAGACAATTAAAAATCCCAATAATTTAAAACAGATTAAAATTTCGATTTAAAAGAGCTGAAGTCCACAAGTCTTAAAAGTTGCCAAGGTTGGAGACCTAATGTGTCCTAAGACTTTGAAAGTAAACCTTGAACACAAGAACATAAAATTAAAGTCATGGTCAATATAGGTAGTGCTTGATTTACAACGGTAGTGTAGGGACTGTTCCAAAGTTAATGGCGCTGAAAAAAGGAGCGACCAGTCCAGTTAAAAAAGAATACTGGTGGCTGGACAATAACGGAAACAGGGCGTTTTAAGTGCTCTACTTACAAGTGGTAAGAAAAGATGGTGTATATCAAACTACTTTAACTGTAGGTACACATCCGCGTAGCATATATCGATGCATTATACCTTAATAACAAACACTGGCATTCTTTGGTGGCAGTGTTACTTTTCTACGTAATACTGATGACTGTACAAATACCTGGATAGAATCAAGATTCGAGCAAAGGTCTATTTCTCCAGAAAGAAAAAAAAAAGTTACATTATAAGTATGTTCTACAAAAAGTTCCTTCAGCAGAGTGAAAAGACCTCCACAGAGGTCCACGTATAAAATCTATACAGAGTTTTCAACAATCTTTTTTTTTTTAAGTGTGCAATTGGTCCTCTGTTCTTGGAAACAAGGCCTTTGGCAGCAGAGGTGGGATTCAAAAAAATTTAGCAACCGGTTCTCTGCCTGGTTACTGGGTGGGCGTGGCCATGGTGGGTGTGGCTTACTCGGCCTCCTGCACCATGGCGGGGGGGGGGGGGAGCTTTTTGCCCTCCCCAGGCTCCGGAGGCTTTTCTTGAGCCTCCGAGATGGTGGAAATGGCCTCTCCCGGGCTCCAGAGGCCAGAAACAGCCGTTTCCAGACTTCCGGGAAGCCCGTTTTTCGCCCGCCCAGAGCCTCTGCGTGGGCTCTGCACTTACCTGGCATCCAAAATGGGCCGTGTGGAGAGGGGTGGGGTGGGGTGGGTGAATGGGGCCAGCCAGTCCTTGCAACTACTGGTTTGGCAAACCAGATGTAAATTTAGCATCCAGTTCTCCAGGAACCGGCTGAATCCCATCCGATTGGCAGCTGTTCAATGACACAGTTCAGGTGATCGGGACCGAAGCCGAGTTCTGAACAAACTCGATGGTTTTTTCCCTCCAAAAGGTTAATTCAGGTTTCCTACTCTAATGGGAGGATACCTTTCACTTAGAACTAAAAAAATTAAGGCAATTAAGATTATTTTCAAATCCTGCACTAAAGGTCTCCCAAACACAAACATCACATTGCACAATAAAAATTAGGAAAAATCGGGTTGAACATGGGGCTTCTTCATATTTGTAACATTCCTTCTCCAGCAAACTACTGTGGGCAGAGAGAGAGTAGTTAAACGAGGGGGAGAGAAAAGAGCTACGTGAGTCCTAGCAGTTGGAAGAATGCATGTTCCCCAGCTGGCCAGCCGCCAACATCAGGATGTCTTTCTTCTCCTTGTGAAATCTCAGCTCCTTCCCAGCTAGCCGAGCTTCGTCCAGTTCACGCTCGGTCGAGGCCAGCTCCCTGGAAAGGGCCCCGGGGATGTTCTGCTCCCGGTTGACCCAATCCGTTGCCATCTGGTTCCGTATATCATCATCCAGAGCACGATGGGAGTAGTGTGCCAGCACCTCCTGGGAAGGAGGGAAGAAAGAAGATATAAATGAATGGGGGAAAAGGAGGTCTTCCAGATACCAGAACCAGCGAAGGAGATGCTCTCTCCAGTCAGGGAGACTGCTTCGTGCCGTGAACCTGCGGCCCTCCGGGTGGTACTGAGTTCAAGCAGCTTCGGGAAGCTAATAGCAAAGAGGCACCTCGCCGGCTACAGGCCCAAATTCTGCAGATACTTTGAACGAACCTACCTGTCGTGAACACTGCCTCTCTCGCATGGCTTTAAGGCTTCCGTTCCAGTGCAGCAGCTGGAAAACGGTCATCAGCTCCTGCCAAAGGAAAACAGGCCAAAATTTGATCATGGTTATCAGCAGACGAAAGGCAGGACTAGATGTGCCCAAAGCCATTCCCTCTGCCCTCGTCTTTCTGAATATCGCACACGATAATTTGCCCTTCAGGTTGTTAACTTAAAAACTACCAGGTGATTCATCATTCAACAATACGCGGAGGTTTCCAAACTTTTTTTTTTTTTTTTACTCTAATTCTGATAATGTCAGAAACAGATTCTCGGTTTACCATCAACCGTTAATTCCTTAAGAGTTTATTATAAAGGCCTTGCAACCAGCTTTGATCGTAGGATATTTGATGATATTTCAGAGTCCTGAGTTGGTCGACAGATTATGAAGAATACTACATTTCCGTGCCAATTCCACCTCTCCTGTGTCAGCTCTGGAAGCCATTTTTCATCCTTCAGACCAGGGGTGGGTTCCACATTTTTTTACTACCGGTTCTGTGGGCGTGGCTTATTTTGTGGGCGTGGCTTGATGGTCATGTGACAATTCTTTAGGATTTAGCAGAGGTACTGGTCTACCAGGCTTTTAACTGCTTGCAGAGCTGTACTGGTCTACCCATTTATTTTTGCAGGCACCGGTCTACTCATTTGTTTTTGGAGGCACCGGTCTACCACCAAACTGCCTTTTACCACTGATCAGCTGTAGGACGGCCCTTTGAAGCCCCGCGGCAAGAGTTTAAACAGTTTTTTTCCTTATAGCCCATCAACTGGGACTCAGGAGGCAGCAATAGATTGGGGGTGGGGCCAAATAAAAGGTAAGAATAACGTGGGGGGGTGGGGGATGGGGATGGGGCAGAACCGGTGCGGTGACGTCATATCGTCACCACTACCGGCTCGGCGGAACCGGGAGAAACCCACCACTGCTTCAGACCTGCCAGGTTTACTACTGTGGGAAATTGGGAGGGGGGGATTGTATGGAGCATGGGTGATATATAGTCGTAACAACATTCCTTTCTCAAGAAGTCAAGGACAACTTGCCCTGCACCTGGAAGGCTGGAACTGGGAGGCATCCCCAGTTGGGACGATGCTTTGATTGGACCGTGTGATGGACTTGTGGGTGCTGGGCAGGTATTGGAACTTTTTTGGGGGGGGGGGAACCTGCAAATTTTCAGATTCGGGTTTTCCCAGACGTGCCAATAGGACATCTCTAATAAAATGTAACCTTGAGGAAACTCGGAGTTTTCTTTTGTTCGGGGTGTGTTACTTGGAACCCTGACATCCTGCATATTTTGCATTTCCTCTTCACAAACAGTTACTCGAAATTAAGGCAATAGCAGCAAAAGTCTGGATCGCATAATCCAATTAAGAATACCTGGAACTCTAACATGGATTTCCCTTTGTTGGACTCCAACATGAAGCGGAATGCACCAATGCCTGTACTTGGGTTATCAGCTTCCTCTCTGTTGCCCTGTGGGAAAGACAAACATTGTAGGTTAGACTGGATTTTGAGTAAAAGGATAATCTTTTCTGTATAAGAAGGATTCCTAAAGATTTTTGAATTTTTCCTACTAATGACAGGACCTTCAAAAGCACTTACGTTGAAACAGGCCAAAGCCTCTAGGACACTTTTCTCAATAAAGTCATCCGTGATTCTACGGGATGGATGTTCATTGAAGACTGAATTCATCAGGGCAATTTTTGCAGCGCTTCTCCTGGCTTCCGCTTTCGTTGGACAAAACTGAGGTGGGGTTGGAGAAGAACACGAGGTAGACATAAGAACGGAAACTACCAGAGTAAGTTAACAAAGTTATCCCTAAATTATGCTGTAAAGGGCACTATAGAATTGCTGTTGATAGGTTGCAACCATCAGAAAGAAAGCTCAGTGTCCTAGAAAGAACGAACCTCACAGGATCCTAAAAATCAGCATGTACATTTATGGGGGAAAAATGCCACAGTAATATTTGTCAGTAAAATTAATTGGTTTAAAACCAATTAATTAGGTACTTTATTCTAAAGACCCAGTGCTATTTCCAAGGGTTCAGACATTCCTGTTTATTTTGGATGCCTGCTTAAAATCTCACATACAAAATAATTTACTCCCACAATCTCTGCTGCTTTAGGTTCTAACTGTTAAACCCAGGATTTAGAATAGATGGGGATTACAGCGTCTGAAACTTATTGCTGATGTTATGCAGTTAAAAGTGGCACACACTTTGCATTTTTCACATTTACACTACAGAAGATTACTACGTCTCATAGCTTGTCTTTTCATGAAAAGAAAAGCTGTTCAAAACTAAAGATAATTCCATGAATTCCACCTGACTGGGATTCTGTAAATTTTTTTTTTCTTTTTACAACCTGTAAACCAAGGGTCCTCAAACTTTTTAAACAGGGGGCCGATCCACGGTCCCTCAGACTGTTCGGGGCCGGACCAGCTGGGTGGGTGTGGCTAGGTAGTCATGTGACTGGGTGGGTGTGGCCAATTTAGCAGTCCAAACAATATACACAAATTAAACTTTAGTTTCTTATGCTCCGGAGGGTGGAAAGCAGGTTAGTGCTTTCCACCCTCCGGATGTGGCAGGGATGTGGCTCCCTTGGGGCACACCCATGGGACTTCTGTTTGTGTGTATGTGTCTTTTGTCTCTCTCTCTCTCTCTCTCTCTCTCTCTCTCTCTCTCTCTGCCAGGGAGGCAAAGAAGTGGCCTGTTTTTAGTCTCCAGAGGCCTCTGCACATCCCATTTTTGGCCTCCCCAGCCTCCAGAAGGCGGGTGGGGGCCAGTGGGTAGGTGAGGAGATGTAGGCGGGGCAATCTCGTGGTCCTGCGTGGGCCGAATTAATGGCTTTGCCGGGCCGTATGCAGCCCCCTGGCCGTAGTTTGAGGACCCCTGCTGTAAACCCTTGCTTTGGGGTAGTGTCGGGGCGACTGAATGGAACTGAGCATTTATTGGCCAGATGCCCTTCCTGATGCCTACATGAAGTTCACGGGAGATATTTTCTCTTTGCGCCATGATAGAGAAACATCTGTCGCCACCTAGAACTGAACTCTCAACCTTCCGAGTGGGAGGGCACCTCACGGTTCAAATCTAAGATTCCGTTAAGCAAGATGATCTAACCTGAAAACTGCCGAAGCAGCTCCCTCCTGGCAACGTAACATAGCAAATGTAAGGAGGACTGTTGGATGGGACCATCTCGTAAACCACCAGAGCGCCATTTTTCAGATCAGCACCACGGGATTGCTTCATCTGCCAGAATTCCTGAAGCGCTTCAACAACATTGACTGAAAATAGAAAAAGAGAACCTGTAAGAATATTAACAATTATTTACACGCAGCCTAAAGCTTTCCCGATCATTGCTGCAATTGGAGAATCCAGAGAGCTATTGCAGATACTGGTAGTCCTCAACTTACAACCACAATTGGGTTCTCTCTCATAACTGCGGAACAAGATCACAAGTAGCCCTAGGGAAGTTCATCATAACCTGGAATGGTCACTAAGTGATCGGCTATAAGTCAAGGACTACTTATAGCACAAGACACTCCTCTAGGATGTCCACACAGCTTCTACAATTAATTCATACACAGACACTACAATTTTTAAATAGTAAGTAGAAGATATTAGTGCGGCCTTTTAGAACCAAACAGAAAACTAAAAAATAAGGATTACTAATCAACTGGAAAATGCTGGACATTCAGGTAGTCCGCAACGTACAACCACAATTGAGCCCAAAATTTCTGTCGCTAAGCTAGTTTTGCCCCATTTTACGACTTTCCTTGCCACTGTGTTAAATTAGTAACAGTTAAGTGAATCTGGCTTTCCGTTGACTTTGCTTGACAGAAGGTTGCAAAAGGGGATCAAGTGACCCCAAAACACTGCAACCATCATAAATATGAATCAGTTGCCAAGCATCTGAATTTTGATCATGTGACCATGGGGAAGATGCGACGGTTGTAAGTGTCAAAAACGGTCATAAGTCATGTTTTCAGTGACGTTGTGAACTTCTGACAAACTTTGGCCTCAATTACGGCCGTAAGGATTGCCTGCATGCTAAATATTTATGAATCCTAAGCAACGGAAGAAATACTAGCCTTTAGCTGGAAAGTACAACTCCTCCATATATGAAAATCTCCATGTGAAGCAGGAGAACTTTTGATGCAAAAAATAATAATCTAAAAATGCTCATGAAGAAAAGCATTTCTTTTCTACACTTCCTGCTACCAAAGTGCAAATGTTTACAGTCAGAAGTCAAACTGTGTTATTTATAAACATTGTTTACTCTCTTGGTCCCAAACTCTGGTCCTTGCCTTGAGTATGACACACATCTGACTTGCGTATTTAAAGAAGACAGAGTAAATGATTCCATATGGCCTTGCAGGCTTTTCAGAGCCAGAAAAGCAGCTCTCAGCTAAACTACAGATTGCCTGCCAAGCATTTACTCTTTAAAAATGTACCAAACAGCATTCATTGGGATGCTACCCAACGACAGCCACTCAAACAATTATAGCCAATGACCTCAATATGAAAACAGTGGAAGTTTTTTCTCCTTACAATCATATAAAAGACTTTAATATATATTTCTCTATTCTTACATGTGTTTCTTAAAACAATCAAATAGGTTTTGAGAAAATAATTCGACAGAACTTTACAGAATTCCAAAACAAATTGTGTGCAGTCCAAACATGTTTCAAACTTGAATAAGCTTTCTTGCAGCCAAGTATAAATAGAAACAAAGGCTATCATAAAATAAGGCTACTTATTATTAATAGAGAATTCTGAAAGAATTCTGAAAGAAAAGCCTCCTTTTGCCAACTAAAATATACATAAAACTTTCAGGCATGAAGTCCCAGAGGTTAAATTATTAGATCCCCCAAAATATTATGTTTTAGCTGGTATAATTTTTGTGTGATGTTGAAAATATAAAGAAAAATGTTCATAAATTATGCTGATAGCGAAATTAAAACCATCCACTCCTTCAACTGGTTTCCATCTTCAAAAAATTAGAGACCAATCAGCCTGACCTCAATACCTGGGAAGCTCCTGGAAAAGATAATCAAGCAACAGATTTGCAAACATCTCGAAGCAAGCAAAGTTACAACCAGAAGCCAACATGGGTTTGTCAAAAACAGATCATGCCAAATCTTATTTCATTCTTTGACAAAGTGACTAAATTAGTGGCCCAGCAAAATGTAGTGGACATAGTAGTATGCTTGGATTTCAGTAAGGCATTTGACAAAGTAGACCACATCCTACTTCCTGGTATGCTAAAAAAATGTGGGACAGACAGCATCACCACCAAATGGATTTGTAACTGGCTGACCAACCATACTCAACATGTAGTCCTTAATGGAACCACATCTACATGGAGATACTGAAGTAAGCTGTGGGGTACCCCAAGGTTCTATCTTAGGCCCAATACTCTTCAATACCTTTATAAAGAATTTAGTAGAGGAAGGAATAGAAGGGGGACTAATCAAATCTGCAGATGATACCAAGCTGGCAGGAACAGTCAACACTCCAGAAGATAGGCTCAAGATACAGAAGTTCTGAGCCCTGTCTAATAAAATGAAATCCGATGGTGAGAAAAGGAAAATTTTACACTTAGGCAAGAAAAACCAAATGTACAGGTATAGAATAGGTGGAATCTGGCTTAATAGCAGTAACTGCAAGAGGAATGTAAAAGACCTTGTGGACAACTACTTAAATATGAGCCAGCAGTGTGCAACAGCCATCAAAAAAAGCTAATGCAGTTCTAGGATGCGTCAACAGAGGATTAGAATTAAGATCACGTGAAGGGTTAGTACTGCTTTACAGTATAAGAACTTGGTAAGACCCAACTTGGAATATTGCATCCAGGTTTGGTCGCCACAAAATATAAAAAAGATGTTGAGACTCTGGAAAGAGTGCAGAGAAGAGCAACAAAGAGGATTAGGGGGCTGGAGGCTAAAATATATGAAGAACGGTTGCAGGAACTGGGTATGTCTAGTTTAGTGAGAAGAAGGACTAGGGGTGACATGATAGCAGTGTTCCAGTATTTGAGGGGCTGCCACAAAGGAGAGAGGAGCAAGCAATTTCCAAAGCACCAGAAGGCAAGACAAGAAGCAATGGATGGAAACTGACCAAGGAGAGAAGCAACCTGGAACTAAGGAGACTCTGCACCTTCTTTTGTCTCTACATGTGGATTCAGGATCCACATTCATAACAGTTTCCAAGCCTCTTCTAACAATCAAAAAAATTACACACCTGATTTTTTGAACCCAATGTGAAAATTCTTGGGGTGCTTCACCAGTTCTCTTAATGTTGCCCACCGTGTTTGAGGAAATACAAGTTTTTAAAGTATGGATAACAGCAATTTGATGCCTGAGATGAAAACAAATTGCTTCTGTTTGACTCCCGATCCAAATGGATGCTTTCCAGGAATCTACTTCAAAGGACTGTTCAACAGACAGTCTCTCCGTTAAATAGCAATAGCATTTAGACTTATATACCGCTTCACAGTGATTTTACAGCCCTCTCTAAGCGGTTTAGAGAGTCAGCATACTGCCCCCAACAATCTGGAGCCTCATTTTACCGACCTCGGAAAGATGGAAGGCTGAGTCAACCTTGAGCCTGGTGAGATTCGAACTGCCAAATTGCAGGCAGCCTGCAGGCAGCACAAGTAGCCTGCAGTACTGCACTCTAACCACTGCGCCACCGCCACTCTATATGTTATGATTGCATGCATTCCTCTAGCCACGTAACTTTGTATTGAGTAAATTGCCTCTTCCTTACTAGTCATAATCATGAAAACATAATAAAATCGAAAAAACTACACAAAGTCAATAATGCAGTCTGTTTCACAATGACTCGCATGAAAGTGCTATTATTAAAGCAAGATGTCACATCAGATTGACAAAAACAAAAATCTTTACTCGGAAGCACAGAGCTGCATCAAACAGCCTCCCAGAAAAGGAAACCTGCAATTACAATACAAAATTAAAAGAAACCACAATTATAGGGTCCAACTTTCTGCAATCTTCAGTAAAAACAACCAAACTGTCCTTGAGAGATGGTCCTCTTAAAAAAAACTACAAAGATGAAGATACCGATAAATCAACTTGAGAGGAGTGAGTCCATGCCTGCTTACCCTCTATTCTCATCTCTTGCTGCCTTTATCACCAACAATGAAGTGCACCTTACTCTCTATCTCAGAATGGCCTCCGCATTCGATAGCCCTATGTTCAGAAAAATGTTCCACGCATGATCAGAAGCGCAGCACACCTATTTAATATTACATGTGTTGACAGCAGCAAGAATTGTAATCGCACAATATTGGAAAAATGAGGGAATTCCAACAGATGAAGAGTGTAATTTAAAACATATCAGACTGTGCGGAAATGTTAAAAATAAAGGATAAAGAAGATACAGAATATTTTTTAACATGGGATTTGTTTTACAAGTGGTTAGACAATAAAGGTAGAAGTTGGAGGAATACGACCTTATAAAATATTGTTATTATTATTGATATTATGTATAAGTAAATTGACCCAGACAATACAGTTTATTAAGCACTCATTTATGTTAAAGAAAATGTATAAATAGAACTTATGGGGGGGGGGGAAAGAAGCGCAGCACACCAATGAGAAAAGCCCTCTGCGTATGTTCAGAGGCACAGCCTTCATAAATAAACCAATGACCAAGTCTACAACAACTCGTCATGCCAACTCCCCATGGGACAACTCACCCCAGCCAACTCACCACGGGACAATACTTACACTAATATCGAAGAAATAAAATAGAATCATTAAAGAAAGGATGCCAAAGGAGGGACAAAATAAAATGTGAATGACAAAAACAAAATTATTTTCTAAAATATTTGAAATAATTAAATTGAATTGTTAAATTGTGCTGCAGCGAGTTGTCCCATTCCGCCCTGCTCCCACTTCTCTAAGGCTAAGCCATTAGTCCGGTAGTCCATGACTTACAACCATCCGTTTAGTGACCAAAGTTACAGCAGCACTGAAAAAAAAAGCGGCTAATCCCTTTTTTCACACTTCTGTGAAAATTCCATTGCAGCCTCCCCGTGGTCACGTGATCCAAATTCAGATGCTTGGCAACTGGTTTGCATATATATGACCATTAGTATGTCATGAGTCAAGAATTATCTGTAGGCAACATGGAGTAGAATAGAATAGAATAGAATAGTAGAATAAATGTAGAGTAAAATAAGAGAATAGAAAAAAATAGGATTCTGAATAGAATAGAAAATAGAATAAATGTAAAGTAAAATAAGAATAGAATAGAAAATAGAATAGAATAAATAGAATAGAATAGGAATAGAATTCTTTATTGGCCAAGTGTGATCGGACACACAAGGAATGTGTCTTTGGTAGAAGGAATTACAGGCAGTCCTCGATTTACATTTCATTTAGTGACGATTCAAGATTAAAACGGCACTGAAGAAATAACTTAGGACTGTTTTGCACACTTACGACCCTTGCGGCATCCTCCCCACGGTAACGGGATCAAAATTCGGACGCTTGGCAAACCCGGTTCCTATTTTATGACAGCCACCATGTCCAGATCCTCCACCTTTGGCGACCTTCCGACAAGCCCATGTCAGAAGGGGGAACCCAGATTCACTGAACGACTGGGTGATGACCAAGTTTTTAACGGTGGCAGGGATTCGCTTAAAGATGGCAGGCCAGGAAGGTCGTGAAATGGGGGCAAGACACCTCCCCTTCACAATGTCTTTGCTCAGCGATGGAAATTTGCTCTCTGTGTGTCTGTGTGTGTCTCTCTCTCTTTCCTTGTCTGTGTCTCTGTGTCTCTCTCTCCGTTTCTCTGTGTTTGTGTGTCCCTCTGTGTCTGTGTGTCTCTGTGTGTGTCTGTGTCTCTGTGTTTGTGTTTGTGTGTGTGTCTCTCTCTCCGTGTCTGTGTGTATCTGTGTCTTTCTCTGTCTGTGTGTCTCTCTCTGTCTGTGTATGTCTGTGTGTCTCTGTCTGTGTGTGTGTGTGCCTGTTTTTGTGTAGCGGTCGTAAGTCGAGGACTACCGGCATCTAACGGTTCTCCAGACTGCCCCCCCCTCCCTCGTTCGACCCCCGCCAGGAGGCAAAGCTGAGGGGACCGGGCCTTCGGCAGGAGGGTGGCGGCTCCTCACCGCGGCCGTATCCCTGCGTGTGCTTAGCGAAGCTCCGCACTACGGCCTCCACGGCTTCCCTCAGGACGGCGGGAGGGCCTCCGGCGGCTCCCGGGGGGCTGGCGGCGGTGGCGCCGGCCGTCACTCCGGCCAAGAGGGAGGGCGGGAGCGGCGGAGGGGGCGGCGGCGGCGGCCCCAAGGTGAGCGTCAGCCCGAGCGGCGGCGGGGGCGGCGGGAGAGGCGGCGCTGAGGCGGCCGAGGGAAGCGCCCCCGTCGTCACGCCGGGCCGCAGCGAGCGCAGCGTCCCGCCGCCGACGCCCGGCTGCAGCCGCTGGACGCGGAGCGACTCCATCCCTCTCTCCGTTGCCGACGGCCGAGGCGAAGAGACGCGGAGTCGCCTCACGGCGAGGTGTCAGTCAAGCCCTGGCCAGCGACCAATGGCAGAGCGCCTTCATCGGCAGGAGGCGGGCTTTCTCCACCTTCTTGCCCAATCGCCGTCGTGAGTCTCTCCGTAAATCAGGAGACGGAGTTGGTGTTGGAGTTGGGAAGGCTCATCGGCGAGGCCTTAGCCAATGGGGATCGAGGACAGAAGCAGGCGGACGCTCCTGGGCTTACGTCACGTCTTCCATCCCGATTCCTTCCGCGGGAGCCAATCGTAAGCCTCGGATAAATCGAGGACAGAAGCAGGCGGACGCTCCTGCCATTACGTCACGTCTTCCATCCCGAGCCCTTCAGCGGCAGCCAATCGTAAGCCTGGGATAAATTTGACCCTCACGCGCTCCTGTAACGGGGGCGGAAGTGGAGGTGTTTACCTCTCCTCCGAGGGCCCGACAGACGGGCGAGGGTTCAGGCCGAGGCTGCTCGGTTTGTTCCAGCCTTTTATCACCCCGTCGGGCTCCGCCATGGATTCCTGGGTCCGTTTCAGCGCCCAAAGCCAAGCCAAGGAGCGGGTCTTCAGGTTTGCACGAGCGAAGGGCGGTGGGTGACAAACCCCGGGAGGACTTTGCAGGTGGTCCTCGACTTACGACCGCAGTGGAGCCCAAAATTTCTGTCAAGGGAAGGCGTTGGAGTGAGCTTTGCCCCGTTTTAAGGCCTTCCTTGCCACGGTTGCTAAGTGAATCACTGCAGCTTTTTAAGTGAATAATACGGTTATTAAGTGAATCCGGCTTCCCCATTGACCTTGCTTGCCAGAAGGTTACAAAAGGGGATCACGTGACCCCCCCGAGACACTGCGACCGTCATAAATGTGAGTCGGTGGCCAAGCGGCTGAATTCTGACCACGTGACCATGGGGATGCGGCTATGGTCATAAGTGTGGAAAAACAGACATAAGCCCCTTTTTTTCAGTGCCATTGTAACTTCAGTCACTAAACGAACTGCTGTAAGTTGGGACCCTGCCACCGTCGTATATATGAGTCAGCTTCCAACTGTCTGAATTTTGATTACGTGACCAGACGGATGCTCCAATGGTCGTAAGCGTGAAAAACGGTCCTAAGTCCCTTTTTTCAGTGCCGTTGTAACTTCGAACGGTCACTAAACGAACTGTTGTAAATCGAGGACTACCTGTATTTTTAAAATCCATGGAAAGCATTTGGTTTAAATTGGATTAATCTTAGCAGGTATCAACAAAAAGAGCATATTTGTAGCTCCAGACTGAACTTTGGTGACCTCTGAATTTGGCTGTTTTCCTGCAGAAGTTTCATTACCAAACTACTTAAAGGCTGTTGCACCGGTGATGCTTTTCATTGCAAACATGGGCTTGCACATAACTAGGGCACGGTCATAAATCTGGCAACACTTTCTTACTTTTCCTCTTGACGTTGCTTTTCTCTCGTCCTCACCCTGTGAGTGAGAAAGGCGGTGCCCTTAACTACCTCATCTAAATATTTGCCTCTTACCCCATTTGCACTTCGCCGCTTCTTCAAAGAGAGCTTTTGGGTGGCTACCTTGGAAAAACTTTGGGTGTCTGTGGTTAATTGGAAACTGAGGCAATGAAGACAGCATAATGAAGACAGTAATGAGGGCATCAAATCTTATGCTCATAGGTGATAGCAGAAATGCTGCATTTGTTCCTAAAAGTGTATCCTTAATTTCCTCCTTTCTGCAGAGGTGATATTGTTTATTTATGTGCACATAGGGCAAAATAACAAGAGACAATTTATAATAGAATTTAAGCAAACCATATGCTGAATTTTCCTTCTATTATTAAAACCTAGTAATCTATTGTGGCATGTAGGTGAAAGGCAAATATATTATGTCATGTCTTTATTAGGAAAAATGCTTTTTCAAAAATGGATAAACTACACATGACTGATTTTTTAATATCTAGAATTATAGTTGTCCAATTTCTCAGAATAATTCCTTTAGCAATTGCCCATCACCTATGCGACCTAAGTTCTTGAAGAAAAGTCAGATTCTGTATTTCTGGAATGTAAGTCAACATATAAAAGAGATTTCCCCATAACTCTACTTATACATTTATTAAAATATTGTTCCAATTTATATAGTTCCAAAAGGACACTCCCTCAATTTTTTTATATTGCCCCTAAGAAAATTTGACATTCATCCTTTAAGAACATTCTTTGGGGCATCCAATAAAATCAAAATTACTTTTTTTCCCAAATATTTTCCAGTTTTAAATATGATAAAACCAATTTATAAGTCTTTAACATTTGCAATGATTGATGTTCCATTATCAGATATATCCATTTTTTCTTTCCATACATAGATGTTAGTGATTCCAGTTTTCAAACAATGTTGATTTGATTTCAGAAATGGGAGCTTAGCAGAAGAGAAAGAGCACAGGTTTCATTGACTCAAGTAAAGTATCTATCCATATTGAGCTTGTTGAGACATGCTTCAGTTGCAATTATATAACCACTGCAGTAAATTAGAGAAGCAAAATTTTATCCAGTCAAGAGAAATCTACTATTGTAGATTCCACCTAATGGAAAAGTTTCTTGAATTATGGAATAAGTGACAAATGTATAAATGCAACTCTCCAGCTCAAGTCATCAGAACTTTTGGAACTGATGAGTTTCCAGCTGGATTCTAATCTCAGGCAGTCCTTGATTTATGACCACTATTGAGCCCAAAACTTCTGTTGCTAAGCGAGACATTTGTTAAGTGAGTTTTGCCCCACTTTTCTTTCCTTAGCTGTTAAGGGAATCACTGCAGGTATTAAGTTAGTCAACAATGTCTATTAAGTTATTCTGGCTTCCTCATTGACTTTGTCAGAATGTCACAAAATGACCCCAGGACACTGCAACTGTCATAACTATGAGTCAGTTGTCCAGCGTCTGAATTCTGATCACGTGACCATGGGGATGCTGCACTGGTCATAAATATGAAAAACAGGTCATTTCAATGCTGTTGTAACTTTGAACAGTTACTAAATGAACTGGTGTAACTGTTGGTTTCACATTGTAACAGCTGCAGTTCACTAAATGAACTGTTGTAAGTCGAGGAACAAATCTGGGCCACACCAAATTGTAGGATAACGATTTGTCCTATAACTCCTCTCCTCTCTTTTTTTTTTTTTAATTGACTTGCCTTGCTTAGCTTATGAGTTGGCAATGTCCAGTTTGTTGCATGAAGATTATTTTAGACTCTTTAGCTGACAGATCTTGGCTGGGTCTCTTTACTGTTTTTTTCCCTGTATTCTGCCTAGAGCTGCCCAATATGCCTGCACACTACTAGGCTATGCCCTGCAGAAGAATGGAGCTGGGCCTGATTTCCTTGCTAGGATCAAGCAGCTGGAGGCTCATCTGAGCTTGGGACGCAAGCGTAAGTGTGAAGGGGATTGACTGGGGCGGGAGGGCAGAGGTACAGTGGGCATTTTGGTACTGGCAAGACAAGAAAGTGAGAACGATGGGGCTTTAGTTCTTTCCGGAAGGGAAATTTGCAGCTGAATTGGAAGGAGCCGCAGTTATCAAGGGAAAGCAAGGAGGGAAGTAGCAGGAGAAAGGGAGGGAGGGGAGGAAGGAAGGAAGGAAGAGAAAGGGAAGGAAGGAAGGAAGAAAGAAAGAGAAAGGGGAGGAAGAAAGAAAAGAAAAAAGAAGAAAAAGGGAAGAAAGAAAGGGAGGGAGGGAGGGAGGGAAGGAAGGAAGAGAAAGGGAAGGAAGAAGGAAGGAAGAAAAAGGGGAGGAAGTAAAGAAAAAGGGAAGAAAGAAAGGGAGGGAGGAAAGGAAGGAAGGAAGAGAAAGGGAAGGAAGAAAGGAAGAAAGAAAAAAAGGGGAGGAAGAAAGAAAAGAAAAAAGGGAAGAAAGAAAGAAAGGGAGGGAGGAAAAGAAGGAAGGAAGAGAAAGGGAAGGAAGAAAGAAAGAAAAAGGGGAGGAAGAAAGAAAAGAAAAAGAGAAGAAAAAAGGGAAGAAAGAAAGGGAGGGAGGGAAGGAAGGAAGAGAAAGGAAGAGAGAAGGAAGGAAGAAAGAAAGAGAAAGGGAAGGAAGAAAGAAAAGAAAAAAGAGAAGAAAGAAAGGGAAGGAAGGAAACTCTGAGTCCTTGCAGCAAATAGCAAACAGCCAGATCACCTTCAGCACATTACTGCAGCCTGATTCAGCACAAGCAGCTGATTGCCAGGTGGATCGGCCTCCCAGAGTACCCCCAATCAGCTGTTCCAGGCTGCAGGGATTGCCACAGACCATCGCCGCCTCCATGCCTCGCGTTTTTGGCTACATTCGGTGAATAAGACACACCTAAATTTTCACTCTCTTTTGGGGGTGGGTGGGAAGTGCGTCTTATATTCCGAAAGATGTGGTACTTTTGTTTCTACTTAGAAACCACTTCTGGACTTTGTGCTTGAAGTGGAAAAAACAAGGAAACTTTGATTTTGGCTTTTACCGATTAGATAGATTTGCCGTTACAGAAATGGCTAGTTTATACTATTACGTAAAAGTAAAAAGTTGAGGTTTGATATTATTATCTTACTCTATTGCACCAAAGACAATGCCTTTTCTTTCTTTTTCCCTACGCTTTTCCCTTCCCTATTTTTCCCTACGATTCGCTTTTCTATCGTTGTATTATAAACAAAAAGAAAATTGATAATTATAAATAATAAAAAAAGTAATTGCTTGTCAATCCACCCAGCCTCTCTCAAGGGCTCTCCCTTGGTGAGCTGTGGAAATAAGCTAGGATGGATTGTACGCATCCATGACTCTGGGCTTCCTTTCCAGTATTCCGACTGGGGAACTCTGCAGATGCTCTGGAGGCGGCCAAGAGAGCCATCCACCTGTCAGATATCGTCCTTCGTTTCTGCATCACAGTGAGCCATTTAAACCGAGCCATGTACTTTGCCTGCGACAACATCTTGTGGGCGGGGAAATCAGGTCTCTTTCCACACATGGACCATGAGAAGTGGAGCCAGAGGTCATTCAGGTGAGATAGAATTCCCTCCCTCCCCCCCAGCGAGCTTTGTCCTCTGAGGGTTGTGGAGGAAATGGCTAATTCAATCCTGAGAACACAAAGCAAATCTTATAGATGATTAAGGGACCGGAGGCTAAAACATATGATGGACGGTTGCAGGAACTGGGCCTGGTTAGTCTAGTGAAGAGAAGGACCAGGGGAGACAGGAGAGCATCTTCCAATATTTGAGGGGCTGCCCCAGAGAGGAGGAACGGGGGTCAAGCTATTTTCCAAAGCACCCGAAGGCCAGACAAGGAATAATGGATGGAAACTGACCAAGGAGAGATTCAACCTGGAAATAAGGAGGAATTTCCTAACAGTGAGAACAATCAACCCATGGAACAGAAGTTGCCTTCGGAGGTTGTGGGAGCTTCATCCCTGGAGGCTTTCAAGAAGAGACTGGACTGCCATCTGTCAAAAATGGTGCAGGGTCGTCTGCTTGGGCGTGGGGTTGGACTAGATGACCTGTAAGGTCCCTTCCAACTCTGTTAATCTGTTATAAAACTACAAACTTCAAAATGCTAAACTTTCAAAACTAATTTCCCTATATCATCAAGAGCTTTCATAAGCAACCCTTTGAACTTTGAATGAACATCGACAATTGTTTGAATGATCATTTACAAATGTCTGTATTTCCTAAAGTCCAATTTAGATGGGAAGGGAAACTCTGGGCTAAGAAACTTTTACACACACACGAGGCCTTGGTGATTTTATGTATATTAGGTTGACAAAAAGAAGAACGCAGTGTAATTGATATTTTTATTTCTTACTTTATTAAATTTGTTTGTCCCCCAAAATCACGAGGTGACTTTGATTATTAGGGTTATAGTAATTAGAATATTTACATATCATATTTATGTATTTTTGCCAGTTACATTTGAGTAAATATGTGCATTTCTGTACAGTAATACCCTGTTTCCCCCAAAATAAGACATCCCCTGATAATAAGCCCAATCGGACTTTTGAGTGCATGGCAATAAGGCCAAGCGCTTATTTCAGGGTTCAAAAAAATAGAAGACGGTCTTATTTTCGGGGAAACACGGTAGCTATAATAGAAATATGGTAGAAACAGCTACAAATTCAAGAACTGTACAGAGACTGTTGTACAAGATGATGTTGACCTTATAGTCAAATAAGTCTGGTGGAAAATGAAGATGTTTAATGAGAGACTAGATTCGAGCACCATGTGTCATAAAATACCTATGCATATATATGTTTATCATGGATATTTTTGCAAAGCAGGAGAACCATTTATAGGTGCATCTGGTGCATCTATAGGTAGTCCCTGACTTACGACCACAATTGAGCACAAACCTCCTGTTGTCAAGTGAGTTTTGCCCCATTTTATGACTTTTCTCGCCGCAATCTTCTGACAAGCAAAATCAATGGGGAAACCAGATTCACTTAACAACCATGCTATTAATTTAACAACTGTAGCGATTCACTTAACAAACTGGAGATTCACTTAACAAATTTCTCACTTAGCAATGTAAGTTTTGGGCTCAGTTGTGGTTGTAAATCGAGGACTGCCTGTATTCTCTTATTCTCCAGTTAGGATTTCAGGACATGTTCACTCTTCCCTTCACGTTTTTTTTTCCCCTTCCAGATATTACCTCTTTGCGCTGATTATGAACTTGAGCCGCGACGCCTACGAAATCCGGCTCCTGATGGAGCGCGAGACCAACGCGAAGACCCAGAAAGGAAGCTGCACAAATGGCCGCTCCGGCCCGGGGGAAGACCATCGCTTCCAGCAGCTGGCCCTGAAGCTGAAGCTGCAACTCGCTCTCCTGGCGCAGGTGCTCCGCAGCAACCCTCCCCTCCTCCTGGACGTGATGAAAAATGCCTGTGACATTTTCATCCCCTTGGACAAGCTGGGCCTGTTCAAGAGCAGCTCAGGTTTCGTGGGGCTCTGCGGCCTGACCTCATCCATCCTTTCCATCCTCACCATCCTCCACCCGTGGCTGAAGCTGAAACCTTGATGGGTGCCGAGAGGGCTGGCTAAGCTGAGCTTCTCCCTCTCTTAAATTTCCCCCGTTCCGGAAACTAGCTTGGGGTGCTAGTAACGTGGCACACTCAGCCAGCTTGGGAAGCAGGGGTTCCTCTGAACTTAGGAAAAAGGATGGGGCGGGGGAGACGTCCTTCTATTGGCACTCTTTAAAGTTGAGCCCAGCAGATGGACACGCAACTCTGGGAATGGACCTTGTGGGGGAGCCGTTAGTATTTGGGGTTATCGGGCCAGCGGTAACTGGAGTAACAGTCTTGTCATGTTCTATTTATTTAGGAAGAAATAAACAAAAACTATACTAGCCATGTTGTAGGTCAATGTTGGTGAACCTTTTCGGCACCAAGTGCCGAAACGGGAGCGCACATGCGCATGCCGGAAACCAGAAAAGCAGCCACCCGGTGCGCATGTGCGCGCCGGGAAGATCTTCCGGTTTCCAGTGCGTGCATATGCACCGGCCACCTGGCCTTCCAGTTTCTGGTGCACATGCACTCACGAAGATCAGCTGGCCGGAGCGCATATGCGCACCAGAAATCGGAAGAGCAGCTGGCCGGTGCGCATGCCAGGAAGATTACCTTCTTGTTTCCAGCATGCGCATGTGCGCCGGCCACTTGGTCTTCCGGTTTCCAGCGCTCCCACGTGCGTGAAGACCAGCTGGCCGGAACCCGGAAAAGCAACAGGTGATGGCTCTGCGAGCCACTTCCATCACATGTGCTATAGGTTCCCCATCATGGTTGTGGGTCTCCCTGACAGATACGACCAAGTTATGTTGCAAAAACCAGTTTGTTCCCCGTGTTCAGGGCCTTTCCGCGTTTTAATAGTTGGGAGTTTGAGGATGTGAACAATATTTGGACACTAGCCTGAATCACATTTGTTAATAGGGATATATATGACTTTACCGATCAATATTGGGATCTGTGGCACCAATTTACTCACGTTGAATTATTTGCCTTCCTCAAAAAAAAAAGAAAAACATTTTGAAATAAAGGTAACGACTGAAACTTAAGCAGTTAAGAATTAAATGTAACCACACTATTTTTTTTTTCCTCGTAGAATTTTGTTTTTATGATTTGTCGGTAAACAAGAAAATAAATCTGGTTGTCGTGACTGAATTTCCCGACAACTTTACCCGGATGACTGAAAATCTTCATCGACATACAGTACTGGCCAAAATTGTGGAAAAAGTGTATTTTTGAGGTTTGATGGCTAATAACATCATATATTTTTTTGGAGTTTCAAAATAATCCTATTCCACTGCTAGAATGGCCTAGGAATAGACCTTCACCCCACTGAAAATCTATGGAGCCGACTCAAGAAACTGGTTAGTCAGAAATGACCCAGCAATAAAACCCAGTTAATAGAAGCCATCATTCCATCTTGGTTTCACATTAGAACAGCTGCAGAACTCAAAGACTTGGTTCCCTCCATGGGAAGACGTCGTAAGGCCGTCATTCATGCTAAAGGTGACCCAACAAAGTACCGTATTTAGTGACATGGGAATAATTTTTGTATATCTTGTTTTTTCTACGTTTCTTTTCTTCTTTAAACCGTAACTGCTATTCTAATATTTATTTATTTATTTATTTATTTATTTATTTATTTATTTATTAATTATATTTCTATGCCGCCTTTCTCCCGTAGGACTCAAGGCGGTGTACAGTCAAGAAAAATATACACACACAAACATCATAAAATTGCTAATTAAAATTATTACTTAGTTTGGTCAATTAAATAAAACCCAGAATTAGATAACATTTAAAAAATCATTCACATGTTCGTATGTTTATATGTTTAATAGCAAATCCTTCATAAAAGTTATTGCATTACATTCTCGATTCAATTATCTTTCCATTGATATATAATTTTATGGTACTACTAAAAAAAAAAAAAAGCGTTATTAGCCAAGTTTTAGAAAATACACTTTTCCCAAAAGGATTCCACAATTTTGGCCACTACTGTACTTGTAGGAAAGAGGTAGACCTCGACTTACAAAAGTTCGCTTAGTGACCAGTTACAACATCACTGAAAAAAAGTGACTTAGGACCATTTTTCACACTTATGACCGTTGCAGCCATCCCCAGGGTCATGTGATCAAAATTCAGCCGGTTGGCAAGTGACTCACATTTATGACGGTCGCAGTGTCCCGGGGTCAGGGGATTTCCTTTTGAGACCTTCTGACGAGCAAAATCAATGGGGAAAGCCAGGTTCACTTAGCCGTGTTACTTAAAAAGCTGCAGCGATTCGCTTAACAACTCTGGCAGGAAAGGTCGTAAAATGGGGCAAAATTCACCCAACAAATGTCTCGCTTAGCACCATACCTTTTGGCCGCAACTGTGGTCGTAAGTCGAGGACTACCCGTATTTGGTTAGGGACCGTATAAAATTTGATCCCTGTGTCTTTTTAAGGCAGATTTTCACAATGTCCTTTTTAGGATGAATAATATTGAGTCTGTTGTCACAAAATGACCTAAAGACACTCAAATATTAAGGAAATTGCCCCCTAACCACATTGTCTTAAATCCCTAAATCAGCCCTTTACAGCCAAGCATCTGACTTTGGATCATGTGACCATGGGGATGCTGCCACGGGTTGTTAAGTGTGAAAAAGGGTCATGTCACTTTTTTCAGCGCCTTTGTAACTGAACCGTCACTAAACGAGCAGTTGTAAATTGAGGATTCACTGCAATGGGCCAAAATTGTGGAAACCTTTTGGGAAAAGTGTATTTTCTAAAAGTAGCTAATAATACCTCTTTTTGGGGGAGTAGTACCATAAAATTATATATCAATGGAAAGGTAATTTAATCGAGAATGTAATGCAATCACTTTTATGAAGGATTTGCTATTAGAATAGCAGTTACAGTATAAAGAAGGGAAACACGTAGAAAAAAACAAGATATACAAAAATGATCCCCATAGAAAAAACGAGATATACAAAAATTATCACCGTGTCAGTTAATCCTTAGTTGGGGTAACCTTTAGCATGAATGACGGCCTTACAACGTCTTCCCATGGAGGGAACCAAGTCTTTTAGTTCTGCAGCTGTTCTAATGTGAAACCAAGATGGAATGATGGCTTCTATTAACTGGGTTTTATTGCTGGGTCGCTTCTGACTAACCAGTTTCTTTCGTCGGCTCCATCAATTTTCAATTGGGTTAAGGCTATTGGGCTATTCCCAGGCCATTCCAGCAGTGGAATAGGATTATCTTGAAACTCCCCTAAAAAAGTGGTGTTATTAGCCATCAAACCTCAAAAATACACTTTTCCCAAAAAGTTTCCACAATTCTGGCCACTACTGTAAATAAAGACTTGTTATCTTTTGGCAACTGAACAATTACTGGAACACAGTTTCTTCCGGTCTTCCAAAACAAAAAACAAGAATGTTTTGATTGTTGGAGCCAAATATTGCCAAGTTAACTCGAGAGGCATCGGCCGGACCTTGGAGTGCTGCCCAGAGATTGATCCTCTTGCTTTCCAGGTGTTTGAGCATCTGGCCGCTCAGAGGGAGGACATGTTCAGCCACTGCCGGAGGGCGTACTTGGTCCCGGTGCTGACACGCTCCAGGTTTTCCCCTTGTGCCGTGCCCAGGAAGGCGGCGGTGGGGATCACCAAGGTCTTGGCTGAGCCCTTCTCCAGTTCGAGGATGCTGCTCAAAATGAAAAACGAGATGCCCAAAGGTCTTTAAATGTGGGGAAGGAGACCAATCTGCCCCTTGTTTCCTCCACCCCAAATCCCTTGCTAAGAAGGAAAGAGATCCGTCAAAATTTGACCCCCACATTTGTTCAAACAGAGGTCTCAGTGTTGTGATCTATCCGCCGCCAGCCCCTTCAGCAGCCAAATCAAAGATGGCGGTGTGGGCATCAGGGTCAGCATCAGGGCAACCTGAGAGCTCCGAGGGGGGAGAGGGAATGGAGCCATCAGAGAGAGAGACAGAGGCGGAGTCTGGGCCGGCCATCAGCCCTCAGATGGAGAGTCAACAGCCCCCAGGTCTGGAGGTGGCTGATGAGGAAGAGGAGGAACAGCTGGGTCCAGTGCCTGATGCGCAGAAGGCAGAGGAGAGGAGAGCAGTGGAAATCTATGGGCCGGTCCTTAGGACGGAAGAGCAACCTCTGCTAGCGAAGGCCCACCTTAGCTCTGGGGATAAAAGGCAGGGGGCGGAGATGAATAGATGTGGCAGACAACTATTCATCTCTCTGCCGGACGGATTTGTTAGCCTGCGGTGGGAGAGAAACTTTTTGCCCGGGCTGCTGGCGCAAGGAATAATTAATTGAACTTCAGAGGGTTTGTTGTGTTTGGGAAGCTGGGTCAGAAAGCCAGGATGCTCTTCCCTGCCACCTACCTGACAGTGGATGGTGCCCCTTTGCCCAACCCCAGGGCCTCGTCTTCTGCTCCATCCTCCGTAGCTGCAATGCATTCCAGGGTGGGGCGGTCCAGCCAAGCGACAGCGGCGACCTCGGCTTCATTGGGCTTCAGCCTGGCCTGGCAAAAGATCTGGATCAATATGCAATTCAAGCAGGCATTTCTGTTCTCTGCCTCTCCCCAAGAACCCAAAAGAGCCATTATTTCATTTACTGCTAGCTAAACACCACCTGCCAAGCTGAAGCTGCCTTTCAATTCTGCACAGTCTCCTGCCAGTGGCAGTCGAGGGCTCAGTTCGGCGTTCCACCCAGCTACCAATGGAGCCGACGAAAGAACTAATGCAATGGTGGAGGAATATTTACGCTGCTATGTGCAGTGGAGGGAGTGTGGGAGAATTGTTACAATCTCATCTCCGTGTCATTAAATAGCTTCTTTTGAACAGCATGGTCTCCAATCTCGCGTGCAGAAATTTCTCCCTTCGACCGTAAGAAATTGCCCCAAATTACAAACAAATTAAACATTAAAATTGAGGAGGTCTGGAGCTTCAGGTGTAGCCTGTTAGTAAACCCAGGAAGATCTTGGCTTAGGCAGAAAACCATGATTCAAATAAGAGTGCTTTAAGAAGAACCTTTTAAGAAGAGGTGGGGGCAATTTTGGTGTGATCCTCTCGTCACTGAGGCATTAGGCTGGCCTCACTTTGGGTTGCTCAGTCTCTGCCCAGCCTACCTCACACGGCTATTGTGGAGTCAAATTAAGGGAGACCCCAGTGCATGTCATCTCGGACTCTGAGGAAAGGTCAATCCAATCAGTGGAATTAATGCCAGATGTGGCGGCGCAGTGGTTAGAATGCAGTATTGCAGGCTACTCTGCCCACTGCCAGCAGTTCAATTCTCACCGGCCTCAAGGTTAACTCAGCCTTCCGAGGTTGGTAAAATGAGGACCCAGATTATTAGGGGCAACATACTGACTGTGTAAACTGCTTAGAAAGCACTGTGAAGCGCTATATAAGTGCCATTGCTAGTGCTACTAAGAGCAAGAAGACGCTGCAGACACCTCAGTGGGGAGCGGAGCTTGGCCAACGTGCCCCACTCACCTGGAGCTGCTGGTGGCTCTCGTGCAATGCCAAGTGCAGGTAGACCACGATGTGGTGCCGTTGCGGCAAACCTTGGCTCAGCCGTGGGGGATACACAGACTGCAGGGAGAGACAAGACAAGATAGAATGGGTTTGCAATGGTGACGAATATCTGTAGCGCAGGTGTAAGATGAAGGTGGAGATTCATTCTCTTATTAATTAATTAATTATTTAATTAATTATCGGACTTATATGTCACCATTTCTCCACCAGGACTCAGGGCGGCTCACAGCAATAAACAACAAGTCCAATTAAAATTCAACAATAAAATTAAAATTCCCATTAAAACCCCATTCAGGCCAGGCCAGCTTGGAGAAACAGCCATGTTTTAAGGTCACGGCGGAAGGAGCGAAGGTCGGGGGCTACCCGGAGCTCCAAGTGGAGCTGATTCCAGAGGGTAGGTGCGCCCACAGAGAAGGCTCGCTCCCTAGGGGCCGTCAGCCGACATTGTTTGGCCGACGGGACCCCAAGTAGGCCCTCCCTATGTGAGCGCACGGGGCGATGGGGAGCTGTTACTGGCCGCAGGTGATCCGCCAAATACCCCGGGCCTAAGCCATGTAGGGCTTTATAGGTAATCACCAGCACCTTAAACCTCACCTGGAGGACAACCGGTAACCAATGCAGGTCACGCAGGAGGGGTGTGACATGGGAGCATCGGGACACTCCCATCACTACCCGCTTATATTTTATACAAGGCTGTATCCCAGGGTTACCCACAGCGGCCAGAAGGGAGTGACTTCTACAACCCGCGAAATTGCTCCGTTGGTGAATGTGATTGATGACACACCCTGTGGGGATGGGGGAAACAGGGTCATGATTGGGGTGTAAATTACATAGGGTCAGAGCTGGGAAGGTGCCGACATGAAGCTCCTAATAAATAACTGGATTTCTTTTGAAGCTTGGCTCGAGGCTCATGATTTATTTAGGGCATCTGTCGGAATCCTGACAGCAGTCTCCAAATGGAGGGAGTGAAGGGAGGCCCCACATTGCTTCTGCAAACTTCAGATCAATGGGGAAGGCTGGGCTGACCTTCTGGAAATGACACTTGAGGCAGGGCTGGGTACCAGGGACCCCTCTTGCCCGCTTTCAGGACTCACTGGCTCCACCCCAAATTTCCCAGATCCGGGGAGGGGGATCTCAAGGGGTCCACTTACCTCCCAGAGGGCCAGCAGTTGCCAGGAGAATTCCCCATCCTTCAGCTGCAAGCCAGTCTCTTCCTGCAGCTCCCTCAGTCCAGCATCCAGCAACTGCGAACAAGAAAGAAACAAGGGTGGGGAGAAGAGGCAGGTCCTGAAATCGGTGGGCATCGGGGCAGCTGCAACTCAGAAGAGGGCCTCTGGCCATGGACAGAGTGCTCCCCATCCCACAGGCTCCCTTGAGCAAAGCTTCGATTCTCCCACCCTGTGTGCCATCCCGCTCGCTCACACGCACACTTAACAGTGGGTTTAGTGAGTTTATTAATATTCCCCAGCAATTCCCTTCACCAAAACCCCAGAATTGTCCCAGTTAAATTCAGACAAAAGAAGACCGATGCTAGAAGTCCAAAGAACAATGGCCAATGAATGAGTCCACAGGGCACTTGAAAGTTTCCCGAGCAAAATAACACCCCCCTCCCCCCCGGCAAAATTAAATCCACAATAAAAGGAGGTTTCCGAGGCAATAAAAGTCCAGCTACAGAACAACTTGCGTTGTTTTTCCATGTCATATAATATATGTGGATACACATGCATACCTTTATATTTATTTATCTTGTCATGTTTTTGTTTATATCAGAGGTGGAGACCCTATGAGAGCTGCATGCAATGTAATTTCATTTTAATGTATGACGATTAGTGTACATCCAAAATGACAATAAAGTAATTCTATTCTTTTCTTTTCTTTTCTTTTCTTTTCTATTCTATTCTGTTCTACTCTACTCTATTCTATTCTATTCTATTCTTCTATTCTTTTCTTTTCTTCTGCATTCTATTCTTTCTTCTATTGTATTCTTTCTTCTATTCTATTCAATTCTGTTCTATTCGATTCTTTATTCTATTCTTTATTCTTTTCTATTCTTTATTCTGTTCTATTCTATTCTTATATTCTATTCTATTCTTTATTCTATTCTATTCTTCTTTATTCTATTCTTTTCTATTCTTCTTTATTCTGTTCTATTCTATTCTTTTTACTTTATTCCATTCCATTCCTTATTCTATTCTATTCCATTCTATCCCATTCCATTCCTATTTATTTTCTATTCTATTCTATTCTATTCTATTCTATTCTATTCTATTCTATTCTATTCTATTCTATTCTATTCCTATTCCTATTCCTATTCCTTATTCCATTCCATTCCATTCCATTCTTATTCTTATTCTATTTTTATTCTATTCTATCTCTCCTTCTCTCTCTCTCTCTCTCCATGGCCTTCCCTTAGGTAGACAACTCGCTGCGGCGAGTTCTCCCATTCCGACACAGATTGCCTTCACTTCTTTTTTTTAAAACCTTTTGCAAAGACAGAATTCCTTCCCCGAATCCTTCAAGGATCCTTCTCCCATCAGGATTCCAAGGGGGTTAGAACAGGGGTCCCCAACCTGTGATGGCTGCAGCCCATTACTGGCCTATGCGTGAGTTGTAAAATACTGGCCAAGGCCCCCCACCCCCAACCCCCCAAAGGCCTCCCTACAGTCATTTCTGCCCTTTTGATGCTCTCTGGATTCTCCCTTTTGGATTTTGATTTTTTTAAAAATCAAAATTTTACCTCTTCTTCCGGTTCAATATGGCCGCCTGCAAGAGAAAAAGAAAAAAAAACCCATCTAGTTTCTGTTCTCACCTGTTGCTTCTAAAAACTTGGGATTCAGTACAGGTAGTCCTCAACTTATGACCACAAGTGACCCCCCTACCCCCCCGGCCCAGATCCAAATTTCTGTGATTAAGCGAGATATCGGTTAAGTGAGTTTTGCCCCATTTTACGACCATTTGCGCCTCCGTTGTTAAGTGAATCTCACTGCAGCTGATAAGTCAGCTTGGCAATGGGTTCATATGTACGACGGTCGTAGTGTCCCGGGGTCACGTGATCCCTTTTTGGTACGACCTGACCAGATTCATTTAACAAGGTGTGTTAGAGAAGCAACCTACAACTAAGGAGAAACTTCCTCACAGCGAGAACAATTAACCAGGGGAACAGCTGGCCACCAGACGTTGTGGATGCTCCATCACTGGAGGTTTTTAAATACAGACTGAACAGCCACCTGTTTGAAATGAGATAGGGTCTCCGGCAGGGGGTTGGACTAGAAGACCTCCAAGGTCCCTTCCAGCTCTTATTCTGATTAACCACTTATTCTTTCAGCTACCAGGCTCTTCAGTTATTTGAGTTCAGGATCTGCTTACTTACAAGTAAGTACTTACACAACTTTTTTAACAAAAGAAAATCTTAAGGTTGAAGAACAAGGGAGGCTGGAGTGCCACCTCAAATGAGTTTTTCTAAGCCAAAAGCATCCTAAGAGCCGTGGTGGCACTGTGGTTAGCATGCAGCATTGCAGGCTAACTCTGCTCACTGCCAGGAGTTCGATTCCTTTGATCCTGACCGGCTCAAGGTTGACTCAGATTTCCATCCTTCCGAGGTCAGTGAAATGAGGACCCAGATTGTTGGGGGACAAGAGGCTGACTCTGTAAACCACTTAGAAACGGCTGCGAAGCTCTGTGAAGTGGTATATAGTAAGTGCGGTTGCTAGTCCGTCCTTCCTTCCTTCCTTCCTTCCTTCCTTCCCTTCCATCCGTCCATCCGTCCATCCATCCATCCATCCATCCATCCATCCATCCATGATTTGCAGTGGTTAGAATGCAGTAATGGAGGCTAAACTCTGCCCACTGCCAGCAGTTCGATCCTGACCGGCTCAAGGTCGACTCAGCCTTCCGTCCTTCCGAGGTGGGTAAAATGAGGACCCAGATTGTTGGGGGACAAGAGGCTGACTCTGTAAACTCCTTAGAGAGGGCTATAAAGCATGATGAAGCAGTATATAAATCTAAGTACTATTACTACCTACCTACCTTCCTTCCTTCCTTCCTTCCCTCCCTCCCTCCCTGCTTTCCTTCCTTCCCTCTCAGTGATTAGAATGCAGTATTGCAGGCTAACTCTGCCCACTGCCAGGCGTTCGATCCTGAGTGACTCAATGTTGACTCAGCCTTCCGTCCTTCCGAGGTCAGTAAAATGAGGAGCCAGCTTGTTGGGGGGAAATATGCTGACTTTGTAAACCACTTAGAGAGGGCACTGTAAAACAGTATCTGTCCTATTGCTATTGTCCTTCCTTCCTTCCTTCCTTCCTTCCTTCCTTCCTTCCTTCCTTTCCAACCATCCATCATCCATCCATCCATCCTATTTCCTTTTCATTTCCCTCCTTCCTTCCCTTCCTCCTTCCTTTCCTTCTTCCCATTGATTAGAATGCAGCATTGCAGGCTAATTCTGCCCACTGCCAGCAGTTCGATCCTGACCGGCTCTAGGTTGACTCAGCCTTCTGTCCTTCCGAGGTGGGTAAAATGAGGACCCAGATTGTTGGGGACAAGAGGTTGACTCTGCAAACTGCTTAGAGAGGGCTGTAAAAGCACTGTGAAGTGGTATATAAGTCTAAGTGCTATTGCTATTCTTAGGACTACGGGGGTCCATCTCTGAGGCCTTCCCATCCTCTCGCACCAGATCCCTCCCACCCCCCAGCCCCGTTTGGTTCTTCTTACCAGGAGGCACCCAAGTATTGGGGAAGAGACTTAGCGTCCTCGCCCGACGGGTCAACAAAACCTTTCCGCTGGCCGACTCCAGGAGAACAGCCACCCCGACATCCACCCCCTGACGCCGAGTCTCTGCGGGGAGGGAAGCCCTTTGCTCTGCGGTCAAATGCTTGATGGGGCAGAAGCGGGGGCGCTGGAAAAGAAAGAAAAAAAAGGCTGAATCCTGGAGATGGAAGTTTTCACACCCAGGATAGCGGGAGAACTCGATTTACGACTGCTCGCTTAAGAACCGTTCAAAGTTACGATGGACGGGGGGAAAAAATGACTGCAACCCACTCTCATAGAAATGATTTCCACCCCGCCCCCTGAGGTCATTTGATCACATTTCGGGCCCTGGGAAACCGTCTTGCATTTACAACTGGTTGTTGCACCGTCCCACGGTCACACAATCGCATTTTGCAACTCTTTCTGACGTTTTTTCCCATCATTAGATAAACTGGATTAGCTTGACTACCCTGTGATTGATTTAATGACTGTGGTAAAAATGGTCATAAAATAAGAGTCCGATCAAGTGATGACTCGACTTAAAACCACAATGCCTTGACTTACGGCTATAATTGAGCCCAAAATTTATGTTGCTCAGTGAATTTTGCCCTTTTTTTTACAATTTTTCTTGCCACATTTGTGAAGCGAATCACTGCAATTGTTTTTTTTTTATTGAAAAGTTTTAAAAAGTTTACATATATATCCCCCCCTTCCCTCCACCCTCCCCAACCCTCCCCCTCCCATCCACCCCCTCCCTACTTCCCAGAGCAAAATACAGGGTATAACATTCAACAATCATAATCTAACACAGTCTAATTAATACTGCAATTGTTAAACCATTGTAAATAGGGTTGTTAAGGGAATCGGTGTCAGTTCTGCCCCAGTTCGATCCCTTAGGAAAGAAAGACCCTCAACTCCATAAAACCACCACTACAACACCAAGCAGGATTGGGTTCTTTCTGATAAAAAATAATCCATCAAAAGAAAAAAAAAACCTCAAAAAACTTTAGCATCGTCCTGCGGGAGTTTCCTCCCTGCTTAAACAGGTAGTCCTCGACTTATGACCACAGTTGAGCCCAAAATTTATGTTCCTAAGGCAAGATCTTTGTTAAGTGAGTTTTGCCCCATTTTATGACCTTTCTGGCCACAGTCCTTAAGAGAATCACTGCAGCTGTTAAATTAGTAACACGGTGGTTAAATGAGCCTGGCTTTCCCCCCTGGACTTTGCTTGTCAGACGGTCGCAAAAGGGGATCACACGACCCAGGGACACTGCCACCGTCGTAAAAGTGAGTCAGCAGCCAAGTATCTGTATGTAAAAACACGTGGCCGGGAGTGGGTGGGTGGGAAGAATGCTGCAACGGTCATCAGTGTGAAAAATGGTCACGTCCCTTTTTTTCAGTGCCGTTGTAACTTTGAATGGTCACTAAAAGAACTGTTGTAACTCGAGGACTGCCTTCAGGGCCATCAAAGATGGAGAAAAGTTTCTCCCGGCATGACAAACCCCTTCGTACCTTCAAGAGGAGTCCGGTGGAGCCAGGAAACTTCCGGTCAGAAACGAGGAACTGGGGGTGTTTCAGAATGCAGTTTACGATGCCACCGTCTTCGTGGGGCGGACAGCAATGGCCAACGATGCTCTGGAAGCCAAGGAGAACTTGGTTTTTTTTTCCAAATTTTTTATTTTGTTTTATATATATGTATCAATGAGTGAACAGTGTGGCACCTTGGTGTCATAGATTCTAATACGAATCATATATTCTAATATGAATAGACTCAAACTATTCTGCTTTGGAGAATAGCTTGATTCCCCTCTTCTTTGGGGCAGCCCCTGAGATACTGGAAGCCTGCTATCATGTCTCCCCTAGTCCTTCTCTTCATTAAACTAGACATACCCAGTTCCTGCAACCTTTTTTTTTTTTTTGGCTTTAATTTATATGCCGCCCTTCTCCGGAGACTCAGGGCGGCTTACAATGCGTTAAGCAACAGCCTTCATCCTTTTGTATATTTATACAAAGTCAGCTTATTGCCCCCACAAACTGGGTCCTCATTTCACCTACCTTTGAAAGGATGGAAGGCTGAGTCAACCTTGAGCCTGGTGAGATTCAAACTTGCTTGAGCAGGGGGTTGGACTAGATGACCTCCAAGGTCCCTTCCGATTCTTATTAATCTATATGAGGTCTTCAGACGTTTGAGCCTCCAGCCCCCCATTAATCCTCTTTGTTGCTCTTCTCTGCACTCTTTGCAGAAATCCCCAAACATCTTCGTTCTAATAGGGCGAGCAAAACTTTAAGAAGCCTTGGTGGCGCAGCAGACTAAAACTGCTGCTGTTAAAGTAGCACTTAGATGCCAGCTGCCTGCAATTACTGGGAGTTCAAATCTCACCAGGCTCAAGGTTGACTCAGCCTTCCATCCTTCCGAGGTAGGTTAAATGAGGACCTGGATTGTGGGGGCAATAAGCTGACTTTGTATAAAAAAAAAGAACACGGCTTGGGGGGGCCGAAAGCCCTACTAAGCAGGTATATACAAAAGTATGAAGGCTATTGCTTAATGCATTGTAAGCCGCCCTGAGTCTCCGGAGAAGGGCGGCATCTAAATCGAACCAATAAATAAATGAATAAATAAGAGAAGAGAAAAAATAGAAGAAAACAGAAGAGAAGAAAAGAGAAGAGAAGAAAAGAGAAGAGAAGAGCCTCGGTGGCGCAGTGGACTAAGTGCTGTTAAAGTAGCACTTAGCTGCCAGCTGCCCGCAATTACTGTGAGTTCAAATCTCACCAGGCTCAAGGTTGACTCAGCCTTCCATCCTTCCGAGGTAGGTAAAATGAGGGCCCGGATTGTGGGGGCAATAAGCTGACTTTGTATAAAAAAGAACACCGCTTGGAGGGAGGGGGCGAAAGCCCTACTAAGCAAGTATATACAAAAGTATGAAGGCTGTTGCTTAACGCGTTGTAAGCCGCCCTGAGTCTTCGGAAAAGGGCACCGTAAAAATAAAATAAAATAAAATAAAATAAATAAAAATAAAATAATAAAATAAAATAAAAAATAAAATAAAATAATAAAATAAAATAAAATAATAACTAAATAAATAAATAATAATGCAATATTTGCAAAAGGGGGAGGAGCGGGGGTCTTTGCAAGGCATTATAAAGTGCTAGGAACACTTGATGTTTGACAAAAAAATAAAAATATAATAAAATAAAAATATGTGATCTTGATGTTCTCCCTTCCACCCCCAGCAGCCCCCCCCCCTGCACCCCGCTACCTGCTCGAAGAGGGCCCGTTGTGGGAAGCCGCCCCCTCTGCAGACGTGCACCGCCACCCTCCTGCCAGCCAGCATGACCGGAGCCCCTTCGGAGCAGGAAGGACAAAAAGCAGCAAAGTCCGACTCGCCTCCTGCAGGAATCTCGCCTTGCAAAGGCCGGGCTTTGAGGGAAGCGGCCCTCTAGCGGCGGTTCCCAGGCACTACAGCCCTTCACTTCTGTTGGGGGAGAGCGCCCTCTAGCGGCCTTGGTTTGCCAAAGGAGTCGGGAGCGCGCGGATGGGTTCGCACACAGGCAGGTTGGGGGCGATTCCAGAAGATGTCTGGAATTTCTGGCCCAGGGGGAGCTCAGTTCCTGGGAATTTACAGATTTAACAGAGTTGGAAGGGAGCTTGGAGGTCATCTAGTCCAACCCCCTTTCCAAGCAGGAGACTCTACACCATTTCTGACAGATGGGCAGTCCAGTCTCTTCTTGAAAGCCTCCAGGGATGAAGCTCCCACCGTTTCTGAATAACAGAATAATAGAATAAGAGTTGGAAGGGACTTTAGAGGTCATCTAGTCCAACCCCCCACCCAAGCAGGAGGCCCTACACCATTTCTGAGAGATGGCAGTCCAGTCTCTTCTTGAAAGCTTCCAGGGATGAAGCTCCCACAACTTCCGAAGGCAACTTCTTTGTTCCATCAATTGATTGTTCTCACTGTCAGAAAATTTCTCCTTGATTGACACCCGGGTGTCAGATCACCTGCTCGAGCAAAGGGTGAGGCTAGATGACCTCTAAGGGGCATTATTGCAAGCTTGTAAATATTCTGTCTGTGCTTTTTTTCTCCCTTGACCATAGTTTCTACATTTATTTATTTATTCATTCATTCATTCATTCATTCATTCATTCATTCATTCATTCATTGGTTCGATTTATATGCCGCCCTTCTCCGGAGACTCAGGGCGGCTTACAATGCGTTAAGCAATAGCCTTCATACTCTTGTATCTACCTGCTTAGTAGGGCTTTCGGGCCCCCCCCCACAAGCGGTGTTCTTTTTTTTATACAAAGTCAGTTTATTGCCCCCACAATCCGGGTCCTCATTTTACCTACCTCAAAAGGATGGAAGGCTGAGTCAACCTTGAGCCTGGTGAGATTTGAACTTGCAGTAATTGCAGGCAGCTGGTGCTATTTAACAACACTTTAGTCTGCTGCGCCACCAAGGCTCATTGTCCTGCCCTCGGGTGCTTTGGAGAATAGTTGACCCCCCTCTTCTTTGGGGCAGCCCCTGAGATACTGGAAGACTGCTATCCTGTCTCCCCTGGTCCTTCTTCTCATTAAATTAGACATACCAAATTCCAGCAACCGTTCTTCTTTATATGTTTTAGCCTCCAGTCCCCTAATCATCTTTGTTGCTCTTCTCTGCACTTTTTCTAGTCTCCACATCTTTTTTACATCATGGTGACCATGATTAATCACGACAGACTTTACAAAAAAAGATGTTGAGACTTTTGGAAAAAGTGCAGAGAAGAGCAACTGAGATGATTAGGGGACTGGGGGATAAAACATACAAGTAACGGTTGCAGGATTTGGATACATCTCATTTAATGAAAAGAAGGACCAGGGGAGACATGATAGCAGTCTTCCAATATCTGACGAGCTACCACATAGATGAGAGGGTCAAGCTATTTTCCAAAGCATCAAAAGGCAGGACAAGAAGCAACGGATAGAAACTAATCAAGGGGAGAAGCAACCTGGAACTAAGGAGAAACTTCCTATCAGTGAAAACAATTAACCAGTGGAACTGCTTGCCACCAGAAGTTGTGCATCCTTCATCACTGGAGGCTTTCAAGGAAAGACAGGACAGCCACTGAAATGGTATTGGAATGTGTCAAACTCACGGTGTCACGTTGTCGTCACGTGACGTATCGCGGCTTCCCCCCTTTGCTAAACCGGGGAGGGGCGTGGCCAGTGTGTGACGCATCCGATCCACGGGCCGCGAGTTTGACGCCCCTGGAATAGACTCTCCTGCTCGTGCAGGCAGTTGGAGTGCAATTGTAAATGTGAGGCGTTGCCAAGCATCCAAATTATGAGCATTTGTGTGACCACGGGGGTAGTGCAACAGTTGTTAAGCGCGAGTACACGTTGTACATCCCTTTTTCCAAGGCCGCTGTAGCTCTGAGCAGCCGTTAAAACGATCCGACGTAAATCAAGGACCGCCTTTATACTCTCAATTCACACATTTCCTTCATCAAAAACGACCACCGCACGAAGGCAGGATTTTATTTTTTTAAAATAAATCATCTTTATATGAAAACAAAACAAAAATCAGACTTTAAAAATTAGAAGATAGGATTTTTCGAGCTCCGGCCGATGGCTCAGTGCCTGATGGTGCTGTTGATGTAGGATTCCAAAATAAAGATGGTTTCGTCCACTTGGGTTTCACTGGCATCGATCCTTGGATAAAAAAAGGAAAATACAATCAAGATCGAGGGAGGTACTAATATCTCTCTATAAAACCTTGGTAAAAGCACACCTGGAATCCTGCATCCAGTTTTGGTCCCCACACTATAAAAAAGAGGTTGAGACTCTAGAAAAAGTGCAGAGAAGAGCAACCAGGAGGATGAGGGGACTGGAGGCTAAAACATACGATGAACGGTTGCAGGAACTGGACCTGGCTAGTCTAGGGAAGAGAAGGACCAGGGGAGACAGGAGAGCATCTTCCAATATTTGAGGGGCTGCCCCAGAGAGGAGGAAGGGGGCCAAGCTATTCTCCAAGGGCAGACAAGGAATAATGGATGGAAACTGATCAAGGAGAGATTCAACCTAGAAATGAGGAGGAACTGTTTGACAGGGAGAGCAATCAACCCATGGAACAGAAGTTGCCTTCGGAAGTTGTGGGAGCTTCATCACTTGAGACTTTCAAGAAGAGACTGGACTGCCATCTGTCAGAAATGGTGTAGGGTCTCCTGCTTGGGCGGAGGGTTGGACTAGATGACCTACAAGGTCCCTCCCCACTTTGTTAATCTGTAAAGGATGTTGAGACTCTAGAAAGAGTACAGAGAAGAGCAATAAAGATGATGAGGGGACTGGAGGCTAAAACATACGATGAACGGTTGCAGGAACTGGACATGGCTGGTTTAGTGAAGAGAAGGACCAGGGGAGACAGGAGAGCATCTTCCAATATTTGAGGGGCTGCCCCAGAGAGGAGGAAGGGGGTCAAGCTATTCTCCAAGGCACCTGAAGGCCAGACAAGGAAGAATGGATGGAAACTGACCAAGGAGAGATTCAACCTGGAAATAAGGAGGAATTTTCTGACAGTGAGGACAATCAACCCATGGAACAGAAGTTGCCTTCGGAAGTTGTGGGAGCTTCAGCCCTGGAGGCTTTCAAGAAGAGACTGGACTGCCATTTGTCAGAAATGGTGTAGGGTCTCCTGTTGGGCGGGGGGTTGGACTAGATCAGGGGTCACCAACCTTTCAGACCTCAGGGACCACTAAATTCATAATTTTAAATTCCGCAGCCCACTAATATGATCTGCCTAATGACCGGCTGGGTGGGCATGGCTAGGTGGTAATGTGACTGGGTGGGTGTGGCCAACTCAATGTCACTCATGTCAAGGGGCCTCTACTTGGCCCTCCCCTCCTAGCCCCTCCTCGCCTGCCCTCCTGGGCTTCTTAGGGCCCCAACAGGAAAGCAGTTGTTGGAGCTAAGCAGCCACCAGGAGAAAGAGTTGGCAAAACAGCTCAGTTCAAATTGGATCTGAGCGAAAAGGAGGCTCAGCAGAAGCACCTCACTGAGGACTAGGAGCATAGGCTTTCCAAGCAGAGGGAAGACCTGTGGGAGTGCAAGGCCAGGTACGGGCGCCTGGAAGCTCAGCGGGCTGAGATGGTCAACCAGTTCCAGGCCATGGTGCAGTCCCACTGGAATGAGGCCCTCCGGCTCTTCCCCACCAGCGGCTCTTCCCTCCAACCTTCGCCCAATTCCCCCCACCAGGAGGCCGAAGCAGACCCCAAGTCGGAATTTCTGCCCCCCTCCGACCTGCACAAAAAGACCCCGAAGGGGGAGACTCTCTGCAGCAACACAAACTTTCATTGCACGTATCTGTCCCAGGGGCGTAGTTTGAGGACCCCTGATTTAGTGCAATATAAAAAATGAAAATAATTTTTCTGCGGACCACCAAAATTTTCTCATGGACCACCAGTGGTCCACGGACCGCCAGTTGGTGACCGCTGGACTAGATGACCTCCAAGGTCCCTTCCAACTCTATTAATCTGTAATCTGAAAGGCTGCACCTTTTAATCATTGAACCAGTTGGACGGCTCGATTGAGCGACTGCCATAGAGGACATGCAGTTTCTGGTGGCAAGCAGTTCCACTGGCTAATTGTTTTCACTGTTAGGAAATTTCTCCTTCATTCCAGGTTGCTTCTCTCCTTGATTAGTTTCCATCCTGCCTTCTGGTGCTTCGGAAAATAAGTTGACCTCCTTCTTCTTTGGGGCAGCCCCTGAGATATTGGAAGACTGCTCTCATGTCTCCCCTAGTCCTTCTTTTCTCTAGCTAAATCTGGCCAAACCCAAATTCCTGCAGCTGTTCTTCCTATGTTTTGGTCTCCAGGTCTTCAATCGTTTTACTTGCTCTTCTTTGCATTTCTTCCAAAGTCTCAACATCTTTTTTTGTGATGTGACCAAAACTAGATGCCGTATTCCAGCTGCGGCCTTACTAAGAATTTATAAAGCGGTGTTAATCCTTCACGTGATTTTGATTCATCTCATCTAGCCCAGCTTGGCTCCCTTTCCTCCTGGCCTGTATCGGTGATCGGTCTTTTTCCTCACCGGGGCTGAATTTGGCGAGATCTATAGTCTGTCAATTTTAGCTTCTGGCGACACCCGTGGGGGAAGGGCTTCAGCCGTTCCCACCCACCTCCACCTGGGCCGTACTCACTTGTTGACGTTGTGCTTGAGGGTCTCCAGCTGCTGCCGTTCGGGGGCCGTAATCATTTCCTCAATCTCCTGCAGCTGCGCCTGCTCAGCCCCCGTGGCCTGGACCGAGGCGAGGATGGCCTCCACCCGCTGGCTCTTCTCCAGTAGACGCCTGCCACGGGAGAAAGGCCACGATCAGAGAGTCTCGTGGCCTCGCTTGAAACACAGGAGACCGCGAGGCCGAAGGCCAGGCGACTTCAGCAGATGTTGTTTAATGACCCCATAATAA